ATTGAATATGTAACCGCACTTTTTGCTCCTACCTGTTTGCCTTGTACTAACATGGTACTTTCAAAAAGGATAGCTAATGCAACTATGTCAGAGTATGTACAAATAGGTACATATATAAAGACGAAACGTATACGCTATTGGATCTGACAGAAAAACGATTTTATTTGCCAGAACAGTACAGGAACCGACAGCAAAGGAGGCGAGAGATGACGCATTCCCAATATCCAATTATTTGCACCTATTGGTGCGCCCCTGAGCTACACTGCCTCCCCCTGTACATTTTGAATTGCTCATTTGTGCATAGCCCGCTCTCGCCTTCTTGACTGCCGATGCCGGTTGCTGAAGGTATATGTAGATACCAAGAGTCGGCGTTCTCTCTGATAGGGTTAGGATGCCATGGAATAGAACCTTGTAAGATGCACTGAATTTTGCCTTCGGCTAACTCCAGCCGGCTGAACAGAGGGCAAAATCTGGAATAGTTTTAAAACTGTTTAATTAAATATGAAAGTATAATGTAAGCAACTTGTGTTGCATCTTCTGGTACTCTGATGGACAAATGCGCTGGCGTTGCCACCGTCGAAGTGCGAGTGCGACAGAATGAGGTGGTGGTATAACTATTTTAGTCACTCTCATCGGTCCCAGTTTTAAATTATATATATATATATATATATATATATATATATATATATATATATATATATATATATATATATAAGATTTCGTGTAATCAATTAGTTTTTTTTACAAATATACTCAAGAATTAGAAACCCCTTAGTATTTATATAAGCTTGGTGACTTCTATACATAAAATAAAATAAGCCGCGGCCCGGTGAAGCGATCGCGAACATTCAGCGGAGACCTGTAGATCATTTTCTGTTGCAATGAAACAAGGTCAGAAATGTGTACCCTAAAACACATACAACATGTGGAAAATTAGAGAACCGGCACTTTGGGAAATGTCCGAAAGCCCCCAAAAGTGATCCAGAAGGTTCTGAAAGGTATTGCATAATTCATAGGTGTAATGGTAAATCATTGAGACTTGACTGCCGATTGGGCGACTATAGTTTTTGGCACTGGGCAACCATGGTCGCCTACTTTCTATGTTATTTTATGCTCTGACATTAGGCATAGAGGATGTAAGACTGTCAAGAGCGTTTTTTGTCTGGTTTGAGCTGTTCTGTCAAAAGGATTTGGCACATAGTTTTAAACTTATTGTATGCGCGCGCAACTTACGGGAGGAGGGTTCAATATAATGATGTCTGTCCAGATTTAGCTTTAGCACCATTTAAAGTTGATTACCAAATTTTTTTTTTTTTAATCGACATTTGCTCATTTACAATCTACATCTATACAGAGTATTAAGTAAATGTGTTGTTTGCATTTAATCTGCAAAGGAAACAATCAGTATTGTTTCTCCCTCTCAGTTGCTATTTCATTGGTGTACTAAGTCCGGGGGCCATGTTCTGTGCAGTCTCCTCGTGGTTGGGCCATTGGTGTATAGTTGGTCTATTAGGTCGTTTGTGTGGTTGGCTATCTGCTTGTTGTACGAGTTCGTTATTCTCAGTATTTCAGCTGTCACGAAGGGAATCTTCAGGTCATTGTGGAGTGTTTGGTTACTCACGTACCATGGAGTGTTTACAATTGCTCTTAGAGTTTTAGATTGGAATCTTTGGATGCTATTGATCGACGACGGTTTTGCGCATCCCCAGAGTTGAATACCGTATGTCCATATGGGTTTCAGCATAGCTTTATATAGTAATATTTTGTTGTTCAGCGAAAGTTTTGATTTTCTACTTAGGAGCCATTGCATTTGTCGGAATTTTATGTTTAGTTGATTTCTTTTGGACTGTATGTGTTTTTTCCATGTGAGCCTTTGGTCTAGATGAAGGCCGAGGTATTTTACGTCTGTTGCTGTAGGGATTCTCTCATTGTTCATCGTTACAGGCGGGCATACTTCTCGTCTCATGGTGAATGTAATTTGCACTGACTTTGTTGTATTGATTTTTGTCCGCCATTTAGTGTACCAGTCTTGAAGTACGTTGAGGTGGGTTTGTAAGTCCGCGGAGGCGTTTATAGGGTTCTCGTTTGGTTGGCGATGACTGCAACGTCATCAGCGAAAGACGCGATTTCCGTGTTGGCAGAGTGAGGTATATCTGCGGTGTAAATGAGGAAAAGCAGCGGTCCTAACACACTACCCTGGAGAACTCCAGATTTAATAGGGTAAAACTTAGAATATTGGTCTGAATGTTTAACAGAGAAGTGTCTGTATGATATATATCATTTTAGGAGTAGGAAGTAGTTGTGGGATAGCGCGTTCTTTAGCTTGAATATTAGGCCTCTGTGCCAAACCTTGTCAAAAGCTTGAGAGGTGTCAAGGAAGACTGCATTGCAAAATTTCTTTTCTTCAAGACTACTGGATATTGTGTTGACAATTCTGTGGACTTGCTGGATTGTGGAGTGTTTTTCTCGGAATCCGAATTGATGGTTGGGGAGTAGTGTTGAGAGATCATGATATTACCAAATTGAAAACATAATTACGTAGACCGACTAGTTCCAAACAATTAGTCTGTGAAGCAGGAGGGGACTTTACTAGATTTCCTTTTTATCGAAAAACCTCTGCACGAGAGAAATTACTTCCAAAAGAATTATTAGGGAATAATTAACGAATGCAAACTTTATATAATTGCTGAATTCAACCACGTACACATACAAACAAGGGCATTTCGAGTTATTAAATTCGTTCAAACAAAAATAATAATATAATATATAAAAAAAGTTAAACGCGGTGGTACAGAACCTACGCCCGATTTAATCTTCATACACTGCAAATATAACTTTCCGGACGAAGGCTGAGTGAATAAAAAACTAACATATATTCGGATCGTTTCAATTTCTGTTCTTGGCATATTTGAACGTTAACTCTCTATATAATATGAATGCTTTAACTTTGCCCGGTTTTTCCAGTTGTACAGCGCGTTCCTGTGGGAGAAAGCCGAGGTTTACTGTAAGTCGAGCATATGGCTCGCATTATAATGCATATATAATGTTATATTGCAAAAAAAAAACTTGGAGCTGTGTGCCACTTCGTCGATCCTTCTTTTTTCTTTTAAAAGGAACGTATCGCTAATTGATTTGTTCGCGATTTGGGAGCTTTCCGTTGCCGAGGGCGACGAAAGCGAGAGGACCGAGACCAAAAGGTGTCGTCGCGACGACAGTGTCAAAAGTGTCCAAGTTTAATTAACATGGCTTTTTTTTCGAGGAGAGTTTGCCTTTCGAGAATTCGAATACGGCTAAAACAAGTCGCTTACGACGATATTAATCTTCGAAAGTCTGCGGCTGATGTATATTATATTGGATATTTGAGAGTTGGAAAACGCAAAGCTACATTGCATTACAAAGCCGTGCCATATTATGACGTCTATATTAATTAACAAGTTGGTAATTGAATTTTCATGCGCAATTATGCTACCTCCATTAAATTACATTTCTAATGTCCTTTACATTAATAACACATGAATAGGTACTCTATCACTCGACTTTGCGTACTTAAGAAACCTCTATTTGATAGGATAGCAGTATGTTTTGGAGCATAAAGTACTGATTTGCATTAACCCTTTAAAGGCGCAAAATTTTCTGCTAGGTATTTTTCTATAAAAATAACCAGACATCGTTTATGATGCATTACCAAACCTCTTAGACCACTTTTGGTATTTTGTACATTAAGGTCTTTTTTTTAAATGATGGTAAACCGTCCAGAACAAATTATTGTTCTACTGAAACCAATAACAAAAAACAAAACAAACAAACAAATTATCTATCAGTCTTCTTGAATAATTGCTAAGTGACTAATAATACCAAAAGTTTAATTAATTATAATTGATTACACGACAAACAATGTGACGAAGATCGCAATTTTGTGAAATTAAATTAAAATTATTAGACATTATATATAAAAAACGGATTTTTGCGGAAAAAATTAGATTTAGAAGTGGGCGGGTTTGTAAAGGTACTAGCATTTTTATTAATACGCACCGGAGCGGTGAAGTTTAGCCCAGCTAATAAGTGCGGACAATCAATTAAATTATGGATTAATCCAAAAGTTTCTCTGCGACATTTCAATGACAATATGTCAAATCTTTGAAGGACACTAGCAGTTGGAAAACCTTTTTGGAGGTAAACCCCATCTAATCTATAAGACATATATTTTAAAAACCTTCGTTGTATATTCTTTCAATGCAATTTACTTGATTAGGTCATCCGCAAAAAGAAGATAATTCGTGGAAAAACAATCTGAGATGTCATTCATGAAAAGAAGGAATAGAAGCGGATCTAAATTGGATCCTCGAGGAACCCCTGATGATGCAATAAATGCAGACGACCTAAAGCCGTTAAACGCTACCAATGGTTTACGATTAGTCAAATACGAAGAGAAAAGATTAATTAGCAGCTCTGAAAACCCGTAACTTTTAAGCTCTTCAATAATTATTATATGATCGATAGTATCCAAAATCTAACTAAAGTCCGTATATAAGACATCTACCTGACCTATATTATCAAGCATGGTACTGGTAAAGTACTAAAACATGAACGCAATTGGATTTGTTATACTAATCCACGATACGAGTGCCCATATATGCGAAATAGTTCGCCTTGGGGACAACTACTTAGTATGTGATAGTCTGATAGTACAATGTTGATAGTCAATTTCAACGAATAGTTGTCGACGTGGCAGGACCATTTCTGGAAACTGACGGAAGTAAATCTACCTTAGAAACGATGATTTACTTCAGTAAATAGACCGAAACCAATAACCTTCTCGATCAAGAAGCCGATACGTTTGTAAGCGTACAGAGTCTCCTCCAAACCTCGATTTCGGAACGTCTAGAGAGGGCCCACGGCACCAAGCCTTCTCTGCTTTGAGTGCCAAGTCGTAGACATCCCTTGAGCAGAAATAAGGAAAAGTTGTGCATGAGTATTTATTTACACGAAACGTCATAAAATTATTTTTGGTTACATTTAATTTTCAAGTTACGTTCAGTTGATATTTACATTTTTATGTGTTGTGCTATTTATACTCCATAATTTTCCATGCCGTACCGTTCCACCCCATACATCCGTTTATAACAACCTACAAGTATCAGTTCATAGCCTCCCATGTTGTATTAGAAGTTTTACCTCTACAGTAGATTTCTCCACAGTGTGCGTAGGACTTGGCGATGTCTAGCTGCATGCCGCAGCAGTGGCACGTAAAACAGCAGTTGTGAAAGACACCTCCTGCAGCAGGTATTCGTTCAAATGGGTAGACCTGAAACACTAATTTGAGCAATAGTGATGTGAGTACAAATTACACTTTCTGGTAGCAGCGTTGACAGAACGACTCGCAGCAATTCGTACTCTTCGCGCAGCTGCACGATCGGGATGCTGGACAACATCTTCGTGGTGGATCGTCGGCGTTCGGTGACACGCAGATTATCTCTGAAGGGTAAGGTTCACAACATTTAATGGGGGGGTACATAATACAACGACGTGGTGAATTACAACATGGCTCCGGATCGCAGCCGGAATCACAGCAGATTTTCGGGGGACACTGCTCCATTACAGTGCAGGGGCTGCACACTTGCTTACACGGTTGCATGCACTCCGGTGGAGGGCAACATTTGCACCTATGGGTGGACCAATCTTAGCTTTATACCATCAGTTTTCGACACATACCGGCGGTGGTTTCTGTTATAGTAATTCGCCGTTTCCCTCGGAACAACCGGCGGACACACCTGCGAGCAACACGGATTGGGAGCGCATTTCTTGGGCGCACAGCACACCGGCTACAATGACTTTCACTACCGGAAATTGATGCAGTCACGCACTCACCTCACAGCATGGCGCGCATGTCTTCTTCGGGCACGCCGGCTTCAGGCAGTACAGGTTAGGCTTACAGCAACAGCTACACTTGGGCATTGGAGTACCGTAGCAAACCTCCTCGCACCGAGCTCTGCAATCAAACAAAAACTTGTAGCAACACTTACAGTAGATTTCTCCGTTCGCGCATTTTAGTGACGCCGGCTCCAGTAACTTATCACAGTTGCCTACCTGGGAGATGTCGAAATGACTGTTCGGGTGGTTACTCGTTAAATCACTTACAGCAGCTGAGGCAAAAGGTGTGCCAGACTCTGTTTAACGCTATGATTCTGTCTGTACAAAAAACTCTTCTTTCGCAACGGGCACAACACTGCATTTTATGCACTAGCAATTTTGAGGTACCATCCAAATTTTGACGTTTGTGTTGAGTGTTTCTATGGTATCAGAACACCACTTGATTCCGTTTTAGGATTTTGCTTGTACGTGTACTATATGGTCTAAGGTTTTACTTATGGGCAAGACGCCAACTTTAAATTCAACGGCTAAATGTCAAGTATAATCGAGCAAAACTCTTAGGCAAAACTACATGGGTAAAACAGCATCATCAAATCCACGAAACACAACGCCCAATGTAATGCAGGCTCATTTTGCCGTTGGATTTAAAGTTCTTATAGTCCAGTAAGAATAGCCTAAAAATGGAAAATAGGGGAACTCAATCATGTACTACTAATTCCTTCCGAAAGGTGTAGCAGAAAGTCCCCTGACCAACATATATATATATATAATGAAGTCCCCCCAACTGCCGGGTACAGGGGCGCCGGAAGGCTTAATTTTAGAGGGGGGCAGGATGAAGTCTACTCAATATCTTTAATAACATTTTAATTTAAACATAAATACAAATTCATTACCTAACGTTAATTTATTTTTGATCAGAAAACAGCAATGAAATATTTCTTCTTTTTTCTGAAAATAATAATATTTCTATTATCTCTTGTCTTTCCATGCGCAGGTCGTGTCGGCGTCCGCCCGTCCGGTATCATAAAATATAGAATAGATTGTTTTATTAGGTAAAATCGTATAAGTCAAGGTCAACCGTGTAAACATTAAACCCCGAGTCCCAAAGTGCAACTTGAGCACATCTGGTTACGTAAGCAAGAATTTGAAGAATTTAAATATTTTTAACCTGACAATGCAAATACGTTAATTATTTTTGGTTGTGAGCGTTATTTTCAATTAGGAATTGGCAGACAATTATAGAATAAAATCGAAATAAATTGAAGTGATTTAATTTTGTCTAATAATCCAGAGGGGGGCAAATGCCCATCTTTGCCCCCCCTTTCCGGCGCCGATGGCCGGGTATGCTAGCGGGGCGAGTTGGGTTAGACGGGTGTGCAATATAAGGCAGGTAAACGTATTTTTTAATGTATGTCAGATCCAAAATAGTAACATTCTTTATGCGGCTGTAAATTGCTTAATCCAGGACTCGTATGCTGCAATGGCGGTGAAAACGTCAGGATAACCCTTAGCACAGGGTATCCCCCAGGAAACGACACCCGCTTGCGTACCGTTGTATACTAAGGGTCCGCCCGAATCTCCCTCGCAAGCTCCCTTGTCCCTGCCTTGGTTCGTGCAAATGTGGTTGCTAGGTACTGGATATCCTGGAAGTGACAGCTTGCAGCGTAAAATGCTGATGCTGACCAACTGAATCGTTTGCAACTTGTTCGGAACATAATTGGATGGATATCTAGTTAAACCCCATCCAGAAAGCGTCAAGATCGCGCCGGCCGGCGGGTAAATCTTTGAAAGCGCGATGGGCTTTACAGTAGGGCCGAATGTGATTTTCTTGGACATTCTAAGGAGTGCAATATCGTTTACATGACTTTCTGGGTTGTAAGAGGCATGCGCAATTATTTTGGAAATCCCGTAAATTGAGCCACTATCGGTTAGGGTGCTCGTGGCGAGGACGACCACGAAGGATCCAGCCCTTTGCCTGCAACCGTATGGAATAACAAAAAGGAGGAATAAGTAAGTTTCTTACCGAGTGATGCAGTGAGCTGCCGTCAAAACCCATAGATCGCTAACAACAGAACCGCCGCAGAAATGGCGATTGTCGAAAGTTCGTAAGGAGGCCTGGTAAGGGAACAACGATATTTCGGTTGATGTTCCTCCTATAATTCGAGTAATCTGTGTCCCGCTCCCAAGAGAGAGTGCTAGGAAAAGATTTCTATACCTAAACCTCAGACTAACAGAGCGCTTACCGAATATAAGGATTTGTACTATGGACAGTACTTTCATCTTAAAAAGAGAGCTATTTTTTCAGTCTTCAGGTATTTACACAAACGTTTCAAGGTAAAACTCATTTCCTTTGGTAAACAAGATTTATAACCACATTATCAGTGCCGTATAGCAACACAATTAAATGACCCTGTGTGCCAGTACTGCTGAGCCCTACTCGCAAAGGTGTTACCTACTTGCCACTAATTCACGATTCATAAGGTTATTTAATTTGTCGAGTAAGTAATCAAATAGTTGATTAATGGACAAACCGAGCAGTATATTCCGCAGTATGAAAAGGTTCTATTGGTATAGAAAAGATGACTCGAATACCTAAGCAGTCAATTTTGATTAGTTGGTTATCATCATTTTCAGAGACCCATAGTAACGACTAGAAAACTAACTACTACCAGTAAATGTACCTACTATTTGTCACAGCATCCGAAAGATGCCTTGTCTGAAGACACATTCTACAGGAGAAGAATGTTCTTAATAAATGTTCGGTAGTAGAATCAACAAAAGCTAAATATTTCACGAATATAAACGAATTTTAATAAGTATAATGCCAAAGTATCAAGTATCAAAGTGATAGGATTGAATAGATTTTGTCTGATTTTTGTCTAACAACTACATCAAAAGTGATGCGTCTGAAATGTTGATTGAAAGAAACTTGTCTCGTGCCGATTAGAAAATGGATCTTCTGTTCTGTAGAACCCAGAAAACAAATAGCAAAAGCAAAATCGATTAATAAAACTTGACACAAAGGTAAATATCACGGTATGAGGTCCGTGATAATAAATAAAAATGCTTCAGGTTTATGTTAAACAACGATACCGCTTGATCAAGGGAAAAAGACTTTGTCGAAATTGATTTGTATACATTTGCATTTGAAAACGTGCCAATTTAATTTAAATAAGCTACTGGTGATTAATTTCTTAACAATTCAATCCACATTGAGCTGTTTGAAATTCCCTTGTATTCCAAAAAGTTCATCTTCGTCAAATAGAGGCTTTTGGCGCAATTCTTCATTAACTCTCATCTTGGAGAGCTTTTCGAAGAGATCCACATGATTTTGAAAAAATTTCATCCACTCTTCTACAATGAGACAATTAAAGTTGACGATCTTCTAAAATCGGTACATACCTGAAAGCTCATCTAAGGACATCTCAGTTCCACCATAATCTTTAGGCAAAATGTCCTTTGAAAACATATCGTAAAGCGATTCCGTACCCTTGTGGACATTGACCTGAATTTGTTAGTGAATTAGATGGGTTTTATGAAAGGTTCGCTTACCCTACTGGCCACTTTGGGTTGTAGAGTGTTCTTCAGTAGAATAATGAAAGAGTCGACAAAATTTGGAACGTTAATGAAGTGCAAGCCTCCGATTGAGTTTGTGAAGACTTTCTGAAATGTCGCTCGACGATGAGGCAAGTTGACGATTGGTACCTACCTCAAGAACCAGACCGATTTTCTTAATCAGCGACGGTGTAAATTTGGTCATGTTGGTAATTCGAACGCCTTCCAAGTCGTAGATGTGCGCCTCTCTGTGATAGTAGTCGTGACGTACTCGTAACTCAGCCATATTGAGCGAATGGGCCATGTATGTCACTGCGTCAATACTTTCAGTTATAGGCTTTCTAGGTTTTACTATGACCACACGGTAGTGTTCCTCGGTTAATTTAGGTAGCGGAATATAGTAACTAAAAGCACTTTATGTTGGCCACAGTTAGACCTTCCCCAAACGTCGTACTTACATCATTTTCGTAAGTTCACGAATTACTTCACCATTAGGATCCTTGTCGTAGAACTCCGGTATTAATGACCTTATGCTGTAGTAGCCATCAATTTTGCGCTTGGCTATCTCTATTCGAAATTTGTTCAGCAATAAAAAACGTTCGATCAAGCCATCCTCTAAGTAATAAAAGGCCTTGAAGGAAACAGCGCGAAGTAACAAAGACTTACCGGGTACTTCGGGAAGATGAGGCTGGCTTTTTATCCAATTTTTAACTGTTTGAACATCCTCGCGGATATTTTCGGGCGTCTTGTCGTACTTTGCCAAAATGCACTTCCTCTCTTCCGGAGTACATTTCAAAAGGTCGAAACTAGACATAGTTCTTGAGAAATGATCGCGACGAATCCGTAACTGGACTTATAATGTTTAGAGATTAGAAAAAGCAATACAATTTAGCTGGCAATTATAATTGTTATAAGGTCAACTTGTGCTGTTTTTCTCATTATTCACAACCGGTTGTCGTACGTAAGTGCAATTTTGTAATATACCTTTAATGCGTTAGAGATTATACGTACGAGTATGCTACAATAATTATAGTATCTACTTGCGTTTTATTGCTTTTACTTTTTGTAACTTTTTCACACCATATTTAAGTACTTATGACAATCCAGTTTTTCCACCAGCTAAGGTCCGAAGATCAAATTCGAAGTGCAGTGTCTCGTTATCTTAAAAACCACTGTACGTCTCCATAAAAGTGGTAAAGATTAAAATTATCAAGAACCTGCGTGCTCTGTTATGCATTTGCACAAGCACATTCTATCCTATGTACATCCTTCCAGCCCTCTGTTGTCTTCTTGTGTCATCACCTGCCCTCTCCTGCACTATCTCATCTTCTGTACTTATCCCCCTGCCCTCGCGCGCTTTTTACTGTCATCTTCTGCTCTTTCCAGCCCTATATTGTTTCCTACTGTCCTCCCTGTCCTCTAATACCCTTTCTTGTCTTCGCCTACCTTCTCATGTCCTCCTTTACCCGCAGCCGATCATACATGCTGATATCATTTCCGTCTGTAATGTCATCTTCTGTTCTCTCCCGCCCCCACAATGCCGCTCCTGTCGGCATCTGTTCTCTCTCGTTCTGGAGCCCTTTCCTACTCCTGAGCGCACCCGTTCTATCATGCACTCTCCTCATTCGCTTCCTTGTCCTCCTTTTCCATCCTAAATTCTATCTAAATGTCTATCATCTCATTCTTCCGGGCCGGTCTTCTTGTCTATTTTACGGGCCTCTCCTGTTCTTTACGAACTACTTTTGTCTCTTCTAATCATCTCCTGAATCCTCTGGTAACCCCTCATGCGCCTGCCCTCGTCCGTTTTCGAATGGTAGTAGCCCGGTCGATCTGAGACAATTTTTTTCTTGGGCCAAAAAAAAGGCAGTATTAATACCTTCGTTTTTTTGCCAAAAATCGACTGCAATTTTGACAGCGCCAATCGATAGCGCTGGTCGAGACCTTTCCAACGAGGGGTCGGAAGGCACATCTACGACGCACCGTTCTCGAGATATTACGGTTTGAAATTTCGACCAAAAATTCTGACAAAAAGTTGTCTCAGATCGACCGGAAAATATTTTCTTATAGAATGTGGCCTGTAGAATCCATAATTTCAAACAGTTCCAAGATAGGGCTACTGGATCAAAAGTTACAGCCCTTTGAATTTTTTGTCGAAATTCTGACCGCGCCAATCGATAGCGCTGGTCGAGACCTTTCCAACGAGGGGTCGGAAGGCATATCTACGACGCACCGGCCAGAAAGTGGATGTTGAGAAATGATTCAGGCGGTGCATCATCTCAGTTGCTCATAGGTAATTGATACTTGAAGACCCATCGGAGTATAAAGCTCTTCTGAGAATGTTCCCTCAAACTTTTGATGAGATACGTAAACTTAGTGGGACCGCGTACCACCAAAACGAATAATGTCATGAGAGAGGCATGGACAGATTCAGTTTACACGACGTAGATTCTTGGTGGCCGTCCCTGTCCTCCAAAGGGGTAGGATTTAAGCTTGCATTAAATTAAATTATTTGAGCTGTAAATTAATTATTTTGTACATTACAATTTTTTATGTTGGGCAATAAATAAACACATTTTAACAAATGAAAAATATATAAATCAGCCATACGGTTGATTAAAAGTGTGCCGAACCCTAGGTATATCGATTACGATGTGCATTGAAAATGTGTACTTTACGCAATAGAAAAACAAATGCCTGGCAAATAAGAATGTTGCATCAAAAAAGGCAAATTCAACAATTTAAAAAATTCTGTGCAGTTAAACGATTACCAGAATTACAAGATTACAGAAACAGTTACCACGTGTATGTAGTGAGATATCGTAACCTAACGGCAGTTTAGTATTTTCTGAAGAAGTAACTGATACTAAACTATGGAGTAATACCTACCAATGGGACGATTATATAAAGACATTCAATTGATTGCTGACTGCATCGGCATTAGGACCTGTTTGATTCCAGGCAGTGATAAGGAAAAGGATGTATAGATGGAAGGGACATGATGGATGGAGATGAGAAAGATTTTGACACACATATGAAGAGAAAATCATCGTTTTACAATCTACACTTAGGTACCAAAAGATGATGGAGAGTGCAAGACAGGGTATTGTACCTGCTCTGAGTGAAAAAAAAATACATTTTCAAGCATCTTTTGGGAGTAGCTATAAGATTTAGGTATGTGGAGCCTCCAGCTGAAGCAAAAAAATTACAGATTGCCAAAAAAAGGAAGCGTGGACTGCCAAATAAGGCTAAGAGGGCCTTGCTCATTCAGTACGGGTGTACAAAGTTATGTGCTAAGGTTTACTATTCTTGAATGTTATTTATTTAAATGTTGATTGCGTTTTTTTTTAAATACCTACTTATTGTGTTACTAACAGCTTCACTGTGCATTGTTCTGAACTTCTTTACCTATTGTACCTACATACTCCTGGAGTATACCTAGATGAGTAAAGGATTCCGAGATTGTTAAATAAATGAATGGTATATTATCTTCTATTGCTGGGCGGCAAAGGGTAATTTAAAATGTTCTGGTTCCAAAGTTGGTGTGTATAGTGCTGTCCTCGTGCGGTACACGACTGAAATAGAAATTTCATTTTTACATTGAAGGAGAAACGCGCTCTAATTTACCGACTTCGTGATTATAACCTTACAAAATACTGTGCTGTGAAAATTAGAAAATGCAAAAATTAAACCTTCTCAAAACTGTGTATCGTACACTGTACGAGAATTCCAAAATTCCCCACAGATTCTGTACACAAAAGTCTCATCAAACCTGCTGGAATTGTGGGACGTACGCCTTGGAATTATTATGTCCGAACTGCAATTCTATCCAACATCCGCCCAGCATGCCCAACTACTTCAATTTATTTAACATCGAAGAGAACTACGAGGTAAATCAACCTTTGCTAACGCGCAAATATCGGCAGCTACAAGCCGTACTTCATCCCGATAGGTTCAGTCATAAGTAGTGCTCCCTTAACATTCGTCGTCCAGTTTTTAGAAGGAATCGTTCTAGAAGCCAAACCGAGAAGGATATTTCCGCCGATTATTCAGCGCTTGTAAATAACGCCTATGGAACATTACAAAAACCGCTCGAACGCGGCATCTACATGCTACACCTGCATGGAGAACGTATCGACGAAAGCGACAGAGGCACAGACCCAAATTTTCTTATGGAAATTATGCAATTAAACGAGGAGGTACGTGAGCAATGTTCAACACTAATAATTTGCAAGTGTCACTTTTAGATCGAAGAAGCCCAAACTGCGGACGAATTGAGACATTTAAATAAGAAAAGTAAAGAGAAGCTCGACTGCATTACTCAAAAGTTAGCAACCTGTTTTCGGGACAATAATTTTCAGGCCGCAAAGGAATTAATAATACAACTAAAATACTACAGTAGCGTTAGTGTGCACGTTAATTCGATCCTTCGGGAGAGAGGGGTTGTTGATTAATGTATAAAAAATACATTTTTTACCTATCTCTCAAAATAATATATTAACTTTATGAATATATCTAGTCGTAGAGTTACAAATAAGAAGATTCATATCATTTTTAGACGCTTTTAAGTACCTAGTTCCCTTTCCAAAACTGTTAAAATGCCATCAGTGTCTTCAGGGCGCTTACATCAATAGCTTGATCAAATTGTGGTGCCGGGCAATTGTAACGAAAGGTTTATGTATTTAATATTACCAGGGACAAGAGGCTTTCCAAATAACTTATTTGAGAGCATATATTCTATCTCCGTTTCTTGCAGGTCTTCACACTCTTTATGTATTAGCTCCCCTGGTTAGCGCAGAAGGGCCTTGGAATAAGCTCTTATCCTAGATATTTGTTAAAACTTTAGCAGAACCAGGTGTGTGTATCCATAGACTTAAATTATGTCTGAGTAATGAGCATAAAATTTATGGTAATGAGCAGAACTCGGAACTGCTAAATACAGCAGGCAGTAGGATCAGGATGACATGAGAGACCACATGGAGTCATGTGGAGACTGTGAGAGCAATGGTTCTGCCAGTTGGCAACCTGTCCAATGTCCTGTCACTTTTGACAGTACATTTTCCTTGTCAGTTGTCATTACAACAATCATATTTTACACAAGAAAATTTTTCATTTAACAGGAATCAATATGAATAAGGAAAGTTCAATTCTAACATTTTTTAAAGCTGTATACTATGATGAATTTAAATGGTATGTATCTCTAACAGTTGCGTGCACATTGAGGTTATGTGAAAAATTGTATTTTAAATAAAATCCAATTTTACTATTTAATTGCAGGTCAGTAGTGAAAAGTATTGGGATATTCTCGTTAGGTGTTAAAATCGCACAAGAATGTGCAGGCATGGAATTATTACCGGGACAATGAACATGTTTTTGAAGGGATCTTTTTAAATTTGCATGTCTTGTTTGCTACATTCTAATGTTTCTCTAATAAATATACGTTAAGTTTCTGAACTGATTATTTGCGTTTTTTATCCAGTAAGTAGAACCACAAAGGTCAACTCAAGTACACTGAAGTAGATATGCCGCACTTTAGACTGGAAACCTAATGTTCCTCAAAGCAAAATTCCTGCAGATTTACCACAGAAACTCTGCAAAGTGCTGTCCATATCTTTAGGAAAACCACTCAATGTAAGACCTGCAAAGTTTGAGGTTAATTCTACATGTGAGTTTCTTTTAGTATTGTGTGGCTACCGTTGTTGGTGATGTTAACATGTCGTGGGGTGGAACAAGTGCTCCGGCTGCACAAGCTACCCTCATGAGCATTGGAGCCTTGGGAATTAATGAAAACAAGAAACATTCTGAATGTATATTCGAATTGGTGAACAAAGAACTAAACATTCCACTTGATCGGTATGTTTTTGTAAAAAAAAATGCAGAGCGATAATATTGTAATTGTAGTATGTACATCACATTCACCAATGCTTCAACTGGAGACGTCGGTTACAATGGTACCACTTTTCATGACATCTTTGGATAAACTTCGACACTCTATGCCGGTGCACCTTAACAGTTGGTTCAATGTAGCACTGTAATTGCCTTGTTGTTCTGGTTTCATCTCAATATATATGTTGTGTAACTCGTACGGATCTGATCGCAAATTGTACGCCTCTATAAAGTTCTGGAACATCAAAAAGTATATACCTCCAGTATTACTATAAGCAAACCACTCGCCTCTCTGTCATAAAATTGGCAGAACTTGAAATCTACACTTGCTGACACCCTTCGGACACACGCATACGTGTTATTACGAGCATCTTCGCATTTACACCAGTTGGATTGAACACAATACTTCAAACAAGTAAAGTGAAAAATGGCAAATCAAAATATACCGCCTTACACTTAACTGTTTGCTGTCTTCTCTACTGAAACAGCTCACATCCACAGTCTCCGAATCGCTCTCACCATAATACTCGATTAGAATATTTCGTTCCCTTAGCTCTGAATTTTTTAGAGCATCCTTGTAGAAACTGACCCCATCCATGTCTTGTGGAATATTAACACCAGCCATGCTGAGTATTGTCGGCCCTAAGTCGACCGAAGCAATAGCCAACTGGGAAGTTTGGTTTGGTGTAATCAGTGGGCCCCTCATTGATAATGGAACCTTAATATCAGTCTCGTAGGGCTGCCTTTTATCCCAAGGTTGTACAAATTGCCCTTAATAATATACAGGTACATGTTCATACTGGGTAATTATATATACATAGAGATCATCTTTAATATATAATAAAAAGCGTATCACAAGGTTGCACTTGTAAAAAAAATGTTTGGGACTGACTTACCTGGGTTTTTTAATGTGCCCTTCCCAGTTTTGTAAAAATAAGCTTTTACCAAAATTCTGGTCGGCAAAATTCAATCCTTTCTGTATACTTACCAATGTGAAATCCATTATCCGACGTGAATAAGATGTAGGTGTTATTTATAACTCCTAATTTCTCCAGTTTGCCCACAATTGCAGCAACCATCTCATCAACGGCGAGTAAAGTTTGCATTCGATGCCTTTGTATGTCATCAAGAAGTGATATGTCTGATGGTAAATACCGTGGTGGTAACCGTAGGAGCCAATGGCGCTGAAATTTTAGGAATTATCCATACGAAAATCTACTCCATCAAGTTACATTGGTGTCTGAGTAGTTAAAGGAAGGTGTTCGTAATGCTTTCATCCCCGGAAATTTCTTTGCATGCCGTGCTGCCGGGGTGAAAGGAGCATGTGCTGCAGGTGTCGAGAGCATCATAAAGAATGGATCTTTAAGTGTCTGTTGCCGATTTAGAAATGACAGGGCGTACACTTTCTGAAACAACCAATTGTACAGAGCATAAGGACTAGGATTGCCCTAAATGTACCATGACATCCGTCAAGTATTCATCTCCAAAGTGTTTAGCAGTCCCATTTACAGATAGAGTATAGTTGTAATACCTAGAGTTGCCGTGCAAACCCAACCACCAATCGTAACCGGCGGGTACATGCTCAGCCCCACCACAATCTTTGTCCCCATACTGGAACACAAAGTGTGCAGCAACAGCAAATTAAAACCCTAAGTTACCCTATTTAAATATTTTCCTGCGTAAAATGTGGTGTAATTCGCTTCGTTTTTTAGCAGTGATACAAACGAGTGTGGTTCGAAGTTTTTCTGCCACTCTCGACTGGAACAGTTACCAGCAAGTGAGTTATTTGTAACCATGATATTGTGTAAGTGTTTCCCCGTAAGGATTGTACTACGGCTTGGACAGCATATAGGAGAATTAACAAACTGAAGTCAAACAGATATAGTTTTACAATACTTTCTCAAGTCTCACTTACCGCATTTTGAAATGTAATTCCTTCGTCATTGATCAGTCTGCGAACATTCTTTAGAGCCACCTAACAATGAGAGAGATAATATTCTTGTATTATGTTGAATTAGAAAAGTACCATACTATCTAACAGGATATCCTGGTCGTCTGTTAAAAATAGGATTATATTTGGTTTTTGTGCTGCATCAACTTCAAAGATTGAAGCAATGAATACTGTTAGCACTGTACGAAATAGGAGCATGTCGAAACATAGAGTTTTAACACCAAGAAATGTGTTGTTTTTTTCACAGAGTACATAAAGGAGTGAACCTACCATTAACATTTTTGAAAATAAAGTGCCACTTTCCCACGGGAAAAAGCGTTTCATTCTTTTTTTTTTGAAACACTATTTCACGGTTTTCAGTAATTACTGTACTACTATATTATTATTATAATTACACTACAAAAGAAAGTATAAAATAGATAAGTATATACTATAATAATTTATGTGCTCGTCTCTCTCTCTCTTTCTTTCTTTCTCTACCTTCTCCTTTCCTAGTAACGATCGCAGCGACACCAACGCAGTAGCTCGCTCGTTACGAGGGGGGACGGTTATACTAGAATCTAGAATTGCAAATATACGCTACTGGAAAGTGAGTGACTTCATAGGATCATTAATAGAGGACTCTATGCGCAGTTACATATTATAACCCTCTCGCTCTCATCTCACCCCGTCGAACATCCCCACGAACTATTCTTGTTTGTACACACATAACACAGAAAAACAAGTGCTAAATTTTCTGCACTTCACTGACGTCATACAAATTATTCTAAGTGTATTTCGACGTTAAAATGAGTATCGTAAGTGCACAAATACGTTTATTTTATTCAATTACACCCTACCACCACGTATATCTTGGCGGAAAGACCGGCGTCTTTATGAAACCTCGCGGTAAGGCGAAGATTAACGAATTCTCAAAAGCGGTTTTTATAAATTATTGACGATAGGAATGCAATTTTTTTTGGAAAAAAGGGGTTCTCTATGAACAATCTAAGCAAACGTTGTAACTAGTTTGGTCAATTATTATCCACGTGGTTCTACAAGAATTATTTGTTATTTGCTTCTCGGTATCTGAGACTCAATTCCTAAAGGCGAATTAGTGCCGTTTTCGATTAAGAAGAGATCCAAATTTAAAACTTCCGCCAAATTTTAGCGTGAAGACGCTTTTTAGTGTCCGCCATCTCCCTCCTAACGCCATATTAAAAACAATTCTCAAGAAGCGTTACTTTGACTTTGGTGTAATTTTTAAGCGAAAAGTATGTATTTAACCCAATTGCTTTATACACATATTTACTTTTGATACCAAAATCTCTTTGACTTCCCAATTTGTATCCCCCAAAAATGCTAACTTTTCTTTATACATTATTTGTGAGGTTAGATACCTTCGGCTCCAATGGCAAGCAAAGGACGCAAAGGCGGCGGCACCCCGACAGGTGAAGACGACGGCGAAGAGTTCACTGTGGAAAAGATTCTAGACAAGCGTAAGAACCCGATAACAGGCATTGTTGAGTATTATTTAAAGTGGAACGGCTATGACGACAAGGACAATACGTGGGAACCGGAAGAAAATTTGGATTGTCCAGGACTTATCGCTGATTTTGAGGCAAACAGGGCACGAAAAGAGGAAGAATCGGAAAGCAAAAAACGAAAATCGACAAGTAAGTACGCAATAATTCTTAAGGTCATCCGCTTACATTTGCTTCTAGGTACTCCGACGCCGGTCGACGCGAAAAAAAAGAAAGAAGACAAAAAAATATTGGGTTTCGATCGGGGACTAGAACCGGAAAAAATTATCGGCGCCACCGATAGTTCAGGTGAGCGACAAACGTTAACTTTAAACACTTTCTTAAGCTGCTTGTTTTAGGGCAACTTATGTTTTTAATGAAATGGGCCGGAACCGACGAGGCCGACCTTGTACCGGCAAAACAGGCAAATATCAAATGTCCCCAGATTGTGATTAAGTTTTATGAGGAACGTCTAACCTGGCATTCGCCAACTAATGACGACGATAAGAACGATAAGGCATAAGTTTCTTTTAGTTTATAGTTTAGGACTATGTTCAGTTATTCATCTTTAATCTTAAGGATCTGACATGTAAAAACGTGTAGAATTATAAGAATTTTTAGTTCTTCCACATTGCCATAGACGTGCAATGGTATTACTTCGCAGGGTGAGACCTCCCTTAATACAAATTTTCCATTTAAATCCTTTACGATGTAATTATTTTTTCAAGTTTTTACTTAGGTAAAAAGACAAATGGTCTGTTGAAATGACTGTGGCTACTTTTGGAAAATTTTGAACCCAAAACTGCTAACAATTCAAAATAAATTTTTATGTACAGTCGTTGCTGAATTGTTTATATGGTTTCCCTAACGTATTAGGTGATCAATAGTGTTTTTGCCTTATCTCAAGTTTAGTAAACGATAATTACTCATTGCTTTTACCTATACCTTGCTCTAAGAGATAATTGGCAGATTACTATGAAAAATGATATGCATGGATCACACCCTAAGAATAACATCTCTTGTTTTCCATTTAAAATAGTAATAAGTAATGTCTGTAATTTTGAATGTTCAATAGCACATTCCACTAAAATCTTAAACGATAAATTTAAATATTACCAAATGTCCTTTCAAATAGTTGAACAGCTTTCGGCTTTCATAATATTGAGAGCCTATTTGCTTCCATAAAAAAACCTACAATCTGAAAAAGTCTTGCGAGGTTTGGACAAGATACCTGGGAAGCATTTGAACGACCCCAAGAAGCTTTAGGGAGCCCTACACTGGGCAATCTGTGAGGGAGGTATGCGGCTGACAGATTTGAAAGGATGCAAGAATTGCAGTGGGATAGAATTATTAATTATATCACAAGTTAATAATGATAGCTATTATTCTCAAGGAATATTTATGAATCGAGCCGCGTCAGAGAAATTTTGGAATTTAAAGAGGGCATCAAAAGCTCCACAGACTTCCGACTTGTTTCTCTCATTTGCATGACGTGTAAATCAGTTGGCAGTTTTTCTCAAAACTAGCAAATATCACATAGACCCTTTAAGAAATAATCAGTTTAATTATACATGTGTTTGTTTCTCTACAAAATTAGTGCTGCTTATTGTACTGTTAGTACAGGCACAGATTTAATTAAATCTGTGGTACAGGTGACTACGATTAATCTCAGTTGTTACGATTTTATTGCAGATAGGTCTTTTTAGTTAAGGATTTTTCCACGTAGGCTTCTGCCACTGAGGATGATTTCCAGCCGCCGTGTTTTTCTCCACCCTCAACTAATAAAGACGCAGATGAAGATCTTAAGCAGTGCCCCGTAAATTCGTTGGAATTGGGCAGTTTCAAACATATGCCAACTTCTGAATGGACTTCCTATCTTATTTTCCCTCATTGATAGACCATTAGTCTTTGTATCAATTAAACTGACACAACAAGAACTCTATTTTCCCACATTTTCGCTGTCACTGATTAGAGCTCATCTCTGCGCAAAGCTCCAGCTGCCCCGAACAACCTAAAAATTTAAAGATTATATTAATTTATCAATAGTTTTACAAATGATAATCACTCATTTGTATGTGCTTAACACTAAGGGTGCTTTTCAACATTGAGTAGTGACTCGCATAAAGTAGAAGATTCATGTAGGTAGGCTAACCACCCTTTCTGAGAATGATTGAACATTGTACTCCGCCATTCTATAAACTTTACACATTTTTATCAGTATGTGACCGTAATTCCCACATGGGAGTAGAAGAAAACGTTTCTGATAATCTTACATCATTTATGCCTCTTGTACACGACCACTTTATGCTCAAAAAAACGGTGATCACAATAGCCACCTAGCCCCAACTAGCAAGCTAATAATAAAGGACAAACAAAAACCTCAACGTAAACGGTAATTGAATTAGCAAATTGCGTGAACACTTAACACAAGCAATTTTAAATTAAAAGTATATGGAAAACCAATACATAAATTCACTTCAATTTGTTGTATTATTGTTTACAATAAATACCCACTAGTTTATTAAATAACAAATTGACAAGTATTCAAATGTAGTTAACACGACAAAATTAGTGTAACATTTTAGCTAAAAAGTTTACGAAAACAGGAAAAAGAAATTTAAATCAAGTCTTTTAGAAACAAGTTTTATTGAAACGGAAAATGAGAAAATCTAAAACCACAGATGTGCTAAAACTAAAAAAGGTGTTTGTGGAGAGTTCATGGAGACAGTCCATTCTCCCGATGGTTATTATTTGCTCATCTGCGTCCTCAGTTTTTCTTACTAAAATGATGTTTATCAAGCAAAGGGTTATTTATTCCTTGATCCATGGGAAAGACCTTGCTAATCATCCTGTCTATATTTTCAGATTTTTTAAACGATTTACATTCATTCCTTACTACGCCCAATAGAGTATATTTATGTTTATAAACACAGTACTCTTATAGATAAACATGTATTGATTAGTGTGCTAGAAAACGATTAAAAACTTCACCAGCAGACTAGTGTTACTATCTTATGACATAAAACTAAAATTACAAATATACATAGGAATAATTACAATATAGTAATTAATACACTAACTTAATAAGAACGCCTAACTACCAAATCAGTACTGTTTGAGCATTTTTTTATCACAAATTATGAAAGCGTAGACAAGCAGGTGTCAGTTTTTCCAATTTACATATCTGTCAATTGGTTCTGGACTAACTAGCGCTAATTAACAGTACGCATTAATCAGCAGAAAATGCTCCAACGCTTTCATATTTTTGGCTAGCCAAAGCTTTAATTACTTATCTCCCACCACACAACCTTCCGCTTTCTCCTTACTAAAATTCAAAACGATATGTCTCTCGTAAAAATCGATCACAACCTCTGGACACCTCATATTAGCTTCAACCGAAGGCACAAGATCCACTTTGGTCGAATTCTTCCACTGCATTAAGAAAAGTAGTTGTCCTACATGCTCAGAGTATAGAGACAGTTGCAGACCTTACTCATACGTACCATTAGTATTTGTGCACGCCAAAATTCGTTCGGGTTTCAGTCCTCGATCGAACCCGATTACTTTCTTTTTGGATACATCTGGAGTTTCACAACCGCTACTAGTAATTGTGACTAAAATGTGTGTAACAAGTTAGTGTAATGAGAAGAATCTACCCACCTGGAGCATATCTTCGCTTACGATATTGAAATTCGTGTTTACGCCGACGGCTAACTTCAAACTCCTCAACCAACCCAGGACAGTCCAGGTTGTGTTCTGGTTCCCACGTGTTGTCCCTATCGGAGTAGCCTTTCCATTTCAGTAGGTATTCGATTGATCGAGTAAAAGGATTTACTCGTTTGTCGATGATTCGTTCAACTGTATATTCCTCGTTATCCGGTCTAGTTGAAAAGTATGCGTAATTTTTTTCCTTTTTGGTCTTTTTCGACATGATAAAATTAATTTTGACAATCATTTAAGAACCAAGAACACATAACCTCCATCTTGATAAAACAACAAAAATAAACGCGACACCGTGAACGAAATAAGGAACTACTCTGACAACCGTAAAAATTTAACATAACCTCAATGTGTCAATTATTTGTATATGCGAATTAACTTTCGTTTCAAGCAAATTGAATATTGGCAAGGCTTTTAATAATGCCTGGTCCAAGCGAAACGCCAGCCTCTCAGAGGCTTACTAACGATGACTTCAGAAAACTTCTAATGACGCCTCGAGCAACACCTTCAAGTGCCCCAGCAGTGGGTTCGATAAGAGAAGCGATGGCCAACGCAACGTCGATGCCACCTCCAAAGGAAGACGCGAACGAGGCGCGACGCAAAAAGAAAAGCTACTACGCCAAATTGAAAAAACAAGAAGACAACAAACTGGCCGAGTTAGCCGAAAAGTACAGGGATCGCGCCAGCGAACGAAGAAATGGCGTCAACCCGGACTATCAAAATGTCGACCCGATGAACGCCGCCCAGGCGTACAGAGCGGTCGCACCAGACCTCAAATCGGGCTTCGACGCTGCAGAACGCCGAAAGCAGATGATCCAGGAGTCAAAATATCTCGGCGGTGACATGGAGCACACCCATTTAGTAAAAGGTCTCGATTACGCCCTCTTACAGAAGGTTCGTGCAGAAATTGTTCAAAGAGAGACCGAGCAGGAGATCGAATTGGAGCGACTTGCTATCAAACAGGCCGAAGAGCCAGAGAAGAAGGAGGAGGTGTCGAAGAAAGAAGATGAAGAGATTCAATTTAAGACGAAGATCGGACGGTCCATTCATCGTACAATTTGTACTTTAAAGTCTCGTCATATTGAAAGGAATGAACTGTTTGCTCATGGTCGTATGGCATATGTCATCGATTTAGGTAAGTATTCATAATTCCTTTTTTTTGCCCCGAAAAAAAAATTGTCTCAGATCGACCGGAAAAAAATATTTTCTTATAGAATGTGGCCTGTAGAATCCATAATTCCAAACAGTTCCAAGATCGGACTACTAGATCAAGTTACAGCCCTTTGAATTTTTTGTGGAAATTGGTTTTTTGCCCATAAATATACCTATTATTCAAAGTTTTCGTTGACTAATTAAAGCAAAAGCAATACGGCCCCAAAAGCAATAAAGGGGCCTGTCAGCAGTAAGAAATAAAATACCGTTCTAATCTAATCTTTTTCGCTTGTACAATAATAAATAGATCAATGACTATCAGCATCAGCAACCTGCAACCCAATTTCTATTTCTTTCCCCCCCCCCCTCTTCTAGTACGCAGTGGGAGACTGTATGTGCACGAACATGTTTAATCTCTCCCCCCCCCCCCGAATAAATTTCTACGTACGCCACTGTATTAAATTGAGATATATTCCAATTCACGAACAATGATTATTGCAGATGACGAATCCGAATCCGATATACCCACAAACATCATCCGATCCAAAGCGGATGTCCCCACCTCCGAGGCAACGACCACCCTAACAACAAACGACATCGTCATCAACAAACTAACGCAAATTCTCAGCTATTTACGCCAGGGTAATCGCAAAAACAAGAAAAACAAGCGCGGCGCTACCGACCGTAAGGATTACGAGGACGCGGAAGTGGTGGACGAACGTAAGCGCAAACGATCAAATCAAGAGGATTCCATTTACGGAGATATCGGCGATTACGTTCCAACAACGAGAAGATCGCAGGACTCTAAAGAGAGCCGCAAACGTCAGCCGTACTTTGATAAGCGCGAAGAGGACTTTAAGGATGTGGGCCCTAGTCTCAAGTTCAACAAATCGGCGCAAATATTGAATAAGCTGACGCAGGAACCCGAAGGTTACGCCGAGTGCTATCCTGGTTTAGAAGAGATGAACGACGCAATTGACGATTCGGATGATGAAGTCGATTACTCCAAAATGGATCTGGGCAACAAGAAGGGACCGATTGGGCGTTGGGACTTTGATACTGCCGAAGAATATTCGGAATATATGAACCAGAAGGAAGCGCTCCCAAAAGCTGCGTTCCAATATGGAATAAAAATGACGGACGGAAGGCGATCACGCAAGCACAAGGAGAAGAACGAGAAAGCGCATTTGGATCGGGAATGGCAAAAAATACAAAACATCATTAGTAAACGTTAAGTTTATTTATAGCGTGTAAAATATAAATAAAGTTCTTAGTACTCTCTTCTGTTATCTCGTCTTTGCCTGCTCCAATCTTGAACATTACCGGCGCGGAAGTTCTGCCGATCCCCTCTGAATCCGCCCTGCAAATTTTCAATTAGCACCACGTTCAAAATCACAAACATGGAGTTGGTACATTACCTGATTTGCGCTGCGCAAGAAGAAGTTACCTTGCTTCGTTTCCAATATGCGCTCGTTTGAGTCGACGAAATTGTTAATCTTATCGGCTAGCTGTAATGCCAAGGATTGCAAACGGGACGGTTCGCTGCGATGCATCACCACGGTTTGCGATGGGTCATCTAAGGACGCCTAGAAAATAAACGTTTGTAAAATTGAGGTTTATTTTTCTGTAAATCTCAACTCAATTGGAGGATTAACGAGACCCATTGCAAATGCAATATCAAAACACTTACCATCAACTCTTCATTAATAATCATCTTAGAAATAATCGAATGAACCACTGGCTTGTCAAGCTTGAACATTTCTCCCAAGGTCGACATGGAAATGGAGTCGTACACGTGCGAGTACGTAAACAAGTACGTTCTCAATGTTTCTTCTTTAATCAACTTTGTCAGCATGGCTCTAACGGCGTCGGCCTGATAAAATAAATCCCAGACTTTGGTATTCATTTTTTCGTTGATTATAAAATTGTTACACGCGGCCCAGTGACCATTTCGCATAGCTTTGGCGGCGGCGACTACGTGCTCGCGCATGCTTTCCGGTGGACCAACGAGACTTTGCCTTTCGGAGCTTCTCAACTGTTGGTAGAATGTTTTTGAAATCATACGGCGACGCGCATCAAATTCGTGAGCGGCCATGTAGGGTATTTCAATTAACATCGCCGAGACCAAATATACGCACTCCAGCAGTTCCAAATTTATGTGCATGTGGAACGGCATTTGACGTTGCTTTTCTATTTTTTCCTGCTCCTTGCTGCGTTCGTGTTGGCGCTGTCGTGCGAAAGTATTTGAAATAAATGGCGTCGTTTCGGTTAACTTACTTGTGGCAGTAGACCTTGGGCCAGGAGCTCTTTCGGTTTACCCGTCATCATTAAATCGACCAGGCAATTGTGGGCGTCTTTGATGTTGGCGTGCCGGAAGGCGCATAGTCCCAAGTGCGCCATCATTCGATTGTACAGAATCTGGAAGTGAATCGTGTAGCGTAAGCGATGCGCGCCACATTATACCTGAGTGCTTGGATCGGAATGCTGAATCGTTTCCTGCAAGTGAGACATTAACACGAGATCGCGCGCTTGGAACCAATTATCGTGAAGAGCGTGATGGTAAATGTGCGACAAGATCGCTCTCGTTCGCAAACGATCTGTTCCATCCTTCGCATAGATATACTTGCAGAGGCGCTCCATCTCTTGCATTGAAGTTATAGTGTCTCGAGGGAGTTCGCCCTAAAATACTCTAATTGAGAAAGGGGCGCTACGATTAGAACGGCACGAGGTGTTTGTGAGATAAGGAAAACTCAGTAGCTCAAAATTTGTGTACTTACACTTTTGTATTGCAGCACTAGAGGGTCAAATTTGTAGTACAAATGTTCAATTTTGCGGAGGTAAATGCGACACAGCTCCGATTGCGATCCGTGAACCTCCAGGTGTTTTTGCACTTTAGTTATTATCGCAGACACTTTCGCTTCATCCTTTAGCCTAGAGTAGATACCTGTTTAATACCCGCCGCTATTGCAACAAATTGCACTTACCGTTCGACATACTCGTTACTGTGAGGATCGCACTCTTTCAGCAGTTTGATGAACTCGTCATCTAAGCGTTCGAGTGAAGTCAGCACGCATCCGCGAATGCGATAAGGAGCCTCGTCAAAGCGCTCGGTTTCTTCTGTGACACTATCCGATATTAAGATGTTGTCATGATTGCGCAGCATGTCCAGCATTTCGCTCATTCTCTCGATTAGGTTCGTCCAATATTCCGGTTTCATTGCATCCGAGACTTTGGGGTTGTAGTCGAATATCGAGGAAATAATCGCGAACTTTATTTTCACGACAATCGCGGCACCTAAGTTGTGTTGGTCGGCGATGGCTTGTAGTTCATGCAACAGTTCGATTTGTTCCCGCCGATCGGTTCGTTTCTTTCCGCGCGCGGCGATTATTTCGCTTAACTTTTTAATCACCAGACTCAAGTCGATCTCGGCGTCCTTCGCGAACATCTTCGGTTTCTCCTGTAACAAGTGATTATAAGAGGCATGTCTTTAGAAAGGATCCTTACGCTAGGAATGGCCACGCCTCCCTTGACGGTCTCCCACTCCCCTTCCTCGTCCTCCTCATCTTCGCGTCGCAATTTCCGCTTCTCGCGATCCTTACGTTCTTTGCGCCGTTCGTCTTTCTTCTTTTCCTTTTCATCATCGTCGTCCTTCTCCGTGGTACGTTTCAAGAAGCGCTCCCGCATGCTCGTGAACTTCTCCTCATCTTCGGAACTGCCCGAACTCGACTCCGAATCTGAAGGCCAATCTTCAGAGTCGGACGAGGATTCGCCCTCATCTCGGACGACCGGCTTAATCACCTTTGCCGCCGGTTTAACTGGAACATCCGAATCGGAGTCCACTTCAGGTTCACCTGTAACATTCATTCATTTACATCTATCTGTTGACGACTTCGCGGTTTTGTGACACGAACAGATATTTATTCTTTTACAAGTAAAAGATTCACGGTAAAAGACTATGCCATAGCATAATTTAAAAGTGACAGCCAAAAGGAGAGCGTAGGTATCGCCTAAACTTGGGAGCCAGACGATTACTTAATATGAGACAATCGCACAAATTAATTCGTGAACCTGAATAAACTTATAGCATTTTTTCTACCCTGAAATTGGTTGCTTGCCCCAAATCCATCAATTCTAAAACAAATTTTCTGTTTAGCTGCACACTGTTCAGCAGTAATATGTAAATTCTTTATAAAAATTGAAAGTCATACATTTTATAAGGAATGGCAATTTGGGGTCTGTAAAATATGTTAAAAAGTGATATAATGGTTAGCGTAATTAGGTTTACCTTTTTTTCATCGTTAATAAGTAGAACAAACATTGGCCAGCACCTACCTCCCATTAAGACCCCCTATGGGCACTTTTTGGAGAAGTTCAATCTATTATCAGAATTCCCATAACACGTCAGAAGTAGAAACTACAGGCTACTCTTATTCTTCTATGTAAGTTTTTAGCGCCGTGACGTCATACAACTTTTTTCAAATAACAAGCCAATATTTTTATAAAATTATTCGAAAGACTTTCTTTTTTGTGTAAAACAAAATTATGCTACGTTTTATTATAAAAAAGAGGAGAAAAAAATGCCAAAGTTAAAAAACTATCTAGCAGCTTAGTGCGTGTTAATTATTTAGGATGAGCGATTACAAAAGTTCGGTCATTGCATTCTTTTTGGTTTTAATGCAATGAACTTAAGGTAAAATATCAGTGTACATGTATATATACTGCAGTTTTTATAATCATTAATTAATATCACAGATTTAAACACTAAAATCTGAGTTAATATTAATACTGTAAAGAAAAGTAGCAACTGACCCATCTATAATAACATCTGCATCAGGCCGCCGACAAAAAAAGTATTTTATTGAAAAATCTCCATCACTCCACCCTTTTGTTAGTCAAGCTCAATGTAATTAAACATAAATATTTCAATTTGTTGAAAACGGAGAAGAAAAGCAAAAAATATATATGACCTATATACATTTAGTGTAGTATTGGCAAAAGGCGTCAATAAAGTGTATCTAGATCATGATCACATGATGTATTTTTTAAAATTACAGCATAAAGGGCAACTTTCATCTGCTTTTTCTTACTCAAAGAGGGGATGGGGACAATTTTGTGTTTTGTACCCAGATAAATTTTTGCGTTACAGTAAGGGTATAGTGCCTAATTAGCACCAACTGTTTGGACAAATAAAATTATTTCTTCCGATTGGAGAGTCCAGCTTCATGGATAAGCTAAGTTCAATTTTTAAGATTATGCAATTATTGTTGAATTACAAATTAAATGAATAGTTTTTTTTAGCGAGACCCATGTGTGTCTCCCCATAATGTACACTAAGAAATTGCAATAGAATCATACGTTTTTCTTCCTCCTCCTCATCATCAGGCTGATCAGGATTTTCGCGAAACTTGGAAATATCTTCATCGAAATCCTTAATATACTTGCGCAGTTTTTGCCTTAACGAAGCCAATGACTTGCTGTTGTTCTTGCTAAGATTCTTCCGACCGTCTTTGTCCTCCCACATTTCCGTTATGAAATCCTCAAGTTCGACTAAGCATCGAGTATAAAAACGAGGCGTCTGCCCACCCTCCTCCTTCTGTACGACCGGTAACGCCTTCACGTACGCCCTTTGCAGATCCTCAAAACCTAAAACAAAATTCCAGAACGCGGCGGCTTACACTCGTTACGTACTTGTCAGCATGCTGCTCATATCCTTGATTTTCTTGTAGTTACGAATTAGCTTGATGAGATTTGTTAGCTCTTCGTACCTCTTCTCCTTGGTCGAACGAACCACACGTTTAACTTCCTCCTCGTCATCGCTAAACTGTAAAGAAACGTACAGGACGGAATACTCCAAGAGTCTGCACACTTACGGTGTAAATAGGCGCAGCCTGTCTGGGGATGATCTCCTCTTGGGATGAACTGTCAGAATCTGAATCAGATCCCGTTGCAAAGAAACGACTCATTTTCGATTAGAATGTACAAGGACCTGAAGACAGACGTGCATTTTTTTAGGTTAGGAATTTGCAGAAACATATTTTTTGAAATTATGATTCTTTAACAAACTAAAGTCTCCTCAAAGTCTGATATTTACCTTAAGTATATTTTAATTACTTTGGTCTTGCTATGAACAATCCCTATCGCTTTTATTGAATAACGAAATTACCGATTTTAGGGCGGTTTAGGGTTTACAATTAATCCTTGCCGGGAGTCTTGCGGCTGTGGCTCGACTTTAGCGAGGTTTCCACTTATACATAGTATGTACAAAGATAATTTATCTTTGATTTATATAATGCGTAATATGCGTTGTGAATGTGGATATAGGTAAAAGTGGATACCTGTTTTGAAGAAATCTAATTGCATGGGCATTTCCATTTCCACCTGTATATAAAAAGTAATTGATGCAATGTACTGCACGCGACCAAAACGATTTCGTTAGGGACTTTTTCGCCGAACAGTTCTTTATTTAAAATTAGCTGATAATTTGCTGTCATTTGCACTTGAACTACAAAAATTTAGAAACTTTGTACGTTTCCGATATTATTTTTTAAGCAGAATGTTAAAAGTATCGCAAAAATCAAATGGCTGATACTTCTTTTCGCTTTGGCACAGACGTAAGCATTTAAAATGGACAATTTCTCACTTTGCACTCGAATTTCTATTTTTGTGATAATGATAAATTAACTGCGTTTCAATTCGGTTTTCCCAAATTTCGAGTACTAATCACTTTTTTTTAGAGTGAGGATAATCAACTTTCGCCCGATGAAGCGGATTGTTTGGAGATTGAAGAGGAGGAGTACGACGCTCTTAACGATGAAACGTTTGGTACCTTGGAGGATTCGGCGTGTCTCGACGATTGGGAGCAGCAGCACGAGCAGTTTGCCGAGCTCGCCGAAAATTCTAAACAGTCCGATAGCTTAGGTAAATTGTAAACATGAAAAAATGAGGTTATATCTCCACCTTTTAGATATATCGATCGATAAGTTAAGTTTAGAGCATTCGAGTTATGTTTTTCCTAGTTCTAAGGATTCGGTGTGGTCGTACAACGCAACTCAAAATGGTGATATTTTTGGTAGTAGTTTTTTGCCAAATTCGCATAAGGGATCGGTAGGTTTACCTATGTCGGTATGCTACTAATCTAGGTTTTTAGGGTGATAAAATTAGTGGGATTGGTGAACGGGGTAATGACACCTTCAATTTGTTTGGTAAAAGTGCCAAATTGGAGGCCCCTAATCTTACAGTCGGAAACCATATTCAGAAAAAAATCTGTACGGTGGAGGAGTTAGAGCGTGGATTGTTGCAGAATCGTGCAAGGCACGAAGGGCATTCAGCCTCACCGAGTCTCATTCCACAGTTTCATCATGTGCAACCAAAACCGCATCCTCCAGTTGTTCAGGTAAAGCTCTCTTTAAAAGTTAAATAAACATTTTTTATTATCATTAATATCAATGTGCCCTTAAAATATGTGCTATTGAAATTGACCTTGAATTCTTTATTTAAACCAGAATTTCCTTTGAAATTGCTCCCTTAGGGTTTTTGCACATTGGGCCCCACATTGGCGCCTTCGTGGTGGCTACGTTGTATAGCATTGATTCGAATGAAGCACAGCACACTGAGCGTTTGTGGCCTGACTAGCCACGCTTCTTCAAAGCCACCAGACTGATGGCGCCACCACGGGAATGTGCTCTGTTCCAAAACTGTACATACTAGAGCTCCCGGCAGTGCTGCCAGTGTATACAAGAAATCCCCCACAGAAATGTAATTAATTGTTCATGCTCTCCATCAAAGTTAGTCCACTGTAATTAGTAAAAAATTCAGTGACATCTAGTGTCGTCTTTAGCTCAAAAAGAAGAAGATCTACATAATGAGTAAAAAAGAACCCTCTTGCGCATCTGTCACACAAAAAAGGATGTATCCAGTAATTGCGATTTTTACGACATTCCCGTGAATGCAGAAATATGTACGCTGCACACCTGCTTCTTCAATGTTCATGATTAAACTGCGAGGTCTGATGGCCTCTTAAACATAAGCAACCAACATGGAGGCACCACCGTGGTGATCTAGCATGCGAAGGCCCTTATTCAATCAAATGTTGGTAATCAATAGACTGCACATTCTTGGGGTAGGCATTTTGAAAATTTTTTACAAGATAATAAGGGCATATTTTAAAATTTAGGCAATCACACCTATTATGTTTCCTGAGAAAAAAATAACAAAGAAATGCTTTTAGGGGCGTGGCTCCCAAATAATCAACCTTAGATGGTTTGTGTCTTTTTTCCCACTGTCATTTGCATTTGCCCGTGCGTCTAGACCTGCACAGGCAAGTTTAACACTTGCATGTCTGTGTATGGGTTTCTATACATTTTTGAAAGGTACATGTTTATTCTGCTGGTCAATAGAGGGCGTTTTTAAGTGAACCTAAATACTAACTATACAACACGGTGGCGACAATTGAGGCCATCCGCCATGTCGTGGCAAATAGTAGATGCGTGTTCGTACGAACAGTCTGATCATGTGCCAACGTCCGATAACACGTCATCTGTAATTGTGCGGCGTGGTGCGACTGAAACGCACGAACACGCATCCACACAGAGAAGCCTTATTGATTATGATTATTTTTTATTATTGCGATTTTTTGACTGAATTGTAATTTCAGCATCCTGGTCGCTTACCTCCTGGATTATATCCAATGGGAATGCCGCCACGTCCGCCTGTTCCACACATGCATCATCCAAATGCTCCCCCTGGCTTAGGAAGGTTTCTCCCACCACCTCATTTCATGCACGGCGGTCCAACGCCGCCGCCCGGCTTAATTTATCCACCTCATCAACCGTTTCCAGTGGGTTCGCAAGTCTCGGACTTTTGCGATTAATGACACAAGGCTTTCAGGTTAATCACCCGTTTAACTTTCCTGCGCCCCCCCGAATCGGCAACATGCATAACATGCACCATAACAATCGACTGAACCACCACAATAACCACCAACATAGGAATAAAATCGACGACAACACACGACATAGAAACGACTACTACACACCACGCGACGAGTATGCCGGACTCATGAGTAGTAGAGAGAAACAGTGGTTAATTAATATTCAGTTGGTGCAGCTAAATACGGGAACCCCGTACTTTGACGACTATTATTACACGGTAGGATTTCTACCTCTTGTAAATATGCGTGTAACATTCTTGTTGCCATAGATATACAAGGAACGCAAGTCAAAGAACAGTAAGGAGAATCAACCCCCTATGGATCGCAATCAGTGGCATAATAGGCGCAATAATGAAAGGCAGGATAATCAGAACACTCTTACACCTAAAGTGTACACACCATTGCAGTTTGAAAACTCTCTGGGAAAGTTACAGGTAGGTGGTTTGATGGCGTAATGTAGGTGATAATCTCATTAAGATCGATTAACTGGTTGGAGCAAAAATATGGGATCGGTGTCAAAATTCAAGTTGTTTAAGAGCGTACCTAACGGATGTAATCTCGACGTAATCAGACCTTGTTTTCTGTAACTTGTACCAAATATTTAACACTTGTGACACTTGTTCATAGAACAACAAACTCACTTGTTTACTTTTTGGCACTCTTGCTTTTTATTTTCACAGCCCACTTTTGTGAAAAATATTCAAAACCCTTATAACTACAGGGTTTAACCACAGGTCGCCCCTTACAGAGTTTGAAGAGAACACAAAAGACTATCGAATAGCGAAATAAAATAGTGGTAGTGCCATTTGAAAAAAAATAGTTATGGGACTTTAAAGTTTGAAATTTATCTTTTCCTTGTTAACCCCCTGCATCATTAAATCCAACCTTTTCATTTTCAAAGTGTCGCCCTTTACTCCGATTAACATTATTAATCAAATGAAATTTCTCAACTTCAAAATTAAGGTGACTACGAATCATCAAAGTGAAAGTGAAATTGAAAAAGAATTCTCTACAGTTTAAACTTTTCATGGCGTTTTGGAGCATCTTGGTCTACACACAGGGCTTTCTTACCTTTTTTTACAGCTTCCGAGGCCTAATGTGATAAGGTTGATTGAGTTGGGGAGGGGCGGGGCTTACGTATGGACCCCCACATAATGCTATTGTCCGCACTTTGTCCTTCTGTACCACTACTAGTGCTCCAATTTAAGCTTTTTCATTGTGGTTTCTTTCTTATACGGTGTAGTACAGCTCAAAGACCAGAATGACAAAGGATTTTTGGGATTAGTCATTTCCTTCCCGAGTTATTACTCATTCTGTGCGGGGAAAATGCGCTTTCGTCGGTCGCGAGTGACCACGTTTTTAACTTGTTGAAAATATTGAGTGCGTTGACCAGGTGAAGCACTTTAAGAGCACTACCAAAGTCTCTGGTGAACCACTCGCTCAACTAACACTGCTCACTACCCCATAAGAAAGCAAAATCAGGAGCGCTTTATAACGCTACTTGTGAAACGTAAACGTACACTTGAAGCACTTCAGTTTGGTGAAGGCAGGCATCATGTGTAAGATGCAAAATATCTTAATGTGGGGCCGGTAGTTAGTTTATGGCAATGTTGGACGCTAATTTAGAACGAGAACGGCGCTGATGACTGGAACCATTTTTAAACGTAAATTACATTTATTTCAGTGCGGCTCAGTTACCGCCCCACGAAAGATCATCGATATGGACATCGTAACTCCCGATAAAGATAGCGATACCAGCCTAACGACGCGAGACACTAAAAAAATAAAACAACTTCTCCTAGAATTAGAAGTATTTTACAGTTATCTGCTAAAAGCGGAGGATTTAAAAAATCCTTTATACAAAAGTAATATGGTAAAATTATGCGAGATTAGGCAAAAACAGAGATTGCGCGAGCTAGACGTCGCCTCGACCTCGGAACAGAAGCAGGAAATCCTAAAATGTTTACAGCAAGAAAGCGCGCCGCTTATGGAGAATTGTAACGACCATCTTTTGAAAGTACTCAACGGATTATTCCAGGAAGACAAATACGCCAACTTTCTTAGTATTCGAAAGGGAAAGGTGAGATCGCGAACAAGTCGGGCCGGTTCTTCAGAATTGTATTTTCAGATGTTGCTCTTACGAATTCTACCCAGCCTACACGTGGACTACTTTGCGATGCAACTCTGCGATTTGTGGACGAAAGTATTGCTAAGCATACCGATGGTCGGTCGTAAAGATACAGCCGGAGAAAATCTCTTCCTTCGCCTGTATCCGCACTTTAAACAGTGGGTCTGGTTCACCTCATCGCAATCGCGCTTACAGATCTCTTTCCAGATTCATTCAAGTTAGTGATATGAGCATCATCTTGGATATAGTTTCGAACTTGCTTGAGGTGTTGAGCCCGGAGACCAGTCGAGGCACGCCAATAAGCTGTCAAGGCAAACCGCCTCTAAACTTCATAACGTCGAACAAAGTATGTCAATCGCACTTAGAGCTGAGCAAAAAACTTACTGGTTATTTTTTTAAGTAATTTGCTATTAACTTCATGTTTCAAGTCGTACTTATTTAGGGCTACGCAGATTAGCGCTAGTCAATAATCGATTAATCTACATATTACGAGGGACACTAAAAAAATAAATGTACCTAGCCATGAAAAGAACAAATGCTAATAATCGATTATGTGATAATTGGAGAATTAAATTACAGTTAACGTCAATAATCGACCATCTCCATTTATCAATGTTAATCTTTATACATAAAAAAAAATTAACTATTAAAATATCGGTGATTTTGATTAACTTTAAATCACATAGTGTGTAATAATGAGCAATAAATGCTTGCCGCTTAAAAATACGCAATACTTCAGATTTAAACAATAATAATATTTACTTAAGAAGGTGGGAGTTACACTCACACTTGTCAAAAGAAATGGAAAATTACATTAACATTAATAATAATAGTATATGACAGACAATATAACAGACAAACTCAAAACAGTAAAAACGCTAATTACTTACATAATCACCACAAGTTACAAACTCGTTAAAAAAATAAAATGCGCTACATAGAAGTGTACACATTGCAATTTTGCAACCAATTTTCAACATATGTATTATAAAATATTTCTCCTCAAAGGATTTAAAATGTGCACACTGTGATTGTACAACGATCTACTATACCCGGCACCTCCACTATTCATTTTCTATTAATTGCATCTATTAGTGTGCCACGAAGCCAGTTGGCTTCTCCTGCAGACTAAATTAATCATCTGTGCATAGCCTGCTGAAGGCTTTTTATGTGCCGGTACCAGAAAGTTGTAAGCGTAAATATTTAAAATGTGTACAGTGTAATTTTGCTACCAAATGCTGAAACTGAAACAAAATGTGCACACTGTAATGGCAACATATTGAAATGTTAGACTGACCGGGATAGGCCGATAGACGATACAACATTCATCGGGTCTGCTATTATCTACACTTATAAAGAAAAATGAATGTTTGTCTGTCTTTTATGCCTGTGGATATTCCAAAGGCGGTACGAGGTTCACCGGGAATGCTTGTTAATTATGAAATAGTTTACGTTTTACGCATAGTAGTACAAACAAATTTTTATTATCTAATTAGTTTTCATTCGATTATTATGACATGAGAAAGAATAAAATCTGTAATTACATACATATTATATTCTTTACTACAGTTCCTATTTGTTACATTAGGAGGGTCACTCTGTAATTGGGTCCAAGCCTGGTGAGGACCCAGAGCAAGAGAGGGATAATTACAAAAAATATCAAAATCAGATCTGTTTTAATAAAATAATCCGATTAGTTAACTAATTGAATGTAATAGTGATTGTCAGATGTTGAAATGTGATGCAGTTTTCTGTTTATCATAAAATGTTCGCAAAATAGCTACAGTTACTTCAAAATGTAACCAAGTTAGAACTTCAGCTAAAACAGCTTCGATCACACCTCCACCTCTCGGTAACAGTAACATTTTTAGTTTGGAATGTCCGCTTTGGCAGCAATTCTCATTCGTGTTGAGACTTTAATCACGGAAAATAAAACAACCGAGAAGGAAAGAACTGAATGGTTCCACTTTGTTATCGGTTGGGCGGAGACACTCCTCGTGCCAAAGCTTCTTCTTGTCGTACCAATCGAACAAATATCTTCCGATATTTTCAGTCAACACTGCAACCGAATCGGAAATTTATCGCTAGATAGAATGAAACTATTGGAGAAATGGATATCGAATGGAAGTTAAGTTTTTTAATTATTAGTCTTTTAGTTATAAGTTATGATTGCTTGCAAATGTTTAGTGAAATTTTTTAAATTGCAGTCGATCGGTGCATTTTTAATGACGCGTTTTACATTCATTGTTAATTCTGAAGTTGAAATCTTAGTTGATATCTTTGACAAAAGGCAGCCGCGCTTGCTGTCGTAGTTCGATTCTTTTAAGTAATAATGGTTATTGTAATTGTGATTGTTTAAATGTAAAGTGCAGTTAAATTTAGAAATTTGTTAATATTGATAACATTATTTCGATAATTTATAGATACACATAGTTATATTTTTTGTATTTTTCTAGTTAAGCATGCATGAGTACGTAATGTAATACCAAACAGACTTTTGTATATTTCTTATAGGCGCTAGTTGATTTCAAGATAGGACACTATAATGCTTATATTTGTTTAAAATGGCATTAGTGCAAACATCTTCCTTTATATTGTATATAAATCGAAGTTTTATATACAATTTTGTAATTAATTTATTGTATAAAATGTTCACATTATATTTATTAGTTTTATCATAATTATATCATAATTAGCTATCATGTTTTTTTAAATAATACTTCTTATGTCGAACCAATATATGTTAATCAACGTTTGACAATTTAATAAAATTATGAAGCCTGTTGTAAAATGTATAGTTTTAGTTTATAATCCGCTTTTATTTTGTTGACGGTTGATACCACTTAAGGTTTTTTTGGGTTTCTTATGTTCAATGTAGTGACTCCTTAGGTCTTTGTAGAGCTCTCTACTTTTTAAGAATTACTTGACTGTAGAAAGCTCTGGGTCTTTTAGTACGTTTCAGAGCCTTCTACGCACATTGCTTCCAGAGTAAGTAAAACTGTGGCAAGTGCCTAAGACTTGTAAAGCAAAATGTTCCAATAGTTTCTTTGTACGCTTTATAACTCATTTCCGGAACAGTCCCGCGCCGGGTTAATCCCATTACTATTATTTACTACCCTGTACTTGATCGTTATGTGAATATGCCAATTTCCTGATAGTGTATGTGAGACATTTATTTGTTATAAATATTGTGTACAAGTGAGTGGTAAATAATAATTATATAACTGTTATAAATCAATCCGTTTAAGGACTGTTACAAATTCATTTTTAATTAATTGTAAATAAATAAGTCGCCTAATCAAATTTATGCGCCATGAACTACGTTTCAAGAAAGAGCACGCCGAGGACGAAAATATTACTGAAGGGGGTAGTAGTATGAACATTAGTTCTTATTTATTCAATGGACATTTAATTATTCACTCAGAAACATGAAATGCTTTGTTGCTTAATTCACAATCGCAGATAAGATCATTCACTCTTTAACCCATTATACCACACTGGAAAACTTCCATTACGTAGGAGATTTGGGAAGGCCAATTGCTACAAACTTTAAATAAAAAATGTGGGAGCAGAACGAATGGATCTGTATAATCAAACATGAGATTTTTGTTGTACATTGAAGTTTTCTTGATTTTGCTTGCTCTAATACTTCTGCAGGTAATTAATCTTTCTTTAATCAATTATCACCACACTTATAATCAGATTCCAGGCTCCGCAAGGTATGGAATGTGTATCAAGAACGACGATGACGCATGCAGTTTCCCAGGGAGCAGCCTTATTCATCTTTCAAAGGCGTTTTCAAAGTTTGCGAATAGCATACTTGAATACTTATACCACCAGTCTGTGCTTTTTAAGACAATATTTATCGACGAGTTGATCATCGATCTCCGTAATTTATTGATCTTAGCAAACGTGTTTCGATGTTCAAGTGAGATTAAGAGTAGCGTTTTGGAAATTGTCAGTACAGTCAGTCATTGGAAGAATTAACCACACTAATTATAATTAGATTTCACTTAGGTACTTACTTGAATTTGAAAACGTGACTAAAAAGTGTTGATTAAAGTGCCTCTGCAAATGTAAGAATTATTTTACGAATCACGGATGCGTACGTGACCAATGTCAATCTGTCAATAAAGAAGGATATGCTGTGGTAATATGTCGGACTAGTAAATAGGTAAACGACGGATAGGGCTTATGGCGTCCCCTTGTGGAAGAAACGTTGTTATGGCGAAATTGAACACCAGAATATTGCGAAATGAGTCGTGTACATGGACACATAATACAGATTTTAATTAGTGATAACACTTGTTACTGACATTCAAAATTTAAAGAAATTAACATTGATATCAATCCTTACAGAAGAAATTAACCACTACTTATATTGACCAATAAAATTTATGGCTATGATTGACATAGTTCATGTTTTGTATCAGATTCACTTACACAATAATACATTTATTTTATTCACTATTAAAACATTTAAAATTTCCAAAATAGAGAAAAGGTGTAGAAACTAAATCAATTCGAGAATCACACAAACAAATGGTTAAATCGAAAGAATATGATTATGCTAAAAAATTTGCAATTACACCAACATGGGAATTTCTAAAATCTATAGGGACGTATGTGGAAAGTTATAGGCCCGATTTCTTAGAAGGAAATAGGATAAATTAAGAAAGCGTTCAAGATCAGCACACTTGTATTTGTTTAAGACACGTAACTCATTATCTAACTATATCATTGTAAGTATGCCCAACCCTAATGAGACATTATATACAGAACGGAATATCACACTGTGAACGAATCCAATCGCGCCAGCTGAATATGTCTTCATACGTATCTGGATTACCTTGGGCGCATTCGTAAAGGGTCGATGATACACCCACAAGGCTGTTTGCCTCGATCAACGGCCCGCCAAGATCGCCCTTGCATAACCCAACACCCGGAGCAGTGGCAGTGCACAATTTACGTTCATTTGGATAACCGGGAACTGTACCGCTATCGCAATCCTTTCCTTCCTGTATAACCAAGCTTATGTACTGCAAGGTATCGGACATTGTAGTATCGGGGTATTTCGTCATACCCCAACCTGTGTAAGTAACCGATGTTCTCGGCGGCGTAATTTTGTTTGTTAAACGAATTGGTTTAATTTTATCGTTAAACACGATGTCTTTTGTAGGTTTTATAACTGCTATATTATGAAGAAAACTTGTTTCGTTATAAGTTGCAGGCTTAACAATCGAGCCAATTTGGTATACGGTGCCACCAGCGCTTAACTTACTTGCTCCGACCACTATACGAAAGTTGTTCGCTTGTGCGCTAAACGAAAAAGAAAATAAATTAAATTAAATTCGTTAAGAGACTCCGAACATACGTTATACTGCATGCAGCGTTCGAAATTATGCATTTCTTCGAGATAATTGCAGCAGTGCAGTAATGCTTATTGTTGGCATCCTGTAAGGAAGCAGTAAATGGAAACTTTCCATCGCTTGCTGTAGCTCCTCCGAGGACTTTTTCATTCCAATGCCCCGATTCGGCACCTTTTGCATTGATTTAATTGATTATTAAGACTACCTCATTACACATTGACTCACCAACGCTAGCAACTAGAAGAGCGAGCACCGTTACCCACATTTCGCTGCACAGATCAACGTGGATAGTTACAGTCCCCTATATATAAAGGTTTGCGGAGATACGATGCTTAAAAAAATACGCTTTTGTAATTACAAATTCCAGGTATTTACTCAACTTGTGTATCTTGATTGTTTAAATATTATATGTTGTGGCGCAACTTTTTTTCTAGCATTCCCAACGAGCGACTGAACATTACGAGGTATTGATTGTCATGTGTTTACCACCTACACCTGCCTATGGTGATCTGTGAAATTGGTATGAAACAATTAAATACTGCAGTCTCAAAGTCGGTGGGTCAATTATTTGGACTCGCTTGGAAGATAGCGCGCTAAATTTAATTGAAAAACAAGCTTGAGCAAATTTGATTTTCGTCACAAAGTGTTTTTTCAACATCAGATTGTAACTTACATTTTGCAATTTTATACCTTTAGATAAAGTTTCCAGCAAAAGAGTTACTTCTTCGGAACTCAAACTTTGTACCCATTCATTGCCCATTTGCGTTATTAACGGACTTTGTACACAGTTATTCTACTTTGAAGCCTATTTTGTAGAGTTGCTAAGTTTTTCATTGTGCACCAGCATTATCAAACGATAGTTTCATCTACTGAATTTATTGTACATTTTTTTCCTTCTCAATTGGCTGAGCGATAGTGTTTTGCAATATGACAGTGTCTATTTCCTGTTCTTCCAGTAGGTAAATGAAGAGATTGAAGGGTCTCCGACGCGCCATTCAGTCTCAGACTGGATCGTTGAATATGTGTTTTGCAGAAGCTGCAGTCTTTCCTTTTCGATCTTCGTTCATCTCACATTACGTTTTCAAAGGTTTACTTTACATCTTTTTTCGTGCTTTGAACAACACGCGTTAATTTTTGCGGCCGGAACCCCTTTTCGATCCGCTTGGCTTATGCGTAAACCCCATCCATTATTGTCTCAAAATAATAAAGAACTTGCTATTAATTTGGAATATATAGGTAGTTTGTTTCAAATATCCCAAATTAATTAAACAAGTCTAAGTCTCTGATGTGCAATCACTAGACTTCAGCGCATCGGTAGCTTTCAGGCTTAAAGGAAATTCATAAATTATATAAATTTCAGGAATGGCCTTCACCTTTCAGACTAAGCGATGCAGGAATAACACGATAGTACGAATATATTGCCGAAAACCCAAAAATTCTACGATATTCCGTTGCCGAGATCTGGATCAACTTTATAAAAGGCGTCTGAACAGCCGACTGTTAGTGAAACAATTAAGCTCCATTTTTAGAATCAAAAATGCGCTAAAAAGAATGAGGGATGTGAATTTTAGTACTTTTGGGGGATTAGTTTCTGAACAAAATTTTTTGGAGCTACAGCTTATAATATATATAAAAAAAAAGTTTGTTTTGAACCCCTCTATAATCCATTTCCTTTAACATACTTAATAGTTACACCCAACAGTTACCAGGAAGACCATAAAGCCTTGAAAGTGCGTTAAAGAGATGAAAACTTGATAGTAAAAATTAGAATTGTTATGGCAGGCTGCATGCTGTGAGGTTGTCCGGAAGGATCTGCTTCCTAGGCTCTACAAGGCCGCCGTCTGGACGAGTGAGTCACGAATCACGACGATGGGTGTGGACAATTGACTGGGTACGTATACTGTCATCACATCATATTTTTAATTAATTAATAAGTCATATTTATTAAATATTTTGCTGCATGACTTGAAATTATTTATAGAAGGTCTTAAGCAACTTTGTATATTTGCATGATAGTTTTGTAATTGCAGGTGACTTCAATGTTCCGTCATTCAACAGTGCTGATGCGAAACTTCCTACATTTCCTAAATGCTGATCAATACCTATTACAATAATGTAGCTAATTTGCAAGGTAGAAGTCTTGACCTTATTTTATCTAGCTGCCAAGTTCAACATATGATGATTCTGGTTTAGTTAAGAAATACCACCCTGCCTTAGATTTTACTTTGCAACTTACTGGTAAGTAACTCTTGGGTTATATTTTCCGTCAACGTTTCTTGTATTACAATCTTTTAAATGCAAACTGGACGATATATTGATTTTAATGTTACCTGTACAAATTTTTATAATGTTCTTTATTCGATTTTTTTATGTACACATCTTTAAATTTAACCCTATACTGTATTCACTTTAAGAAGGTAGCGCTAGAACCATGCACTTAAGTTCGTGGCTAGAAGGCATATGGAAGCTTTGACCTTCACTGTGATTGGTAATATGAAAAGCACAATTTATAAAGGGCCTTATTGTACCTACATCCAGCTCTTCCTATATAATGCAAAATAATTGAGTTCTTCTCCGCTTCAACAATGGTAAAAACTCTTGACTTTTAGTTTTTGTGTCTGGAATACTAACTACCAGCATCGATTCTCCATCTTCTATATAGGTATGTAGTCTTTTTCATAGTTTTTATAGCATACCTATGCTATTAATTTTGAAATGGATTCAGATCGGTCGGTATTGGAAAAATAGTATAAGTGACACTGGATTAAACTAGTTTTTGCTCCCTCATGAATTTTAAAACCCTCGACAAGCCTCGGGTTTTAAACCATTCTTTCAGGAACAAAAACTCTTTTTAATCCCTTGTTACTTAATATACTATTATTATAAATTTGCTGCTACTTAGACACAGACACCTCAGACTCAGATCAAAATTGAGGTTATATTATATTGGTCTTCAAAAATGTCTTTAAAAGAGGATCTCAAGCAACTTGTCAAACCGTATTATATATTTAACATAATTTTGAGTTTCTCTTACATAATTTGCCGGAAGACGCCTGGCATTTGTAACTATCTATTCGACGCTGACGAATGCGAATTTGATGGGGTAAGCTCCGCTCTCTCACTAACTCCACCTCACAGTCATCAATTTGCAGCGAGAAACTGAAATTTTATTCTTCCTAATAATAGTGATAATGATAAGGAGTCGCAAAACCGGTAGCGTGACGATGATTAATTATTTATCGTCAAGTTTTATATATACCAAAGTTGCCAATCTGATTCTATGGTTTTATGCCGATTTTATAATGGGAATTATCTATGCTATAATATTTATATGTAAGTGTATGATACAGTGGACATAGTCACATTGTGGGTTTTAGTAATGGGCCTTCTTCTACCTGCACCTGCTTATTCGGGACCAGATAAAGTCATCTACTTTCATGGTCAAAACAGTTTGGAGGATGAACTCGTACGGAACAAACAGGTCACCTGGATCATTACATTTTATACCGTCTGGAATCCAGCATGCGTAACTTTTGCACCAATCTTTGCCAAACTTAGCAGCGATTATTACTTAGATAATTTAAAGTTTGGAAAGATTGACGTTGGGAGGTATCCTGAAGCGGGAGTAAAATATCGGGTTAATGATAGTAGCTTGAGCAAGCAATTGCCGACAATGATTGTGTTTAAGGAGGGGAAGGAGGTGGATCGGAGACCTTTGATTGATGGCAAGGGGAAAGTGATCAAGTTTTTATTTTCCAGAGAAAATGTCGAGGCAGCTTTTGATTTGAGTAATTTGTACGAAAGTTGTAAGGCAGACAGTAAAAAACATTTAAAGAGAGATTAGAATGACTGTGGCCAATTAGTAATAAAAAGTTTTCTGTACACAGGCCTGTAGCCCTGGATGGGAGGTGGTTCATCCAAGATGCTGTAGAAATAATGCATGAAGTCTCTAGTATTAAAAATACTGTTTAATTATAATGAATTTAGTTCTAATAATACCCATTAAACGCAACAGAACCAGGCTTCAATTCCTGTGAAACACATTTTCTTAGAACTAAACAGAATCATAAAGTCTGATGACATCCAATGATTTAGCAGGCCAGCGAGTAACAGGACACCGGGTGTCCCTCTGAAGATGGCGAACAATGCATGGAAAGCAAAACACGTACCTGTAGGCCCATATCATTAGTCTTAGTCATAAGTGCATAAATAATATTTACCCAGAAACTGGCAGAACAGTTGGAATCTTATATGACTGTAAGCAAATGGGGCATCTTCCCTTAAAAGCACCTGCTTTCGAATCCAGCTGAAAGATGACTAAGATGTGCTGCTGTAAGTAACATATGGATGCTTACAGGTGGGGGTGGTACCGTTGGCAAGCTGGTGAAGCTGTAATTTGCTCTCTCTGTGTTCCATACTTGCAAAAATTGCATAAAAAAGGCAGAGATTTCCAAAAGGTTTTGCAACAAACCTGCACGCAAATCTGTAAAGCTGATATTTTGTGTGTTAGTATCGAAAAATCAAATTTTTGTTATGTCTTAACGCCTATACTCATTGTAAAATCTTCCTACCTCAATTTTGCTGTATTATACACATTTTGTGCTCCTATTGTCTTTGAGGTATTCACATTTTTGGAAAAAATAAAATTCCATCTTCCCACAGAGATGCTCTAGCTAGAGAGAAGACAGCCTGGCAAAAGCTAAAACTTAGCCTACTTAAAAATGACTTAGACACTTTTGCCTTTGTTTTAATTGGGTGGAGATTGAATCCAGGATGTTTTATCAACCAATCCTAAGTACTATACAGTTGCACAATTTTTATGCCAGAACCCGGATTTGAACATGGCTCCTCTTAGCCATATTTGAGCATTGAACCCACTAGACCAAACACAATTTGTCTCATACAGCAAGAAATAGCCCAAATGACATGATTGTACTCAAAAATAGAATATTTTGATTTGGAACAAACCTCAATTGTCCTCTAAATAAGGCAGTCCAGAAGGAAGGCATAAACTCGGGTGTTGCAAGGTACACCAGTTTCAGTTGCATTAGCTGAAGCGGAGGTGTCTGATGGCAGCTGGTGTTCGATAGATAACGGAGGTATTGTACAAAAGTCCAAAAACCATATGACACATGAAAGAAAGAATGTGCAAATATAGATGCCCGTTTACACAAACCAATGTGCAAGTAGCTTTCCGCATTCTCCACCCTGTACAACTGAATTTGTTCATCTATCTTTATCTTAAGGTATGGTAGCACGACCAGGAAAATGAGTGAGAGTTTGTAGTGAGCTTCTGTTAGTGGCTGGTTTGATGAAGTGACACGTTGCAGTCCGTAGAAGTACTCGGCAAAAGAAGCACCTAAGGTGAGTGGTTAATGAGTTTTATATGCAAAAAGCTTACCAGTTGTGCGTAAGTAATGGGATTGCAGAAGCCCATTTAACACTAGGAAGACTTCATCGCTGTATTGAACCAGCCAAGAGAATCTATTTGCATTCACTTGTGCTAAAAACTGACCCCCAATTTATGCCATATTATAGGTAAATCGATCTTACTCTAGTAAACTTATGAAATGCTGGGTGAAGAAGACTGTTCAGAGACTGTTGGGCGATAACCTCAAAAATTGACGGTTCTGTCTCTATGGTCGCTGTGTAATGAGCGACATTGGCAGCCATTTCATCTAAACAAACTTAACATGGTACAAAACAAGAAGGAATAGCAAGTTCAGTTACTGATAACCTCAAAATTATGACATAACCTTAACAGTTCAATGTCATTACATTTACAGCTCCATAAACTACTGTGTCTGACTTCCATTCAATTCCACCGAAATTACTCCTCCCTCAATATGGCAAAGAAAGCCCTAGTGTTAATAGCAACAGGTACTGAGGAAATGGAGTGTGTAATTACTGTCGATGTGCTTCGCCGTGGAGGGGTTTGCTTCAAAATGTATCCCTTAAGGTTTACTTATACCTAAAACATTTGTAGGTGGAAGTGGAGTTGGCAGGTGTTACCGGAAAAGATGCAACAAAGTGTAGTCGCGGTGTTGCTGTCGTTCCAGACATTGAATTGTCACAAGCAAAAGGTCCCTACGATGCCATAGTCTTACCGGGCGGTTTAGGTGGATCAAAAGCATTCTGTGAGAGTAAACAGCTAGGAGAAGTGCTGAAGGGACAGGAACGCGACGGTGGTATAATCGCTGCCATCTGTGCTGCACCTACTGCATTACGAATTCACGGAATTGGGATTGGAAAAAACTTAACATCCTACCCATCTGTGCAGTCTCAAGTGGTTGAAGGGGGAAATTACACTTATAAGGAAGATGAAGTGGTGGTGGATGGGAATCTAATAACTAGTCGTGGTCCAGGCACCGCCTTCAAGTTTGCTTTAACTCTTGTTGAACACTTGGTAGGACAAGAAAAGGCAAAAGAAGTCGCACGAGGGATGTTAACGTCTTTTTAGGTAGAAAGGTTCCTATTTGTACCTGTTGTAAAAATATGTAATAAATAAAAGAGGTAAAGTGCTTCAATTGTTTTTAACCAAACCACTATAGATGCATATCGCAATATTGAACGTGTAGTACACAATTTTTTTTGCATAGTGAACCTTAATGATCCATAATTGAATAATATCACTGACATTATCACGATTTAGTGTTAGGTACCTACTCAAAAATGGAGGCTCTATTGTTCATATTTCCATTAGTGTATTTTGAACTGCCTATTCTAGGATTTGCATTATGATTTTATACCCCAAATTCTTTTTCGTATTTTAAAACGTTCAGCTGTTAGTTACATATTCTCTTCACTTTGGAAAGGGTTTGCAAGGTTGGGAAACAAAGGACCTATGGAAATTTATAGCAGGGACCTCTATACCTACCTATATATAGTCTTATAAATGCTTTCTGAAGTCATGTTTGTAACTGTCCTTGAAGTAATGGGTATTTTATATGCCTCTAAAGTCTAAATTCTATACGTTATATGACCGGATTTTCAGGGAGGTCGTAGAAAAAAATTATAGAACATGCCTATAGAGGTAGGTACGTGGGCCATTTTCCCAATCAGCCCCTTGAAAGGCTGAACGAATATTAACCCTATACAGTTACAATTACAACCTTTGGACGCCACTGTAAAATTTCAATTGGGGTCGCGCAAACGCAAAGGGTGGAGTTTTCAATTAAAAATAAATTAAAATCACCCTTATTACCAGTTCGTTTTTAAATAGAAGTACTTAGTTTTGTATTCTTTAAGGGCGAGTTATAGATTATTCGTGATTATTTACTTTGCCAGGTAATTGTTTACCTTATATTTATTTCGTTTAATTAATCTCAAAGCTGCCAGTAGTTGCACTGTGGAAATGGAACCACCTGGACCTCAACTGGATATGGATTTTACAAAAAATCCCCTTCTTTGTCCTGTATGCCATGATTACTTCATCGAGCCATGTATTCTACATTGCTACCATACATTCTGTGCTCGATGCTTGAAGGGACGGGAACAGGATCGTCGATTGACATGTCCAATTTGCGGGTAAGGTTCTACAGTTCCACCGATACAGTTTATCTACACTTTGTTTCTGTAGGCAATACACATTACTGAAGGATGGCACTACACTACCCCCTCCCGATTCCTTAATGCGTCAACTGATCGAAATTGCCAACAGCGAAAATCCGCCATGCTCAAACTGTGACAAAAGGGATCGCTCCAACATGTTTTACTGCAATACTTGCGGTGAACACTCGTTTTGACATTTTTATTTTATGTTGCTAGGTTTGTTTAGTTCTCATTGCTTAATTTTGCACCGTTCCATCGGAACCATTGGTAATTTTGCACACGTCTACAGGTCAGTCCTTATGTTCGAGCTGTCGTGACAACACTCACAGGGCTAAGATGTTCTCCGCTCATGATGTCGTGCACATGTCAAAGTGCTTCCGTGAACCAAAACGAGTGGGTAACATACGGGGTGATCCGAAATATTTTACATTCTCATTTGTAGTGTCCGCAGCATGGAGAGCAATACATTATGTATTCTCCATTGCAAAATGCGATGCTTTGCGTTAATTGCTTCAGAGATACGCCTAACGAAGTTCGAGCCCAATGCCTTGATATTGAAACTGCCTATAGTCAAGCTACTAAACGCCTAGAACGTGGACAGAATGCCATAATGGATTTACAAGTATTTGTACCTCTCAGTCATTTATTATTAGTTCTCTCTTATATATTCAAAAATTTGGTTATATTCACCTTAATGTTGAGCAAATGGGGACCTAGTTTGACATTTCTGTTTTGTGACAAAATGAGTTAGTTTGATTTCATTATAGGTAATTGGCAAGTGCAGTAATGACTTGTATAGATAGAGCAAAGGGACAAAGTAGGTACCTGTAACATAGGTGCATCTTTGAGGTGGTCAGTGGGTAACCGATATGTACTACCATTGAATTTATAACTATAAATTCAATGGTACTACCATTGAATAAAGGTACTAGGATAAGGTATTTTTCAAAATTAAATATGTATGTTAGACAGAGCATTCAAGAGATACTGAAATAAAGTACCTACTTGTTGCAACAGTGTAACAGTCTGCTTCTATATATTGTATTTCAACATCGTCTATAGTAGAAACTGTGAATTTGTTAGGCAACGCTGTTTGAACAATTTAAAATTCAACCGACCCTTTTAGTATTGTCACCCATTATTTTAGAGCTCGGTTCGAGATGGAATAATCGCACTTAAAGGACTTATGGACGAATTGCGCAGAAATATGGATGGTGAGAAGCACACAATTAATTCTTTCTGTCAAGGGATGCAAGAGGCAATCGCGAAAACGCACGCCGCCATGATTATGGAAGTCCAACGCCAGTTCGAAAGCAAGGAGCGAATTTATCGAAGTCAATTATTGCTGTTGGGTAGGTATTCGAGCGTTTGATTTGGTGTCTTGAATGATTATGAATGCGTTTATTTTAGGCACCGTTATGCCCGTGCTACAACTTCATTTGATTTTATGCACAACGTTCACAACGGCCGCGAATAAGTATCAATTTTTGGAGCTGTGCCCAGCCTTAATCGAACGTCTGGCCTCAGTAGGACAACTTAGTCAACCCGTCAGGTAAACATGTGTTAAGGCGAGGGGTGTTCACTGCGCCTAAACTGTGATTACGACTATAAAATACGAATTTCAATTTATCTATTGGTACCTTCATATCTATACAATATAAGTAGATAAAAAGTACTAAATTGGATCTTTGAGAACAATTTTTTTGCATTTCGACTAACTGGGTAAAACAACTAAAACTAAATAGATACTGGAAAAAAAGATGTTAGAATACGATTGAATTTCTGAATTTCCAGAGCCTCACGTATTGTTTACGGTTAACAGTATTTTTATAGGCGCTTAACAGATCTTTATAGTGTCTTTTGAGGGCCTTTTAACACCTAAAGCGTTTTTTGGATCCCGTAATGCAGCATCTTGGTTTTTTTCTAAAACTGTATGGGTTCTGATTTCAAGTTCCTTCTAGATCGCTTTGCAAATGGTCTAGATTAAGAAGGTTCAGGACGCTATACAACGAGGGGGGGGGGAGGAGCTAGAGACCTCTCAAAAGTTTGATAAGGGCCTACGGAGTAAAACATTAAAAGTTTAAACGTTTGGGGCAATTGATGAAGTAAAGAATACTTTTAAATATAGTAATAAATACTAAGTAACTAAGTGTAATAACTGTTGTTGTTCGTATTATAACCTCAACAATGGCATCTGTCTGTTTCGAAAATATAAACACCCTTTACAATAATTATGCCCAATCTTATGACGTTTCTTTATACCTTCAGATCGCTACAATCTTCCTCGATTAAAACCAATTACCGAAGCGAATTCGCTCAGTGCCTGGAACCGTGGGTCGGCAAGGCCGCTGTGAATCAACATATCGCCGAATTGGCAGGTTTGAGGTGAAGAAATTGAAAATTCTCAAAAGTAATTGTATTAATCAGCTTCTCAGGTATACGAAAGTGCCCCACCCCCAACAAAGCGACAGCAAAACATTTTAAAGGGCAAATTGTTAGATAGCGATAGTACTTTTTCCGCGCATTGCCGTTCTTTCGAGTCTCAAATTAGAGAACTAAATCAGCAATTTAACATAGTTAAGGATCGCATTAGCGAATTACATAAAGATATTATAGCGCTACGCAAAGCACAAACGCCTCCGTTATTCGCACGTTACGAGATTTTAACTCGCGACTGTGCATTGTTAGATCAACAATTAGAGAGGCAACAACAGCAGTTAGATAGAATGGCTTCGATTTTCGAGACCTCTTGGGAGGAACAGCTGTGGAGGTTGCGCGTGGAGCAAGAGGTGTTCAGTTGCCAACGTGCAGATGTGATGACGTTACGTAACGAGTTGAAGCATCTGAGAAATGTTGCGGCACAGTTAGAACCGTACGTAAAGAATTTGCAACCTCCAGAGCCGTCGGCGCAAAGTTCAAGCGAGAAGCTTAGCGAACAGGCGCAGCAGCTTCAGACGTTATTGGAGAATGTCGGGCTGATGCAGCAATCCAGTTCACAGATCAGCAAACTGCCGAGATCGCGCAGTCGCGTCTTAACGCAGTTGCTCGAAAAAGTACGACCTAATTTGCAGGAACGTGAACGCAGCAAATCGGCTGGGCAGACCGACAAACCTCTGGTTCTGACCCAAAAACCGATCAGCACCCCGCAAAAGATTAAGAAAGATTTCGCTTCGGTAAGTGTCCTTCAGATCTCGCTAAAAAATCTCATCGCCCTTGTTTGTAGAACCAGTACATCCCGCCACAGTACTACGGCAATCAGAGTCTTGAAAAATTTGAGTCGCAAATTAGGGAGAAAATTCACGACATTCTTTGTCAGCGACAATCCGCGCAGACTCCTCAAAGTATGCACTCGAAGTCCGATACCGAAAGCGAATGGAAGTCGAAGGAGGATATTAAAGCGAGCAAAACACCTCCGCGCATGAATTCATTCATAAAAACTCCAACGAAACAGCGCATGGGTTATAAAAAGATGGGAAAAAGTTGCGATAAAATCAACACATGCACCAAAGTGCCCGTTGAGGCGCGAAAGGCCCGTTCCGAATCGGAATACCAACACATCTCCGAAACGTCCAGTCAAAACGTAAAGGCCTTAGTTCACACTGAAAGCCGTTCAAGCCCGACTTCCCCTAAATGCAAGAGTAAGCGCATGCCGCAAAAGCAACGCAAACCTAAGATCTACCCCTTCAGCGACGGAGAAGATAACGTCTTCTACTCCCGCCACGATTCTGCCGATTCGCTATCGACCGGTTCCGTGAATAGCCGCCGTTCGAGTTTCGAGGGCCCCGATAAGACGCTGATCGTGGTCGTCAATCGTAGAAGCAAAAATATGACTATGGCGCAAAAGCAGAGGAGCTGGGAAACGTTTCCGCCTAAGCGCCGTCATCACATGTGCCCGAAATTGTCCGCTCCGGCGCCGATGCCGCTACGTAAAGCTGACAGTTTCGAAGGCCACGAAGAAGCTGTTAAAAGTCTTGTCGCCGCCGTGCAGGAAACCCGACGGAAATCGAAGGGTGGAAATTAAATAACTATGACATTTCCCGTTGTTAAAGCGTCGGCACAGATATACACAGCTGCGGCGTTGGGTTTCTAGCGCAATAAAATTAATTTCCGGCGGAATAGCAACGAGGCGCAATAATCGTTCATTTCTGCCACTGATCAATATTTGTAGAAAGGTGCCCAATAACTTTGTTACTTACTCATTGCTGTTTTTTTTTTCGAGACAGTTTATGGAAGGTTTGTACTTGCCTTCGTTGAGTTGTGACATGGGGCCAGACCTTGTGGCCGTTAACGTTTAAAACAGCGAGGAGAGTTAATGAGAATGTATGCAAGTTGGAGGTAAGTGAACAAATTAGCTTTGTTTTATAGCAGATGTTAAATTGACACTTTAACAGGTTTGAATGAGTAGGCTAAGTCGCTCTTTAACCGTGAGGGTAGATGAAGTGATCACTTTAACCGCAAGGGTAGATAAAGTGAAATAGATGACTATGCATTCTAATGACATCTGTCATTCTTATTTAAAATGGGACGCGGAGTACGCTATAAAATGACGTTCAAAACATATGAAAATGCTGTTTCGCGACGACTGAACCTAAGCTTGCTAACCATCTCGTGGAAGTTAATTCACTCAATGGTTAAAATATTCCTTTATCGTCTTATATAATAAATACTTTAAGTACTTATAAAGTTAATTTATTCATTTACCTCCACATTAAGGAAACGGGCTCATACAACATGGAACAATTCATAATCTTCACAATAATGTAGCTATGCATTAATAAATAGGTAATTGGTATGTTTAGATATTTCATGACTTCATGGCGTTATTGGGTGCCGCTAGATACTTGGAAAATATATTTCATTATAGTTATACAGACTAGGTATACCTATCTCAAAATATTGGCCGTTTGTGTTGCCTTTTCTGTTAAAATTTGACTATTGGGAGGAGAAAATCTCTTTCATTGCACGTAAATTTAGACCATATTTCCAACAAAAGTGCACCAAGTTAGGGATACTTACTTTAAAACCAAGTGATTTAATGTTACCTACATATGCACTGGTAAAAAGTAATTACCTACCTATATAGCTTACCAGCGGAATTGTTTTGTCACTTTCTAGGTCAAATGTCAATAGAAAAAGTCTAATATTGTAGAATTTCCCAAAGTTTGCAACCACGTCATCGGTGTATTACATCTGAATTAGCTGGTATGTTTACATAATATCTGCAATCGAAGTGCTGCATTGTAGTTGGTATACTGTAGAGGATTGTTGTAGTAATGGGCATACCAACCACAATGCAGCACTGTTCGTGTGGTTTCCTACATACTTATTCTGGTATATTGATTTCAGATACTATGTAAACATACCTAATTCAGATGTAATACATCAATTATGTGCGTAGTGCGTGCAAACTTAGGAAAATCCTACTATAGTCATTTTGTGGGACTACAAAAGCTGTTCCTACAATTACAGTGGTCTCCATGTTTGTTTAAAAAAAATGACATAAATATAATTACCAACATTAGATTTGTAGTCTCTATTGAAAGATTACTGACAAACATTTATATCGATTTAAATATCTGTTTAAATGAAGGGGTGGATATGAAATTGGCGTTGTAAACTGTTGCTTTTCAACTCTCCAATTGTTACATGTTGAAAGTTTTTTTGTCCTTTATACCAAAGTTTATAATTGTTACGTGACTGTACCATGCACCCACAACAGTGTTAATTGTAACCATAATATGCTTGAATGTTTAACAGTTTTCTCTTAAAGTAGATAGATTACGGAACATATATTAAAGTTACGTAATGCGAATTATACTGCCAACTTAATGCATTACCGAAAGTGCAGAAAGTAATTATATCGTAGCTTAGTTGATTTGGTATCGGCTTACTTTCGTGCGACTACCGCCACTTTTGATTTTAATGGTGAGGTAGCTGGATGTTATTTCTCTGTGATGTATTGTCCAATGTGTTCATGTAGAGTTATGTAGATAATTTGTTGTTGAAATTGTTTTAAAATGAAGTAAAATAAAATACTGCGAATGAAAAATGAAAACCAACTTTCAAACGAGAACACAACTACTTGAGATGACTGGATTTTAGATCTTATAATTTGTAAGTAGGTAGGTACCTATTTGTAAATGAGAAATGATGATTGGGATCGGCGCTCAATTTTCAGTATATGGCCTTGATACGTACAAAGAGGACCGTTTGGCATCATAGGCCATAATTTCCATGCATTACTGCATCTCCCACAATAGGGAATCCCGAATCACTAGGACAGTTGCGGTAACCGAATTAAAACTAATAATCATTCTGAGTTAGTAACATGTATAGGTAATTGGTATGAAGTTTCTTACAGAAACATTCAAAATTATTATTTTTCTAAACAACATTCACCATAGCTAGGTACGCTACAATTAACACAACCGACCTTTAGTACATACAATCTCGTCTATACACTAAAGCTCCCATGAGCTTACTTTTTTAGGGTGCAGTAGACATAGATTTCAAACTGTTTGACCAAGGGGCATAATCGTAAGCTCGTGAACCTACGGTGATAAGAGGGTTAAAATTGATTACTGCGATTACCACAGTTTACCTGAACATGTGGGGGTGTTCCCAAGATATACGCAACAGCTTCGGCAATATCTTCGGGTTGTAAAGCCGATTGCGCCTTTATAATATTGAGCAATTTGCCTTCCGGCACAAGCTCCGTGTTGACGACACCGGGACTAACACTCTAAAATGTTGTGCAAGTTACCAATCTCTCAATTTGAATTTACCGAAATTTTTATCTTGCTCCCAATGGCGTTCAACTCCTGACGTAAAGTTTCAGTCAGCGCTGTGACACCGAATTTCGAAGCGGGATAGACACTAAGGTCTGGTAAGCACGGAACGCGTTGTCCTCCAACGCTCTTTATGTGCACTACGTGCCCATCAATCTTATTCTCCCTCATAATTTTGATTGCCTCTCTTGTCGTTATACACATCCCCAGAAGGTTGGTGTCAAGAATCTCCTTCCATTGACTTGTTTCACCATCCAACAGACTACTTGTTGGCATTACTCCGGCGCAATTTACCAATACGTGGATAACATCAACGTTTTGTGTTACCCAATTAAAAGCATCCAAGACGTCTTGCTCCTTGCTTACGTCTGCTACAATTGGAAAAAATGTACCCGCTCTTCCCTCCAAGGTTTTCTGAAGTGCCGTCAGCCGTTCTTTACGTCTCGCCAGACCTACCACCTTAACCTTACACATTTACCATCATGTTACACGATCATCTGCACTCACCCTCAAACCTGAATCCACCAATTTGCTCACGGTGGCGGCGCCTATTCCTGAACTGGCTCCAGTGACCACAGCAACTTTATTATACCAGCGATTCATGATTCCGGCCCCGTTGAAATGTCTACACTTAGGATATGAAAATATGTCGACCTTATGATGATAATGCATAATTACAATTGTAAATATCCTCATAAATGAATTGACGCGGCTCGGTAAGTAATGTGGTAGGTACTCCACAGTTCATATCCAGGGCTCTACTTTTTTTAATTGGATTGTAGGTATAGGTAATGATGTCGCAGGTAATTTCATACTGTTTTAAATAAAATTGGAATATTTAAGTGCCGTTTGGATTTCAAAATAGTCCAAAAAAAGGGGTCTCTAACTGTTAACGAATGACAAATTTGGAACTTAAGCGGTGCAGGAAAGGCGTACACTCTGAGAGCAACAATTTTAGTGAAGAAATATCGACTATTACAATATAACAGAAAATAGCCCAAACAGAATTTCCATAAACTAGATTTCCACTAACCCACATCGGTGCCACTTCAACAGATAGCTTCTGTACTCGCAACTATATGTCAATCAAGTACAGAAAAACATGGGGAACTATTATACCAGCTTGCCGTTTAACATGCGCTTGTCAATTGGACACAAGGATTCAGACAGTGTATAAAAGGTAAAAAACGTGGTTTTCAATAGAGAAATGGCAAAATTTCAAAATAGCTCGTTACCTACTTTCGTAGCCGAATTTTCCATCGATATCAATGGGGTCAATTCGGCACTTGAGCAGGTTATATAAATTGGAAACGGTTAGAAACATAATCATTGTAATTTCTCGAAATGTTTCCGATAATATTGGGCTTTGTGTTCGTGGCCGGCGTTGTTGGTAAGTTTTCTCTCGACGAGGAAGATTTTAGCGTAGGAAAATTTAGGTGGACCAACCGAGCGCATAGTCGGAGGATCAACCGCGCCCGAAGGAAGGTACCCCTATCAAATTTCTTTGAGAGATTTGCGAAGCGGGCATTTCTGTGGTGGGTCCATCATAGCGTCCAATTGGATTCTGACCGCAGCGCATTGCGTTTATGGGTAAGCTTTAAGTTTAATGACTGTCGCGCTTTTTGGTAATTTAACCTTAACAGGAAAAGTGCGAGTTCCATGTACGTCGTGGCCGGGGCAAATAACTTATTCTCTGGCGGTTCGAAGTACGCTGTATATCAAGTGATCTGGCACCAGGCTTACAATCCGAGCAACAACGTCAACGATATCGCACTTTTGAGATTGAACCAAAACATCGCATTCGGCCAGAAGATAAGCGCTATAAGCTTAGCTAACAGTAATCCATTATCAGGAACCTCTTGTATACTATCCGGATGGGGCTTAACATCGTACCCCTCCCAACAACTGCCAAGTTATCTTCAACAAATCTCGCTAACAGCAATTACGTTGAGGCAGTGTGTGGCTGCTTTACCAGGTATGCCGGTGACGCAAGGAAATTTGTGTACGTATAAGACTTATGGTCAAGGAGCATGTCAGGGAGACTCAGGTGGACCATTGATTGCCAACGGCGAACAAGTCGGTGTTGTTTCGTGGGGTATTCCATGTGCCAAAGGTAATCCTGATATTTTCTCAAGCGTTGCTTACTTCCGCAATTGGATACGAGCTAAATCAGGCATTTAGACACTACTCTGTAATTGTAAAGATATACCTTTTTAATAAAAGTAGGTAGTTCATTTTGCAGTATTATTTCTGCATCATCCCTTTTGATTCGATATTTATAACTTGATTTCATACAGGTTAGGCAATCTCGTTTTGACCTTAACCACCGCCGCGAATGAGTGATTAATTTCACAGTTGAACGCAACAATTTTTGGCATTTAATGGTGCAGTTCAGTACTTATAACACAATGCAACACAATAGTAGTAGATTTTTGCAGCATCTATAGCCACGCACATAACCGCGGTTATGAAACTATGAGTCTTAAACTTGATTGGTATGACCATTTTCTTGTTAAACGAAATCGACTCCTTTTTCTCCTTGCTGTTGACCAACTCCATGAGTAATTGTAAGAAATCATTGCGATTCTTCTTTCCGATGTTGAACGAATCGTCTTACCATGTTCATAAAAAAATCTGTAACATCCCTTGGGATGAACTTCTGTCCAACTAGCCAATTAGCGATGTTATCCTTTCTCGATAGCTCAATGAAAATACTCTTTTTGCATACTTTCTGAAGTCATTGGACTGATCAGTCTATTCCAAATGCGGTGTAATATTCCAAAAGTTGTTTTATGTCGACAGGGCCTTTCGCGCAGATGTCTCCCATGTGTTTCTCCAATTGATAACCGCATGCCTTGACGGTGTTAAACATCATCTTCATTTTCCCCGAAGTGAAGGTAGGTGTTAGTTTCGGTCGCAGTTTTCTCCATTTGGACGCACGCAAAGAGAATAAATGCATAGTCAGGAGTTCCTCTTCGTCGCTAAATATTCCACGTTCCATAAAGTGACTGAAACCTTTCGAAAGGACGCACTTGATTATTTCAGGATCGAATATGAGTAACTGCGGGGACGTAAAAGCGTAGATCCCCAAGTATTTGTACCCTTTACTTTTGCTTTCCATGTACTGCTTTTGCAGGATTTCTGGCACGGATTTCGTCTCGAATAGGGGATTATCTATTGTTCCAAAGGGAATGCGAAGTTCTAAGTATGGGGCGCCATTCTGCTTCCAGTATTGAAATTTGGATTTGAAATAGGCTCTTATTGTAATTACAATTAATATCAGTAGAGTACAGTAAAGGGCCAATGTACTGTTCTCCATCTTATCCGTCTGAAAAAAGGGTGGGAAGTTTTCCTTCACCGATAACAAGCTCACCAACTTTTTATATCTTGTGTAACCGCATTTACATTTCTGGCACAACGTATAGCTGAACTGATTTTTTTCTCTTAAGCTTTTATCTCTAGTTTAATTGATAACGGCTTGAAGGTCTAGATATGATGTTTGTAATTTTCCTTTAAGCATGCACTTAAGTGGTTTTATGTATAAGTAGCGCATTTATCTTTCATCGCAAGCTGAGCAACGGAGACGATTCCAAAGATTTGAAAAATAACTTCCCGCACGAATTAGATACGTCTAATAGATACAGGAGAAATTTATTGTGTCAAAAAAATATTTCAAAAAATGTGTTTTAAACACTTGCGCAGGTTTTACACAAACACTACACATTTTTACTGATTTTCTACAAAATACACATGTTTTTTTGTAACATAATTTTGTGTCGCTCCCTTAGTTACTTAAGAGCGAATAAGCACACATCCCCATTTATTATTTACTTGCGCCTTTTCTCTAGGTAAATTAATAACTGTGAATTTTTGAAAATACTTAAATGTTTCATACTCTTTGATCAGTGTATTGACAGAGGGTGGACAATTTCTATCATTTTTGTGATATTAATGCCCAATTTGTTAATTTTTAGGAATTTTTGAAAGTGTTTAAGTGAATTTAAGTTGAAAATTTCGTGTTAGTTAAGTGCTAAGTGCGGATCCTGATTCGAATTGAAGCAAATGGTGAGCGTTCAAAATTTATTATAATTTTTTAAGGGTTGACATTTAATGCGTACCTACATTTCGAAATTTGTGTTTGTGGTCGTTAAGGACCGGAATGTATGTACTTTACTCTTTCCCCACTCCTACCCCCCAGTGGTAAGTGATAGGAATTACCATAAGATGTATAATTTCTACGACGTTTATTTAATAAAACATTAAATTCTCGTCGCATTTAGCCAAATACCACCCTCCGCCGCCGTCATGAAGCTACGAGCCTTAAACCTAACCGGCACACTCATCTTCTCGGCTAGCGTGAATTTGTAATGTTTCAGTAGAATGGAGAGGCCCACCTTGGTTTGCATCATTCCAAATCGTATACCTGGCAAACAGTGTTGAGTTGGTATCAAATTTGAGGGGTCTCACCGATGCAAGCCCTCGGCCCTTCGCCGAATGGCATGAAGGTGTACGGGGCGGATAGGTCTTTGTTTCTGTCGGCAAATCTGTCCGGATTGAATTTTCCCGGTTCTGGAAAGTAGTCTGGGTCGTTTTGCAAACCGATGAGCGGTATGCCTATTTGGTTCCTTTTTTAATGGTGATGTTAGTGTGTGGTAACTGGTAGTCTTTGATGCATTCACGGTGGAGCATCGGAACTGGTGGGTATTTACGCAAGGTCTCTAGAATGTAACGTGAGTCGGGCTTTGGAAACTAAGCAACTTTTACCGTCAATCACTGCGTTCATGTATTTCAGCTCTTTCAAGTTCTGGTAGGTGAGGGCGCTGTTATGCCTTCTTAGCACTGAATTTACTTCATCGCGCAACTTGTCTTGCATGCTAGGGTCGACGCAAAGTTCGAGGAGACAGAAGGCCATGGTGGTGGACGATGTTTCGAATCCGGCTATGAAAAATACAAACACTTGAGCGACCAGCTCGTTGAAAGATATTGGGTCATTAGTTTGTTCGTCTGCTAACTCCATGAGTATTTGAAGAAAATCCTTACGAACAAGACCTGTTTCTCGACGATACTGGACGGAACGCGTTACAATGTTGAAGAAAAACTCTGTGATATCTTTTGGGATACCTTTCAGGTGTAGAGTTTTTGCAACGCTTGGGAAAACATACACAAACAATCCGATTACATTTTCCAAACGCGTAGGCGAAAATATTCGTTTGGAATACCTACAAAATTCACTGGATGGATCAGTGAAACTGTTGCAGTCTATTCCAAACGCGCAAGAGCCTATGACGTCCATTGTGAAGCACTCCAAAACTTCCTTTATGTCAATAGCGCCCTTTGCGCAAATTGTTTGCATGGACTTTTCTAGTTGGTAACCGCAGGTCACCACAATGTCAAACATCATCTTCATTTTTCCAGAGGTAAACGTAGGAGTTAGTTTGGGCCTCAATCTCTTCCACCTTGAAGTGCCCAAAGAAAACAGGTGCATGCTTAGTGGATCATCTTCCTCGTTATACATCCCACGTTCCATGAAGTGGTTAAAATCCTTGGTAAGCATACATTTTATTATCTGGGGATCGACCACCAACAACTGTGGTACTGTAAAAATATACGACCCAACATACCTCCATCCTGAATTTTTACAAATATTGTACTGTTCCTGAAGTAGCTCTTGTAAGGATATCTTATCTGTAATAGGATTTCTCATTGTACCGAAGGGAATGTACGTTTCCAAAGAGGGTATCCCGCGTCGTGTCCAATATTGATATTTGAACTTGAAGTACACTATAATGGTTGTCACAATCATTATAAAAATTGAGCAATACGCGATCAACGTTTCCATTTTTTGAGCCTATAAGGTACTTAACGTAGTCGTTGCGAGAAACGCTAGAAAAAATGATTTAACCACAAAATGTCTCTTGGTTTACGTACAGGCTGAGATTTGTTTTCTGTTTTTCATGTAGTACCGCAAGTCAGCTTGTAAGTCTACTAAGTATATACGTGCACTGTTCACAAATTAAATGATTAGATACACGCCTCGGCTGCAATGAAACTTAATGGTAGGGAAGGTACATAAATTACATACATTCGAGGTCGTTTTAATCAGTGTCTATTTGTTTATGTACCATGAGGTCAATTAAGAATGAGGGATTTAGCAAAAATCGGAATTCATTAAATGTTTATTTATTTATTGTCCCTCTTGTTCTGGGCCCTCAACATGCTTGCGCCCAATTACAGAGTAGGTAATGCTTATTAGAGGTGCCCCTGCAGAAGGTCTTAAGTTGTTCTATACTACTCCGGTATTTACCTAAACGAGTTAGGAAAACTGCAGGAAAACCTAATTCGGAGATTTGTAATCCTAAACTTGATCTCTGAATCTGGAACACAAATAGTCAAAAAGATGTAATATAATAATTAGTGATTGCTGAAATTAGGATACACGCGTATGAAATTTCAAAACGTTGAATTCAAATAATTGGTTATTCGAGAATAATTGCATTGAACTGATCTAAATTAAATTGCATGTACCTTTCTTGCTTTATTCTACTTTCGGTGTGTCACTAATACTAGGTCATGTTCATTGAATATTATTTCACTCAACGTTATGAATAATCATTATGTGGGTAATTCTAGAACGATTAACAATGACCAATTATAAGTATGAAGGGTTAGGTATCAGCATTGAATAAGTAAATGATTACTTATTCAATGGTATCAGAGTGTGGTTCAAACCTCACGTTAATTTAAATGTAATTTTTCTATTTCGGTGTCACAATGATGATTTTGTACAACTGTTTTCGGCCGAAAAGTGTTCCCAACATTAAAACATGTTAGTTCTAATGTTCCCTATAGTTTCTGATAATGATTTTTGATAATGATTTTTTTAATTAAATTAAAGCACCGAAATAGAAAAAATAGTATGAAAAACGCGTGTTACAATGCTACATTGTAATTTCTATCTTGCGGACACTCGTGGCTACGCTTCGCGTCGCCACTCGTGCCACAAGATAGTCGTATTACAATAGGTCGCATTGTAACACTTGTCTTTCAATATACTATTATAATACTTACATTAAAAGGAAGTTTTGTGTTTCCAAATAAAATTAACCTCTACAAATATCACAAAGAGTAAATTTGAAGCCTTAATCTTGTAATCTATACGGAACCTTATAATCTTTTAAAGATAGAATAAGCCTGAAGCCCCAAATCTGACACACGGAACTTGTAAAACTATTTAAACATTGAAACCTAAATTAAAACCTGAAGCTCAAGCTAAAATCTATGAATCTGAAGCTTTAGCTAAAAACATGACGACTGAAAATAGTAAATTGAAGCAAATAGTACCTACCCGTACTCTTTGTTTAACGCTTAAAGCAATAGGTTGCGATTATCGACACTAAAATTTGTTCTTTAAGAGATCTGAAACAAGAAGCGTTAATTCTAAGTTTCGAAGCCCAAAACTCCGAACCAAGTAAAACGAATGGCTAAGGTATCAAATTGAATAATAGAGCATGTGTATTCATTTCGACACTTTTATTATGGTAACGTCACGTTCATGCTCAACATCAATCTCGAGCACTGCGACTTCAGAATTGTACTCCACGCAGTAAACCGGCTCGTCGTGTTTCATTTTAGACCGCCTCGCCTCCATAAACGCCCTCGGATCGGAAATCATGGCGAGCAAATCCCTATTCTTGATCAGCCACCGTAACGTCACGAAAAACCATAGCGTGAAACCCGCGAGTGACACCAAAAAGATCGTCGTATCTAGAGAAGGATTGAGCTTAGGTTCATTAACGCTCGCAATACTTACCTCGCTGAGTGTTGCACCGAGTCGGGTGACACTCATCAATCGTGTCACTCGCGTTCATAATACGCACTGAGATTTGAAAGACGATTTGGGAAACCCTACGATGAACTAAGCGCGAGCTCTATTCCAATGGCTTCAATCTTACCGAGGGGCGTTCAAAAATCAATGTGTATCTGCGTTAGCAAATTTATTTCGCAAAAGCATGGAGTAAACAGCGAATATTAAAACACATTAGCAACAGTAAGGTTCGGGCATTTGATCCGAGTACTTCAGCATAATTTCGTGCAGGATCTCGGTAGGCAATTCGTTACCCTCCAAAGAAAGATACTTTAACCCGTTTAGACTTTCGAATATCTCCAAATGGAGCTCGTTCAGGCAGTTGTTTTCAAGGTGCAAACTTGAAAGTTGATCCAAACTGACGAAGCAATCCTCTTGCATGCTACTAATCTTGTTTCCGTCCAAGTAGAGGTCGACGAGAGAGTCTAGGTCGTGAAACGCGCCAGATTCGATAAGTTGGATGTTGCAATTCTGCAGGTAAAGATACTTCAAAGCGGGAATGTTGGCGAAACTATCGGAAGTCAAAACGTCGAGGCAATTGCGAGATAAATGCAGCACGTTCAGGTTTTGGAGTGGCTCGAAGACCTGCGGAGGTAAAGAGCTGATGTTGTTGTCCGATAGGTCCAAGTGCTGTAAACTCGGACAGTTGGCGAAGGTGTCGCTTGCCAAGTTTAGCCGATTTCCGCTCAGCCTTAAGTTTTTCAGCTTTGGCACAGCTTGAAATGTTTCCGGCGTAATTTGCGCGATCTCATTGCTACCCAGCTCCAAGTAGTTTAGCACCTCTAATCCCGCGAAAATGTCACCCTCAAGTTCACCGATCTTGTTTTGATACAGGGATAAGAACTGCAAACCGTGCAGTCCTTCGAACGCGCCCGGTTCGATGGTGCAAATTTCGTTGTGTACCAAGTGGAGTTGGAGCAAGTGATTCAACCCTAAGAACACCCCGCATCGCAAGCACGCCAGACGTGTGTTCTTCAGGTATAGGTAACGGAGATTGTTGAGCTCCATAAACAGATTCTGAGACAATTCCATGATGGAGTTATGCGACAGGCACAGTATTTCTAAATTTGGCAACCCCGTAAAGCAGCCATTCTGAAAGTCTTCAATATCGTTGTGCTCGATCGTCAGATAATTAAGGTTGGTCATTCCGCTGAATGTTCCCTTCCGCAATATGCGTAAGGAATTCTTCCCCAAAAAAAGCGAAACTACTTTGGTGAGATTTCGGAATGTACCCGCAGAGATTGTACCGATTTTGTTTTTATACACGTGGAGTTTACACAAGTTCTCCAGCCCGTTGAACACCCCCATCTCCAATATGCGAATATCGTTTTCGTTGAGATGAAGATCGGTTAACATCCCAAGATCTTTGAAGATATCCACCTGGAGTGTGGAGATCTTATTTCCTTTGACATTTAGCACTCTCAACCGGCGAAGACCCAGGAACGCGCTTTTATCTAAGCCCATAATCATATTATCCTCCAAATTCAAGCAGTGCAGCGCAGATAAGGTTTTAAACGCGTTTGGAAATATTTTCATTATGCTATTCTTTCCTAAGTGCAACTCGCTTAAGCTCGACAGATTTTCAAAGCACTCCGAGAGAATGTACTCAATTTTGTTACACTCCAAGTTTAGGACCTGCAAGTTGGCCGTGTTGGAGAGGAACGCCTCCGGGATTTGCTTAATTGAGTTGTTCGACAAGTTCAGCGTTTTAAGCGCGCCAGCGCCACGCAAAAGTTCAGGAGGTAAGCGCATAAGCGCATTGTTTTGCAAGTTGATGTGTTCGATTTTGCTGGCGGCCGTCAGCAAATTAGTCGGAAGCGTCGCAATCTGATTGTTTGCTAAATTGAGGCTGGTGAGATTCGAAAGTGTTGAAAACGAATCCGGCAGGGATGCGAGGTTATTGCCATTCAGGCTGAGCACTTTCAGTTCCACCAACTCGGAGAAGACCCCAACAGCTATGCTCTCAATGGAGTTTTGACACAGGAATAGTTCTTCTAAACTACACAGTCCTGCGAGGCACCCCTCTGTCAATGCTTGTATGTTATTTTTGTCCAATCTCAAGGTTCTCAAAGCAGAAAGCTGATCAAAAACGTTTTGGGGAACACATCTGATGTCGTTATCGGACAGATTTAACGTTTTCAAACTGGCGAGGTTAGCAAGTAGATTTGGAGCTACGCTTTCTAGACCGTTACCGCGCAAATTTAGGTTTTCAAGGGACACCAACTCGTCAAGCGCACCCTCTGGAAGCTTTACGTTGCACTGGACTATACTTAGATCCTTTAAATTGACCAGACTGAAGAAAGCCTTCTTGTGAATGTCACCGATAATGTTATTCTCAAAGTGAAGCTCACAGAGAGTCTTGAATTTTTCAAACAGCAGAGGTGGCAAGCTTTCAATTGAACTATTGAGAATCTTCAATTTCTTCAAGTGTTTGATTCCACTGTAGAAATCGGAGTTCAAGTAGTTAATTTGACTTTGGTCGATTTCTAAACATTGGAAATTTTCCCTCTTCACGTTCTCGGAGTGAATACACTGTTTGATGCCTTCCTTCAACTCCTTCGACGTGTTAACGTTATCGCAAGATATCGTTTTCCAATATTTGTAGTGGAAATTAGACTCGGTCTCCATTTTCAACTGATGACTCTGAAAAAACAACCGTATTCAGTTTGAGAGCAAAATTGAGCAAGTAGACAATTTACATAGTTTATAACAGCGACCGAAACCAGTCTCGGTACGACAGGACGTAGGTCAAACACAATGTGAGCAATAAATTAGTTTCTTTATGACGATTTAAATGTTTGAAGTGAAATCCGTAGGTGTGCAGATTTTTCGAATCCTTTCAATTTTTTAGATGGTTATAATTTATTACACTCTTTGATTTTTTTAAATTCTTTTCTAATTCTACGGGACCACATGTGCCCTTCATAATCTTCCTGTGGCCTTTTGGGTTTTACGAATGCTTCGGAGCATTTAAATTTTTCGGTTTCTTCAAATATTACTCGTAGAATGATTTTAATTCTTTCTATTTGAATTCTTTAATTCCTATTTTTACTTTACACACGTCGTACGTTTCGGTTTCTAAACATTTTACACATTCTCCAACTTCTTCCATTTCTTTGAGTTAAATTTTTGTGAATGTCCGTTGTCGCTACTAGCACTGGACGATTACAGGTTTGAATAATCGATAATAATTTAAAATAATCGGTAAGGTATAATCAATTAATCAAATAATTGATTAATTTAAAAGAATAATCAAACTACCCGATTATCAATTATCGTTTGATTATAATTGATTAGTCGATTTTTTTGCCTCAACTCTAGTCGCTAGGTCCATCAGATTATTAAGATTCTTTGCACGTGTTCGTTACTTTGAATTCTTCAGATTCTTCAGATCTTTTGGTATCTTTAGGGATTCGCCTCGGATTCTTCCATCTTTGAGAGTTCTTCAGATTCTTTAGATTTTAGTTTCTACAGATTCTTAGGACCCCGGAAAAACTAAAGGGTTCTGATTCTTCCACCTCTTCGGGCGCTTCAGATTCTTTCAACTGTTCAGATCTTCAAAAACCCTTTTGATTATATTGGCCACACTAGAAGCAAGAAGTATACCCACTGTCATACCATGTGTTTAAATTTTTTCTGAAGATGCCAAGTTTATATTGCCTGATGCATTGTCTACGCATAGATGCTCAATTAAAACGTACAAGATATGGGTAGGTACTGTTCTTGCACATCAAGTTACTAATTGTGGATGGTAGATCATAAGCAAGAGGAAACAGACTATTAACAACTATAGAAATTGTTAATATGCTTCCTTTCACACTGATCATTTTTCTCGAAGATAAGGTCATACTGATACAGCTTGACGTAAAGGTCAGTGTAGCGGCATAGACACGCAAAAGGGGAAATGATCCTCTCGTTGATGCACGAAACGAGATTAGCGACGCTATTTGGTGATGTACGTGAATAAAAAAGTATATCCAAGTCCTGATATGCTTAAGTATTGATCCTAAACTGTGTCGCTTTAGAAGAAACAAACTACAAAAGGCTATATAGAAATTAATGCCGCAAAGTATCTACCTAGCTAAATTAGTGTAATGTGTAACTACATGCAAGTTTTAGATATTGGACTTACTTACCTTTGATGAGTTGCACTTTCAATCTCTGACAATTTGGGCACTATTCCTTTGACGGAAGGTCATCGTTGCCGTATAACTTTTTGAAGTGGTGTTTACTCAAAACGCTTTCGAAATGCTTCTACAGGTAGCAGCGTATAACTAACGACTTCCAAGTCACGAAAAGCATTATTTATGCAAAAAAAAGCTTTTTGTTACCAAATAAATGCGACTATTGATTGTGTGCCTGCTTAAAACACACGTTAGAGAAAAATTAATTCAATTAATAATTTATGAGTTTAATATTACACCCTGAAATTTCCCCATATCTCGAATTTGCCTACATTTGCATATACAGCAAGTGTTTTCGCGTTGATTATCAGTATTACTCCTGCATTCTCGTGAAGCGGAAACGGCGGATGAAAATATCCTTTTAGCAACAAGTTGTTATAATGCGATTTATGGGGCACGAATCCAGCACGCAATATTAGGTGAAAATTGGGACAATCCACCAAATACGTGGATGATTGGCCTTTCCTACACGCTCACGCGAGGAAACAGGGATTTTTTATGATTAATGGCCTAGTGCAGGCGACGGAGAATTTCGAAATTTAAAGTTGACCTTGTTATAAATTACTCTAGCAATAGGAATGGGCACTTTCTTCGCCGACACGTAAGCTACAAATCTCATGATCAACACAAAGAGACCATGAAATGATATTGCTGTGTGTAATTCCTTAAAATCCTAATTTAAACATACCCCGCGTTCGATTACAATTAAACAAAATCAGGAAATCTTAGACTACTTACAGTTTTCTCTTAATATCCCCAAAAATCCGGGCACACAAAGCACTAATTGCGAAAGAAAACAACGCACTAAATAAATAATTTTTTCCGATTAAAATGCATTATTAGTTATTACCTATAGATAATTACATCAACTGTTTATATAAAATAAACGAAGTGCCCCATAAACTAAATGTGAATTGTCACATAAATGATTTAACAAAACAAAATCGGGAATTATTTGATTAGCAATTAACGATTCGTCATTTCTTCAGGCGCCTGGACCCAAACAAACAATGTTTACACAGCAATATTTTGGATCGTTTTGACTCCGCCGATAAAACCTCACTCTGCGAAACTCCGTTCTTGAGATATTCGCAGTTAAACTCATATTTCTCGTTCAAACTTTCGAATTTCCGAAAATCTACATGCCTGCTGTGTGAAGACGGCAATCATCAATTAATCACAGACGTACATATTCCGAGTATGAGATTTACGGTTAGACGTTTGAGGCTTCAAATCTGAGGCTCGAGAGTCACCTGAATACAATACGCGAGGCGAGTTGATATTTTTGCTCCAAAATTAAAAACTAACAGTATACAAATGTCTTGCTTAAACTAACAGGGGAATATCTGGTAGGTAGGTGAAAAGTCTCCCTCGAATGTCGTAGGGGATTTTGAGCAATTCTAACGTTCCCCTTTTACCTGGAAATACGTGTAGGGGATCCCAGAATATATGGGAAAAGAATTTGTGGCGCTGTTTAGTTCTACTCGTTAATCAAACACTCCCATACATTGTAAACAACTTACCTATAGGCATAAAAATTACACCGCAATTTGTGTAAGTGATTATGGGAATTAAAGTTGTTTTGCTACATAGGCAAGTTAGTCAATAGTTTTATTGAGTCGGCGTGAGATGTACTCGCACAAGATGCTATTAATTGTCGTGTTGGTCCTTCACAAAAATGTATTGTCTTTCGTCTACATAAGAAAGACTGACCTATGTCTCAGTAGTGTCATTAACGCGTTTTTTGCCTCAAATACCTCAGTATACCTACTGTATAATGACGACTACGAGTACGAGTTTTTGGAAAATGGTCAGAGGGCTTTCATCACGGCTGATCTAAGAAAACCCATCCATTTGACATTATTTCGTGATAACAACTACGTATTGTACGTTGCCAACACCGATTCTCTTCTCCGAGCGATGGAACGGTTAAAAAAAAGTTCCATTTGGAACTCCAACGAATCTCCAAAGGGGAGCTTTATAGTTGTTACAGTTTCGAAAGACATTTCGCATTTTTTCTTGATCTTATGGCAAAAGTATATCATTAACTTGGTAGTTTTACTCATTGAGGAATCCGCCGATATGAAAATATACACAAGCAACCCCAATCATCCAGAAAATCGCTGCGGAAGAATGTTTGTCGATTATTCCGTTCACAAATGTAGCAGTGATTTTAAAATTGATCGCCTGAAACCGCTAAGGAGCTTCAGCGGATGTCTACTGAAGATTATGAATTTCCCAAGAGGTGGAATGATTGAATATATTCTTGTTCACATTTTCTCCTACTTGGATGGACACCTGCAAATGCGTCTCTTGTACGAATCGGAGATACTTCAGCACGAAATTGACGAACACGAAGTGGATACGCTCATCTATGAGTCTCTGAATACGATTACACCGAATTTCGATCATAGTTGCGTCGTTTACTCGGAAAATTATTTTTGGACGACTCCTAAGGGCAAGAAGACCCTACCGGTTGATGTTATAAAGAATGCTTTAGACGAGTGGGTTTGGCTGTCAGTTGGATTGGTGTTTCTGTTCTCGTCGTGCCTTTGGTGGGTCATCATAGTTTACACAGAAAGTGAATTTCGAATTGCATCCCTCTCTACAGCCGCCCTTAACGTGTCGTCGTTAAGTACGTCCACGCCTTTGGCCAGGATACCAAAGGGGTATGCTGTCAAATGCCTCATTCTCACATCCTTGCTCTACGTCGTTATAATACAAACTGCGTTCAAATCAAAGTTGCTTAAGTGTCTAGTGGTCGACCATTTTGAGTTTGAAATTAAAACGTTAAAAGAAATTGCCAATTCTAACCACAGCCTATACGCCGAACAGACACTTATTGATAGTTTTTTTCGAGAAAACGACACCTGCAATACCGTCTACACTAAGATTAAAAATCGACTTGCCGTTTGGAAGGTCCAAGCCGACCAGGACTTTTGGAGCACATTCAACGAGAACATCTACGCAATTCCACTGGATTACGAGCCGATCATCAGGCAACATGCAAGAGACATCAACTACGTTTCTAGCAACTCCACCGATGTCTATCACCGTCTGCTACTACCTAAAGGTCACTACTTCACCACGACGTTGAAGAAGTTTATTTCAGAATTTTTCGAAACCGGTGTCTACCAGCACCTCGTCCACAACGTTAACGTCAAAAGGGACGTCGTGACCGAGGCGGTCGCCTTGAAACTCGAACACTTTTATGGCCCGCTTTGCATTATGGGTTTCGGCCTCGGTTTGGCTACGCTCACCTTTTGCTTCGAACTTGGTATCCACAAGATAAAAACTTCCCACAGGTGGAGGCGGTATTTTCATTATGCTTAACGTTGTTATTTGCAGTGTGACCCAAAAATGTAGTATAAATGTACTTCAAGCAAATAAAGATCTCCAAATGTCCACTCCACAGAAATAAGGAAGCAATTTGATGGCCTGAAAAGGCAAAGTTATACCCTAAGAGATTCTAATGGAACATGTGTAGCAGGCTGGCATGCTAAACTTCTCGTCGATTGCTATTAGAGCATGACCACCCGAACGGTGTTGTATACTTCACCGCTGCACTTGATGCTCTCGTTTCATGGGTTTTAGGGTTCAATCGTCTTAGCGACACCCGGTACTACTGGACGCAATGTCTTTCTTGGTGCTATCAGAGCCTTTCAGTTTCAAGCGCCACCATTTTTTAGGCGTCGATAAAATTTTGATACCACATCAGTCATCACTTTGTCCTAATTGGGACCATCAACTTCCAATTTAAAATTAACCATTAATTTTGACTTTGAACTCAAAAAATGTGTGCTTAAAGTCAATATTTTGACTTGGTTGTTTCTGAAATGTCGGGTTTAAAATGAAAATATAATTTCATTCCATTTCATCCCTAATCGGTGGACACAGTGTTATACCTTCCTTTTTTACCAAAAATCGACTGCACCAAAATTTCTCGGGAATACACTTTTTCTTATTAATTTTGGTGCGTAGAATCCAAAACAATTCGTACTTTTTCGATTAGACTTCTCGATCAAAAGTTATAGACTAGAAACCAATTTCGAAAAAAAATTCAAAGGGCTGTAACTTTTGAACTACTAGCCCAATCTTGAAACTGTTTGAAATTATGCATTTTAAGGGTTACTGGTAGGTCTACAGTTTTTTCTCCTGCTCAAGAAATACCGCGACCTTTATTGCTAGTCTCTTCCAAGTAAACTCCCGTAAATATTTTACTCAAGCTTGCCAGCACGTGGAGATTTATTTGGATTCCAAATTTCATGCTTTACAATGTTCTCATAATGTCGGGAAGGATGTCAATTTAAATGCGTAAATTACATAATTATTGAGGCAACCACTCAAAAGCAAGGTTACCGGATTTGCCACTCGACAGATCGCCGTATTTAAACTTCGCCGATTTTCGCACACCGAAATACGAAGAATAACTGGCCTGCGTTTCAAATTACCTATATATCAGTATAGGTAGTACCTAGGTACGTAAAACAGTTATTGATCTTAAAATTGAGTAGTTTACGTGGTGTAACTGGGTCACCAACAAAATATTTAAAAGTAGGTAAATGGTAATCAATACATTACAGAAGCTTTAAACTGTACGCACGCGCAGGATTTTGAGTTGTAATAACGGAAAATATAAAAGACAAGTTAAGAGAAAAGGAAATAAAATGAAACTTTCTCATTACAGTCAATATTTCACGTTGAAATTGGAAAGCAATAGAACGCAGTGCACTTGAAAGGCTCTGATGACAGAGTAGCACTCGGGTTCCGATTGTACTTTGGCGTCATTAGAGCCTTTTAATTTTGAATACGTCTTGGTGCGACTCAGACCTTCTTCAGAGCGTTCCCAGCGCAAAGCTATTCCGTTTCGCACCATATTGCTAAAAATTGGTGCCAACTTTCTACACCTTTCTAACGTTGTTTTGGATGCAATTGTGCTCCTCTCGCGCTTCCCTTTTATTCTTAGGGCTACCTTGTTCGGTATGGCGCTGGTGGGGTTTTGTAGGTACCACCCTGTTACAGCGTTGGGGAAGTCTTTCAGGTGTCATCCTGATTTCTTACATATGGCACAACCATACTTTTTGGGCCCATTAGAGCCGTTTTTGGAACTTAACTGCACTTAATAGTTAGGAAATAATGGCCCCGCCTAATTGTAAAATGCTGCAAAAGAATATTGCTATTACACATTTATTCCCATAAAGCTCACAAAGGAATGCAACATCTATAGATAAAACAGTATTATTAAAATCACTCGTTACAGATTCTGTGCACCAAAACTTCTAAACCAAACACGAGAAGTGCCAAAACGCAACCTATCAAGTAGATAACAAATACACCACGCATATGGCCTATATTTAAAGCTACAGGATCACGATCGTTTTCTCCCTCGTTCGAGCGAAATTTTGCATAATATTCGTCGTGCACTTTTTGGTATTCACCATTTTCGACGACCGTGTGAATGGCCGTATTTATCAAGTTTACCATTTGGTTGCCCCTGTGACCGAAGAGTTTCCACTGTGGTCTGGTCGCTAACGAATTGTTGTAGGTTATTCTGATTTTGGTAAGGTCCAGCTTCAACAGATCTAAATGCGAACGCAGTGTCAAGAAGATGCATGGAAATTGAATATCCGAGCAGGACAACGTGCTGCACTTGATTAGTTTCTTTTCAATTACAGCGTAGAGTGTCTCCCCCTTTCTTGCGGTCGCATGGAATAGTTGTAGCACTCCTTTAGGAGTACAGATCGGAAGATCTGACGATGCAACCTTTTGCAAACTATCGATATGATGTATGCTGCTGACCGTGAGTGATTTTACCAAATTGGCTTTAAACGCTGTTTGCATTAACATTGAGTAAAGAAGGTACGAAAGCACAATGCACTTAAGGGCTTGGAATCTTGGCACTCTGTGTATAACACCGCATGTCGTTAAGGAGAAGAGTTCTAGACTCAGTTTGCAAAACAAGTAGAAGCTGCGCCGATATTTAGCAACGAGACACCACCATATACAAAGTGACGCAACAAACGCAAATGCGATTAAAATCCATACTCTGTACTCAAAAGTTCTATCAATTAATGTAAAAGTTGAATGCTCCATGGAAGGTGCAATCCATGCGTACTCGTCCCAATAAAATGTTTCGCTTCCATCCCACGACCAATCGAGCAGTATGAAGTAAAAAACTGCAACGCCCCTATTCGCATTTTTGGGCAATTTACTTATGTCCACCGGTTTAATTGTAATAGCGAATCGTTGACGGACATACGACATGGTTACGTCTGCTATTAGCCGTGGAAATGATTCCAGCTCATCAGGCAATGAGATGTAAAGCACTTGACAACCGTTAAATTTGTTGAGTAACTGAAAATCCACATTGGCAGTACCCGAGAAATTTTGCACGACGAACTCCTTAAAAATGGTTCCGCACCTATTCTTCTTGTTATAAGGACTGCTTGTATACAGTTGCTTTTCGTGGTCAACAAATACAGCTATGTTCATAATTCCCAGCTTCCAAAACCACATGAATATCTCATTTACAGCACTCGATGAGGTCACAACAAGAAACTTACCACGTGGAGACTTATTTGGATGCCATATTTCTTCCTTTGCAATAATCCGGTTCCATAATGATATCAAAGACGTTAAATTAGACGCGTAAGTTAGATAATTGAGGCTACCGCTCAAAGAAAAGGTCACGGGATTTGTGACATTTACCATTACAAGAGGCCTCTCCAAATCCTCAGGTAACAAATCTGCACCGTAATTGTCAAACAAAACGTATAAATGCCAATCGTCCTTAAACGTCTCTCGTATTGCGCTCGTCAGGAACCTTCTAGTTTCAATATCATCCTGATGGGAAACTTGCCAATTTTCTCCCATTTTCGCCCACCCAAGTACGAAGGCAACTTGGAAAACCCTCCGCATGGCATCCAATTCGTGAGACGATTGGTGAGTTCGACCGTTATTGATGCGTTTCAAATTGTAGGTTACGTATTTGTAACAGATACTGATCTCAAAATTGGGTATCACATAATGATAATAAATGAGTTACCTTTTCTATAAACAAATTTAAAAATGAATGGGGGAGAATGTCGAAATTTCAACCGTGACGAGGGATGGTCACCTTCTCCGCTCTGGCTGATGGGTCAGCTAGGTTTAGCCTCCTTTTTCCAGTGTTTTCCAGCGTGTGTAATTTAGTATAGTAGTACGTGTTGCTCCATTGTTTTATATATTTTATTTGTTGATTGTTATTTTTGTTTCTTTTCGTGATGAAGCCCCTTACGAAAGTCGACGAAACGTTGCCTTTTCGTTAAACGCTGACACGGTCCTATCCCGGAAGGGATAGAGGTTGCCGCTCTGTTCATGCAGTTCGTGAATGTCCCGCGTTTGAGAAAAACTACAATAAATGTGGGCAGTTCAATCATTTTGCAATTTTATGTCACGTAAAAATGTGAAGCTGCTACAGGAATAGAACCTGATGAGTTGGAGTTCGCCATCAACAGTACTGGGGTACAGAAATCAGAATGAATGAATTTATTAGAAATAATTTAGAATTAGGGGTGTTCTTGAACAATATACAATTCATCGTTATGATAAAAATCGATTTTATTTTAATGCTTCAATTGGTAGCAACGTTTTTCTGTGACTCCAGTTCTTCAATATACTCTGAAACACACTGTACCGGTTTATGTTCCCCGAGGAAAAGGAATTACCGTTTATAAAAGAAATCTGTTTCGGGTTCTTCTCCTTCACCTGTTCAACCGCTATCCAAAATTTCTTTTTATCGTTTTTCAGAAAGTGGGCTTTCGCCAACAGTAGACCTGCACGTAGCGAACCTTCGTTTAACATTAATGCCCTTTCGACATCATCGATTGCCTTTTCGTAGAAATTGAGGTTTATGTACGCCAGCGCTCTGTTTGTGTACAGCATGCAGCTATCCCTTATTTGTTCGATTGCCTGTGAGTATAACGTGACTGCCTTCTCGAACTCTCCTCTTCTGAACGCTTTAGTTGCTCTAACTTTCAATGTATCTGCCTTCTCCTGCCGAATCAGTCGATCCTTATACCTTTTGTCGGCGTCGCGTGAGACTTCGTTCATAAAGGTCTCTGAAATTTCACCAAAAGTGACTGCAGAAATGTGGCATCCAGCTAACCTTGTGACATGGTGTTCTCATCCAATTTCTCGTCTCTTAGCGCCCTCTGGTTGATGACTGTTCGGTCATTGGTTACCCTTAGCTTGACCGTCTCCTCGCAAATATTCTCGTAGAGGATGCTCTTCTCGTTGTTCAGATAACGGTCGGCTTCCTTCGAGCCGATTTCGCGGAGAGCGGGATCGTTTGAGCTCATTTTCTGCACGATGTTGTTGACATCGTTGACACGGTGCATGAAATTGTTAAATTCTTCATTTTCTTGGTCTAGATTTCGAAACGCACACATCACGTCAATTTGCAATTGCGTCGTATATTGACAAAACGTAGCCGTGGCAACTGACGCAACAAAGACGACATGAGTCGATACGTGGATGGATGAAGGAGAATAGGAAGGAAACTTCAATGTTAATTTTTAGTTGACGGTTTAGTCACGGCATTATCGTGGTGCAAAAAAACCGATAACTACAGACAGGTTTCCGATTGAAAACTGTATCTCTATGTATTATTATATTCCTTATGAACCCCGAGACCAAATTTTTCAATATAATAGACAATATACGAAGAATCGCATACGATTTTCAATGTAGGGGAATTTTTTGTCACTCTGGTCGTATTCGGAAACCAGACTTTTAATTCGGCTTATACTCAATAGCACTGATCTTGGAAACTCGTAGAAATCTGTTGGGGAAGGTTTGACATCGCTGTCTATTTTCCTACTCGAGTTAGACGAGGAACATACGGACAGACGGACAAAACCATTACATAAGGGGAATTTTTGAAAGAAAAATGCAGAGGTTGGTTTTGAAGACTCGAGTCTAAAAATGTAGCCATGGCGATATAGAACGAGTGAACGACCAATCGGATTTGAAGATTTCATCTTCACCAGAGCCACTCTTCGTCGATCCTGATTTTGCTTCTTATCTTCCTACACATCGAGATTAACCCATCATTTTTCTTCTTAACTCTTGGTAATGTCCCATACAGTGCTTTCATTTTTTCCTGAATGAAAATTCACGCATCGTGGTGAGCGTTTCTGTTAGGATTTGTCAAATACATTTCTACGACGCACCTTTAAAGTTAGGTACCGACTTTCGACGGATCGGTCGCGCCATAACGGATCTTCACGGACTAGCTCAAGATGCACTTTTTCCACAGAGTTGTGGGCCATGCTGGCGCGACTTAAACCCGAAAGCTTCAAATGAGACCAGAGATTCGGCCCTGTGATGTATCAGCAACGTCAGACTTAACGTGCAGGTTATTTGCCAAAAAACGTTATTTTGCGGTATTAATTAGTATAACGTTTTCTACAGATAACCTGCACGTTAAGTTTAACGTTGCTGATACATCACAGGGCTGATTTTCAGCTTAAAATCATTATTTCAAAAGTTACAACACAAGTATTATTTCGAACAGTCTCACCAAAACAAACTCCCTGCACCTTTGATAACCCCTTCACTTTGATAACGCAAAGACCACGCAGAATTTATCCAGTTGTCAGACATGCAGATCGAGGATAACATCACCGCTGTACTTTACAGAGCTGGAGACCTTCGATTGGTAAGTAAAAATGCCAAAGTTGACGCGAATTACTCCGCGTTTAACATTAGGAGAAACGGCCCATCTCCGAACCTAAAGATGACGGTAGGTTTTCATGTTAAAGATAGTTTTTAGTGTTTCCCGTTGTAGAAGTCTTGTTGAAAATTTGCGTTGTTGGAATTTGCGGATCGGACTTGCATCTAGTGAACGACGGACGTATCGGACCTAAGATTGTTGATAAACCGGCAGTACTCGGTAAGTATGGCATTGCTGTGGAATTGCACTTAACGCACATATTAGGACACGAAGTTTCCGGAATTGTTTGGAAAGTTGGCAATAATGTGCTTAACTTAAAAAAAGGTGAGGGGAGGCGTTTTGTGAACTGGTTCTTGTAGTTAGTCGATAGGTGATCGTGTCGCTGTGGATCCTGGAGTTCATTGTTTCAGATGTGATCCCTGCCGTAGCGGGAGAGGTAACTTGTGTGTTAACGCAGTGTTCGCAGGGACGCTACAGTCTGACGGCTGCTTGAGTCGTTATTTCGCGCACTCCGCCGATTTTTGCTATAGGTGAGCGATTGAATTTTGGCCACTCTTGATGGTATTGTAGGTTGCCGGACCACGTCTCACTCGAGGAAGGTGCTTTAGTTGAACTTGTCTCAGTTGCAATTCATGCGTGTAAGCAAGGTCGTGTTGGACATGGATCCGTGGTTTTGGTACAGGGAGCTGGACCTGTTGGTTTGATGAGCTTGTTAGTGTCTAAAGCACTGGGCGCTTCAAAGGTTTTGGTGACAGGTTTGTGGTTGCCGTGGGTAATGGTTACACGATTTAATGGTTGCAGACTACATACAGGCCAGGTTGGACAAGGCCAAGGAAATAGGAGCGGACTTTATTGTTCAGGTTCATCCAAGAGATTCGGCCGATGTTGTTAAGCAAAAAGTAATATCTGCACTCGTTGGTGACCCTACCACTAGCATAGATTGTGTGGGTAGCGAACTAACAATCACTGTTGCTGTAAGAGCAACCGCCTCTGGTGGTGTGGCAGTGATAGTTGGTTTTCATGGTCTACCTGCAGTTAACATTCCAATAACCGAAGCAGTAATTCGAGAGATAGATATCCGTGGCAATCATCACTATAACAATTACGAGTGAGCTTTATTCTTAGATATAAATTTGGAAAAAAGACTTATCGCCAATATTCATCACGTTTTGGAATATAAATCACATTTTATCAGTGTTTTTTTTTTCTAATTTATGTGCTTTTATTTCAGCTACCATGAGGCGTTAGAAATGGTGGCTACTGGAACAATTGACGTCAAACCTTTAATAACCCACCATTACAAAATTGACGAAGTACAAAAGGCCTTCAATACAGCAACAACCCGTGAAGATAATGCCATTAAGGTATTAATCCATACAGATTGAGATTGTTGTTAGTGAAAGTGAATTTTAGTTTGGGCTGGGGTGAGTTCTTTTGTTATAAAGATCTCAGGACTCAGGTCAACCAATTCATGGTTAGGTCTGTTTTAACACATTTAATAAATAATAAAACAAATTTGTTTTTTTGTACGTTATAGAAAATTGTAGGCTTAACATTAAATTTTTATAATGTTTTGCTCGCATTATTCACCTCTATTGATATACAAATTTGTTCACGGAATAAATTTCCGTGGGTCGATCTCTTCAGGAATGTTAAATTGACTTTAAGCATAAAGTACTATCCAAAATCCCCAAAACGATCCGACTCCTGTTTTTATATAATGTAAAAATTCCAAATATCGACGAGTCGAAGTTTTCTCCAAATTACAGTATATTTTCTCGTTTGAAAGGTAGAAGCATTTCGGAAAATTGAATGTAGGAACGTCTTATGCAATACAATTGGACCTTCTGCATTGCCTGGTAAATTGGACTACTCGTTGAAAGTGAATTTTTAATGACTGTTGACGATTTGAATCAGGAACAAACTGGGTTTCAGGTTTTTCGAAATTCAGTAGCAGACATTTCTGTTTATGGAAATGTCAATTTTCCCCTTGGTATAGGGTTTTAACAGATAAAAAAGTACTAATTTAAACCATTTAAAAATGGGTTGACACACGTCAAAATTTGCTTATTCATATAGTTTGCAATGCCGTGTATTTCTTATCATAAACTTTCTATCGACGATTTTATTTGGTCTAAACGAGGGTCTCGCATTAGATATTGTGTCATTTGATCCCAATACGCCAGTGACAATATCCTTCACACACAATTACCTTTATCTCGCATCAAACAAGGTACACGGAAGTTCCATTACCATAAATAACTTGTAAATTTTATGGGTGCGAAACTCGCATTCTTCTTTACCATGTCGAAGATCGTCGTATTGGAAGTGGTAGAAGGCTGGCGACCGAAAGTTCTAGAACTATACGGTCGAACCGAGGAAGCCGCTAGGATCGATGTTGAAAAGGTTAAGGAATGGTTTCGGAAACAACCCCATCTACCGGAGCTACCAGGTGAGTCGCAAAAGTGATGACTGACTTGTAACTGATTGATCAGTGGACGAGTTAATCGAACGGTTCTTGATCACGAACAAATTTCACGTCGAGGCGGTCAAGTCGAAATTGGACGTCTACTTTTCGGTACGTACGTTGCTTCCCGAATTTTACGGCCATGGCCCTTGCGGCGAACGAGTGAGATCCGTTACACAAACGGTGTAAGAAGGATGATCGCAAAATCGTTATTCTACTACTTTTAGAAATTTCAGTTATTTGGTTCCTCTTCCAAAGCCAACGGCGGCGTTTAGTAGAATAATCTGCTTCAAGCTGAAGGATGCGAATGTCGAAAAATTTGACGTGATCGATACGTTGGGTTACTTGATGAATATTATTGAAGTCAGACTGCGCGAGGATTTCTGCCTGAGTGATATCTACATTTACGATCTTCAGGGTACTACAATTGGCCACGTACTGAAGATTTCACCCACGATTTTAAAAAAGATGAACTACTTAATGGAGGTGGGTACCTATCGCTCTAAACATTAGCACTGAAGCCATTTTAGAAGCTGTACAAGATTAGCATAGAAGGTATACACATCATCAACGCGCCCACCTTCATCGAGTCTGCTGTGGCAATGTTCTCGAAGTATTTCAAGGAGAAAATAATGAGCCGGGTAGGTTTCCCTCCGCTGTAAAGTCTTAAAAGTTAACTAATTATTAGGTTCAGACACATCAGAACCTGGAATCGCTCCACGAGGCTGTACCCAAGTGCTATCTTCCGTCAGATCTTGGAGGAACGCAGAAATCATTATTAGAGTACCAAGGTATGAATCTTTGGGGAGTAGCCGATAATTTTCAAAATTTTTAGAAATTTGGAAAATGAAACTTATACAATTGAAACCACTTCTTGAACATTTACAAGCATTAAGGGTCAACGAAGAGCTTCGTCCGGTGAAATTGCCTGAAAATGAATTTTTGGGCATAAATGGTAACTTTAGGCAGCTAGACGTAGATTAATTATCTTGTTTAGTCACTACGCTGTACAGCACGAGTATTACTCATAGAAGCAATTAGGAAAGTCTTATAGATAACGTCAGGACCTTCAGTGTCAAAAGGATAGCACATTGCGAAAGATGAGGCTTTATAATTATTGGTTCCTTACTGGTGAAGAGCTACACTTGAATCCTGTATAAATGCAATTTTCTTTGACACACATTTGGAATAGTTTATAAAGCTAGATAAAAGATTTATTTAGAAAGCTGCGATTCATTGACCTAGCTATCCTCAGTATAACCATTGAATAATTCTTTATTCAATGGTATAACGATATATTTCAATTCCACCAAAGCGGCTACATCCTTTCGTTTGTTCAACAAACCCAATCGCGATTTGTATGTACAAAGACCTTGATGGCATCCCCCTCGCGTGTTCTGGATGTGTTAAGTGCCTTCAATATTTCCTCCAATCTGTAATGGTGGGTTATGAGAGGTTTGACATCAATCGTTCCGCTTGCCACCATGTCAAGTGCAATGGAGTAGCTGTAAAAATAAAGTCACTCGAAGGTAATTTTGTTGGAGGTGCTACCTATTAATGTAGTGGCGAGCACCACGAATGTCTATCTCTCTAATTACTGCCTCCGTTATCGGTATTTTAACTGTAGGTCCCCCACCGACCGCAACTAGGACGATTATGCCCCCCGAAGCAGTGACCTTTAATGCAAGGGACATTGTTAATTCGGTTCCTACGCAATCGATGCAAATGCTTGCGTGGTGACCAAGAGCTGATATGATCCTGTGGTTTACCACCTCGGCTATGTCATTGGGATGGACTTGAACAATAAGGTCCGCCCCCAACTCTTTTGCCTTGTCCAGTCGCGACTGTAGGTAATCTATAATCAGCAAAACTGTGTACTTCTTCTACAAGTACTTAGATGTACACACCTGTCATGATTACCTTCGAGGCTCCAAACGCTCGGCATACCAATAGAGTAACCAAACCAAGCGATCCAGAACCTTGTATTAACACTACAGACCCGAAACCAACACCGCCTCTCTTACAGGCGTGAATTCCAACAGAAATTAATTCGAGGAAAGCACCCTCCTCAAGAGATACGTGATCTGGCAACCTAAAAAGACACAGACCTGACCAATCGAGACACTCGGTGAACTCACTTATAGCAGTCATTAGCTGGATGGGTGTAGAAACGACTCAAGCAACCGTCGACTTTTGCCGCACCAGCGAACATGGAATTAATGCAAAGGTTACCTCGACCTTCACGGCAATAACGGCATTTAGCACACTCCACTCCAGGGTCAACAGCTACACGATTACCTAACAATCAATTACAGAAACACGGCTCAAGTGAAACCATTTTTATCACCTCTTTTCAAATTCTTTACCATCCTTCCAACCTTCCAAACAGTTCCGGAAACTTCATGACCTGAAATGCTCATTAGTTTCACAGCAATTTCATTTCCACTCACCCAGAACCACCGGTTTGTCAACGGTTAAACTCCCGATGTACCCATTGTATACAAACTGTAAGTCAGATCCGCATATCCCCACGACATCAATTTTAAGCAAAACCTCTAGAAACGGATAATTACAGTCATAGTCTAAGAGGTCAACATACCGTCATCTTTAGGTTCACGAATTGGTCGCTGTTCCTAAAGGGGACGGATAAGTGGCACTTATTGTTTCGGCTATTACATTTTCTTACCAAACGAAGATCGCCAACGCCATAAAGTACAGCTGTTAAGTTATCTTCAGCCTGCATTTCTAGTAACAGTGTCTGATGTGGTACAAACAACTCGGAGGCTATCGCTGATGACCTATCAGACATGAGGCTTAAGTAAATGACTATTAATATCTTAAATACTTTGCGATTTACAGAAGTACAAAGGAAAAGACGCACACCTAATACGGTTTCCTAACTGCGCCATCCCGAGTAGCTGTGAATGCATTTCGGAATTTCCGCCACTAACCGCATAATGTTGAAGAGGAACCAAACAAAACTTCGAGATGAATGCCGCTAAGTAATTTTATAACTTCGGCATTTACCTCTGCATGGGGGAAAATAATTAACAAATGGCCAATCACAAACACATCAAAAGAAACTTTAAATCTTGTGAAAATCGCAAATAACAACCCAATTCAAGGGTCAGTTACAACCAGCTGAAGTCAATACTAATTTACAATAAAACGAAGAATGCAATTAAAACTGAGTACGTTACCTTTTGTTACATACAAAAAAAATTTACACGAGAAACTGAAATTCGAAAATTAATGCTAAATACAAGGGTACTTGCTGAAGACAATCCGAGCGACCGAAGAGAGCGAGTATAAGAATCAACAACATTAGGTACGAAAAATTAAGCAGCGTACTTTAAGCATTGACGACGAACTTTATAAGAAACAATGAATTTTATAGATAACTTATCAAACGAGTCTTAGAAGCGGTTTAAAATGGCAGTGTTATAATTTTTTTTAATATAAATTACGGCGCATTAACTGCTGAGGTCTTTGGCGCCATCTAGAGTTCATTATTACAGCTTCTCAAGGAGATTCGCAGCCTTTAGGTACTGTAGAAGATTATTTATGTTTTCTTTGTTTCTTATATTATCAGGTAAGTTATCAAATATCGAGTACATTTGACGTAAAGGTGCATATAGTTGACATATACATATAATATGTTCAACAGTGGTAGGTACTGTACAGTTGGCACACACTGGGGGTGGGTCTTTTGTTAATAAATGCTTGTGTGTTATTGCTGTATGTCCTATTCTTAACCGATGTAGAACGGTGATGTCTTTTCTAGGAAGTGATAATGGTGCTCTCCACCCATTAATTGTCATTTGAACTCTATTTAGGTGAGTATTGTACTGTTGCCATGTTTGTTGCCATGATACATTTATTTTCTTTTTCAGATATTTGTTAATGTCGCTAGAACTAGAGATCCAGACCTTATCTGTTGTATCATTTCCCGCTTCTATAGCTGCTCGATGTGCAGCACGATCAGCTTTTTCATTGCCGCTTATACCTACATGACTAGGGACCCATAGGAATGTAACAAGGATATCAAGGTTTGCAAGATGTTTCAGTGTTGATAGTATCATCTGTACTAATGGATGTTTTGAATATGGATTTTTCAAACTGACTAAAGAACTCAGTGAATCGCTTATAATAACAAATTTATTTTTATCTGTATGCAATTCGCAATATCGGAGAGCTTGCCAAATTGCATACAGTTCAGCTGTGTATATAGATGCGTGGATTCCCATTGACCACTCATACTCAGCGTCATCAGTAGAAAAGGCAGATCCAGTACCCATATTCGTTTTTGAGCCATCGGTGTAGAGAAACATATAATCTTGATAAGAGTTGACAATTTTAAATAGTATATTAAGATATGTGTATAATCAAGTCTTTAAAGCACGCGCAACGAGTTTAATGGCAAATAAATAAATAAATATTGACGTTATACTCGAATACATGTCTAATTAAGTGGGCTGGGTGTTCGTAATTTCACGATTTCCATGGAAATGTCACTTGACGTTTGCTTATAAAAATCAAACTAAACGTTGGTAGGTATAAAATCCAAATCCAGCAAAGCCTATTATAAAGAATATGAAAAGCTGTTTCGATGGATGAATAGGAAGTTACTTACGAATAAAGTCTTAAATGCATCTATAATGTTGGAATATATGAAGGAAATGGCAATTTAAAACTTCTACCTTTTGGTGCATTCATTCACAACTTCAAACAATGCTGCGATTAAAAAATAGAACAGGCTAGAGAACAGGTTTGGAAACATGCCCTAAATTACGCGCATTTGTGACAGCTTCAACCAAAGGATAGGTACAAGCCAAAGAAATGTTCTGCATTTACAGAAAGCGATCTAAGAAGATTTTTTATTTCAACCCCAGGCATTTTTTCGCACGCATTTGAGTGTTTAAAACGGAGATTGTTATTCCGGTATAATAAAAAATATATTAAGCGACAGTGGCGCTACAAATTAGAAATCAGTTTGATAAGAGTGTTAAGCTAATAAAAAATGTATGGAATAAAAAAAAAATCAGTTGATTGCGATGCATACCAGAAATGATTTCAGCCAACACGCAATGCGGGTATTTCTGTATTAAGCATGTTACGCCACTGTTGTATAAATTATGAACTACAGTATGATAATTGACTGTCGAAAATAACGCCCTCTGTTCTATTTATAATTTTCTACGTGACAAGTCAAGTAACATTTCTATTTTCTATCGACGTCTTCATATATTTAAGTTTTTTAATCCTGTAAGTAATTACCTACAAAAAATTTAATTAATTCCTGGTTACATAAGAAATAATAGAGATCCATTTGACATCGTTTGGTGGTCGCTCACCTATTATCATAACGTCAAAATTAATTAGTCGGTGAAAAAATATGGATAATCCATCAGGAAGTCAAAACGCGATGCCAGGTAAAAAGACGGTGCTCGAACAAACGCAGGACCAGGTCAACGAGGTGGTTGGTATAATGAGAGTGAATGTAGAGAAGGTCCTAGAACGTGATCAAAAACTGTCTGAATTGGACAGTCGAGCTGATGCCCTCCAGGAGGGTGGAAAGAGATTTGAACAGCAAGCTCAGAGGCTACACAAGAAATATTGGTGGAAAAATATGAAGATGATGATTATACTTGGTGTAATTGGAGTTGCCATTCTTATCATTATTATTGGTATGTTTGTACTTATCTTGTCTGTTTGTTTATCATTGAACCCTTTTTTAGTGTCCCTCACTGGTAAAAGTGATGATTCGCCTAAAACTGAGAAACCAAGTGAGAAACAATAGGGGCAGGTGGATTAATTTCTTTTATTGTACATTTTGCACATTTCCGTTCTTTTACTAATGGTATTTCTTTGGGAATTCTTCTTACAAGCCGGTGTGCCTTCTTGTAACAGTTTATTCTGTGATACAGCAAATTGAACGGAAAATTACAATATTGGCTTCCATTAAAATGTAAGCTAATGTCTATAATTACATTAAATGTTAAGTGCCTTAATGAAATAATGCCAAACATTTTCTATATCTATTTCTATGTATGTTAATAATGTATAAAATAAAAAGTATTTTTAATTTCCTTATGTTGGTGAGTGAATGGTATAAAGATTAGGTACATTAATATCACTTGTTAACTATACTGTAATTAATGATTAGATTACGTTGTAGTGCAATACAAATCAATTTTTGTTTCCTGTTTCTATCAAAGAGGTGTCTCCTAATATAATCAAAGTAGCGTAATTTTGGTCACTTCTACCAGCTTTTCAAGTTATAATCTTTCAGAAATATTCATTTTTTTTTGATTTTTAAACAAATATTTTGCAACCCCAAATGATTGAATTATACCATTGAATAACTTTGACTCAACGATATTATACTTACTTAACTATTTCATTTACATCTATTTAAAATTATTTGTAAGTTATCTTTCTGTTATTATAGTTTATCCTCTCTTTCTTTTTATATTGCACTAAAATTAAGTTACCTAGTGTAATTTATCTGTACTTGCTGGTGGAGTGGAAGAACAGCTTTGGCTGAATTCCTACCATTTGTGTTTTTCACAATAAACATTATTATTATTATTATTATCATCCAAGTCCACTATAGATTGTCCTCCTAATATTAAGTAGGTACCTATTCATTTTAAATTTGAGTAAGATACGTAACTTGCTAACTTTTCTCTTAGATTTTTTCTGTTGAAACTAAACTTCAATGGTGGCCAATTTATAATTTGATTTCTTGATATGGACTTAGTTTCCAGAGGTACCTATTTTTCACCTTAGCATCTAACACTTAATTTTAGATCTAACCTGATATTTGTCAGATTCAAGTCAAAAAATAAAGAATTATCTCGTGTAGCACCGTTTCAATTAATTTCTATGGTAACATAAAACAGTTCAAAAGTTATGGTGGTTGGAGGGGGGCGACGCGGACTTTTTTGTCCCAACTGTATAAGGTTGTTTAATGTGTTTAAAATACTTCCCAAGGACCCCTTCAAGTCAAAATAGGTACCTACTTAATGCTATAAGAAATATGTAACAATCGCTTAATTGAAAGAACATTCCATATGGCATGCTGGACCTTTCCAATGCCGTTCGCAGCTTTTTAGATCTTTTGCAAAGCGTTTTATACATTTATTCCAGAGCTTTCAAGTCCTTTGCACGGTTGTGTGGCGCAACTAATCTAAAAGGACATCATAAAAACCTCTGAAAAAAGGACAGAAATGGTCAAGCAGTGCGATCCAAAAGAGTTTAAAAGTTCTCAATTGCTCTGTAATTTTTCCGTATGCCCACTCTATTGCCTGATGCCTTCTCAAGACGAGCCTATGATAATCTGGAAAACGTATAGAAAGCTCTAGTAGGACATTAAAACTCACGGAACAAATCCAGAGTCCGTCTCAATATTTGATAAATGCTTTGCCGTGCGTATTCGCTTTTTTTCCAGAGCTTGCAGGCCCTTACCGCGGAGGCAAGAAGAAACTAGAACCCAGATAACATTGTATATTTCTGTAGTATACCAGGAATATTGAAAAAGGTGTATTTCAACATGTATCAATAAATATAGTAGTAGATACGTGCCTTGTATTGGTACTTTCAAAGCAAGCAAAAAAATATGAAAAATAATTTTTTTTCATGAATCAATATTTAAAAAAATTTCCTCTTGTGTACCCCATCGCTTTACACACTGTATATTTGTGTTAATATCACGTTGGAATCGTTGTTTATGCAGCAGGTGCTACAAAATCCCACAATAGTTATTTACTTAAGTCAGGAAAATGATACATTACTGGCGAGGAAATATTGAAGTGCGAGACCCCTTTGGGGCCGAGTGCTTTAATTTCCGAGTCAGGTAATGACATTTTACTGACGAGTTTTGTATTAAATTACAATTAAAATAAAACAAAAGCCTCTAATTAACAGCCGAATACTATGCATATAGCAACCAAAATTGATAATGATTTTACTAATTATATTATAAATATGTAATAGGGATATTCATTTAGTAACCGCAACATTTTCCAAATGAATAACTGACGAGCAATTTTGAGGTGTGAGGTCTAACTATCTCCGATAAGTGTGTCACAATATAAAATAAACCAAGCAAGGGAAGGATAACTACAAGCAAGAAAACGCGCAATCACTCAACATGGTGCTAAGTATGGAGAAATGGATCGGCAAAGTTGCAATTGTCACAGGTGCGAGTGCAGGGTGTGGTGCTTCAATTGCAGAAGCGTTGGTGAAGAACGGCCTGAAGGTTTGTAATAACGTCTTCACATGTTTATAAAGGTGATTCGTTCTTTAAGGTCGTGGGTCTTGCGCGTCGTGAAGAAAAAATTCACGAACTTTCTAATCGCCTTGAAAACCAGTCGGGCAAATTGTACGCGTTTAAATGCGACATCACCGAGGAACAGGAGATCGTGGCGGCGTTCGAATGGGTCAAGAATAATTTGGGACCCATCCACGTGCTCATTAACAACGCCGGAATTGCCACATCGTCGAATTTGATCGACGGAGATCCAGGAGATTGGATGGAGGTGCTCAAAACCAACGTCCTCGGTCTCACAATTGCCACCAAACTGGCTGTACGCGATATGATCGACAATCAGATAGACGGACAGATTATACATATAAACAGCGCACTGGGCCATTTCATTGGGAATGTGCCCGATTTAAACGTTTATCCGGCAACCAAGTTTGCGGTGACCGCCCTCACCGAGACTCTTCGAAGGGATCTCAATAGCATCGAGAGTAAAATCAAAATTACGGTAGATACCTACGCCTTAAAACGGTGCGTTTGTAACTGGAATATTTCAGAGTATCAGTCCAGGACCAATCGAGACCGAATTCCAATCTGGTCTTCTGCACAATGAAGACTTGAGGGATTTCTTTGCGAAAGCTCCAAAGCTTTTGGCAGAGGATGTTGCGGATGCCACCTTATACGTGCTATCGACACCTCCTCATGCTCACGTGAGTTGGGCCTTGAAGTTCGTGTAGGTAGTTTACTAATCCCAATTGTAGGTCCAAGAGTTAATGATCCGACCTATCGGTGAAAACATTTAGTGTCCTCCAGGAATAAGTTAAGAACGTAGTAGCACTTAAAATGTATTGGTCTTAGAAACTTGTCAAATACACCTAATTTCTTGTTTTGCCACATTTTATTTCAACGTGGAGGGGGAATTAGTGGCTTTAAGCATTCCACTTTGTTCACCAAATTAGCATCCTAACCCCTACAAGCAAGGACAACAAGCATCATATCAAAAAAATCGCAACATCCGAAGATTTTGATCTGAAAACGTTTTATGCCATTAATTTGCAGAAGATAGCATAGTAAAGACACTGATCTGCCGAAGTCCAGAGAAACGGAGAACGTTGATGAAACAATTCCGGCCAAATTGTTAGTTCTTATCAAGTATAACCAAACATATATTGTACCAGTAAGTTGTGATGGAACAAAACGACAATTATGTAAATTTTCAATCTACGAGAAAAACTATATCTATTAATTTTATCTTTATTACTAAAAGTTTCTTGTTTCTACATTGATTAGAAGATTTGGCCAACAGGTCTGATGATAAGTTCGTGAACCTGTTGTGAGATACTCATATAAGTCAGCTTGCAGTTCTGAATATGGTTACCTGAACGTGAGCTGGAGATCCCAAGACATACAAAACCGCTTCGGCGACGTCCTCGGGTGCCAAAATAGATGTACCGTCCTGATAACATATTGCTCCTTCACCCGATGTCATTTCTGATAATACGAAACCCGGACTAACACTCTGAAAGTTAGACAAGGTACTAGGTAAGAGAACATAAACACATCGTTGCACCGTACCGAAACTTTGATTTTGCTACCTGAGGCGATCAGCTCCTGTCGAAGGGTTTCAGTTAAAGCCCTTACGCCAAATTTGGAGGCCGAATACACATTCATATAGGGCAGAGGAACGACGTAATGGCCTGCAAGACCGCTTATATGAACAATATGTCCGTCAACTCCATTGGCTCTCATTATTGTGACTGCCTCCCTTGTTACGACGCACAGTCCAACTACATTAGTGTCAAACGTTTCCACCCAGTCACTCGTTTCCCCATCCAAAAGTCCTTTTGGACGAAAAACACCGGCGCAATTAACTAATACATGCACAACACCAATATTTTGCGTTATCCAACTGAAGAGTCTAAAAACATCTTTTTCGTTCCCAACATCAGCAAAGACAGCGGAAAATTTTTCTCCCAGTTTCTTTTGCAATTCCTCCAAGTGATCTTTGCGCCTTGCCACGCCCACGACCTATAATACATTGTTGCACGTACAAATGTTAACATCCTCCCTGAACCCTCACCAACAATCCTGAATTGACTAAATGCGTTGCAATGGAAGCACCAATTCCAGAACTTGCGCCAGTAACAACAGCCACTTTACCATTCCAGCGATTCATGATGGGCAAATGATAGAAGCCATGTTATCTATATTAACTATTATGTTTTACACAAAATGTAAATTTCCGGCCTAGCATATTTATTGAAACAGTCAATTGAACATACATTGTTTGTATAATGGAGGTGCGAAGTCTAATTTCGCATACCTATGTTATACAGTTGAGACCGACAACGAAGCGAAGATGAGTCACACATTGTCCTTTCTACACGGTTAGTTGCCACCTTATAAGTTTGGGCAAAAAGTGGAACGCAAAAGATCGGTAAAATACGTTTAAAGACCATACGATTCAAGAAAGATCGCGAAAAACCGCATTCATCACTTTTTGTCTAAAACGAAACGATCCAAGCCAGAGACTTGTTATAACTAGACCGCGCGTAACGTAGATTTTACTATAAACGCCTGTTGTCAAGATAGGATAGGCAACCAACTGTTCATCGCGGGGCAGACGTACGTTCTGTAGCTTGCTTTAGCCATGTTTATTCTAAATTTTAGTAGCAAAAAAAGATAACATATAGCTGTTAACTGTTTTAATCGAATTTATTGGTATTTTATTTGAACTAAATTGGTATATAACTGCCTTACTCTAGTCCTAATTTGATTTATATGTGTATTTTGGTGGTGAACACGTATGGGAAAATATACTCTTAAAACTAAAGATGTAAGTAGTAAGATATGATTATTTAGCGGATTTTGATTCAATATATGCCTATCCAAAAACCCAAATGGGCTGTAACTGTTATTTATTTTTCTTAGACTGCTGATAACCATTTTGTTTACAACGCGGTGTGGTGTGGATTGAATGAAAAACCTGAACACATTTTCAGCAATTTGACAAATTTTTAATGCATCGCTTGATACGTGCAACAATCCTCCAAGATTTTTTCTAGTTAAAAGCTTTGAATGACTCTCTGATGCGAATAATATCGCATCTGCACATATGGAACATTTAACAGACTTAGCTATTTTTCTTGTAACCAAACCTGAAATATACTTAGTACCAGTAAGTACTTATTTACGTCTATACCTAATAGGCAAATAGGTATTGCCGTTGTCTTGCTGGTAAAGGATGTCGAATAATAGTTGTACGTTATTTTAAGTGAATGGGAAAGTCGCTCGTTTTATCAACGACTCTAATTATTTCAAAAAATATGATAACTATCGAAAATAAAAATCCGTAGGATTAATGTGTACTATATTTCCTACAATATCCAACATCGACCTAATTTCCAAAGCAACTGTAAAACCGTATCCTTTATAAACTATTTTGTCCTTTTATAGGTCATTTCAGATTCAGTTCATAGGCGCCTTAACTAAAATAACAGCTTATTTCATTATATTGCATATCATCTCAGCGATTTTTGCCCCGCGGTGCATTGTGTGTTGCATACTGTGTCGACAACACCTTAGATACGTTAAGCGCAGTCTAGTTATAGCAAGTCTCTGATCCAAGCTCTCGAGTAACGGAGGGCCGGTTTTTTCAATGTTTATTTTGTTTGAAAAGTGAATTTACAGGTAGAAATCATTTTATTCTTTCTTGCACTAACCACCAATCTTTGAATTTCATGTCAAAATTTATTAATACTTATTTGAATTATGCTAATGTTTGTTATTTAAGCGTAGAGTGCTCCAAGCTTTGTTTTTATATGTACCCTTCTTAGACCATATAGTACGTACCGTTACCTGAATCATGTTTGTTTGTTATACTGTACAGGTCGTTATGCATTTCTATTATTTTATATATATATATATATATATCTATATATATATATATATATATATATATATATATATATATAATATATATACACATAAAGTTCAAAGGGCTGTAACTTTTGATCTAGTAGTCCAATCTTGGAACTGTTTGAAATTATGGATTCTACGGGCCAAACTCTATAAGAAAATGTTTTTTTTTTTCCCGGTCGATCTCAGACAATTTTTTTTCCCGGCTTCCTTTTTTTCCAAAAATCGACTGCACCAAAATTTCTCGGGAAAAAACTTTTTCTTATTAATTTTGGTGCGTAGAATCCTAAACGGTTCGTACTTTTTCGATTAGACGTCTCAATCAAAAGTTATGGGCAAAAAACCAATTTCGGCAAAAAAATTCAAAGGGCTGTAACTTTTGATCTAGTAGCTCGATCTTGGAACTGTTTGAAATTATGGATTCTACAGGCCACATTCTATAAGAAAATATTTTTTTCCGGTCGATCTGAGACAATTTTTTTCTTGTGCCAAAAAAAAGGCAGTGTTACCTTTTTCTTATTAATTTTGGTGCGTAGAATCCAAAACGGTTCGTACTTTTTCGATTAGACGTCTCAATGAAAAGTTATGGACTAGAAACTAATTTCGAAAGAGAATTCAAAGGGCTGTAACTTTTGAACTAGTAATTTCGATATATATATATATATATATATATCAAAATGTCCACCATCCCAACATGCTGCGTTATCCAATTGTAGGTAAACCTCAACAACGTCGCAGTACAAGTTAATCTCTTTGTTCCTTTTTTGCCAATTATCATTGGCGAATGAACTCGCATTAAAAGATATAAACAGGGACATGCATTTTTTTATTTTGTTAAAATGCGATGTAGAGTAGGTACGTCGATGGCCTCACAATAGATCGGAAGTCGCCACTATCGTTTTAAGGAAGTCAAAATACCTTTGAGTAGATGCCTCGGAAGTGGAAGCTGAGGAATTTGAGGGATCTAATCGATTTGTAGAATCTTAACGTGAAACATTTGAGCACGGAAGAAACCAAGGAGAAGACATAAAGGTATTCAAACAAACCGTGAAATGAAAAGAAATATGGAGAATACAAAGAATGGAAAAAATCAAAAGGATCCGAAACGTACAATGAATCCAAATAGTCCTTTGCAAAATTGAAAGAACTCGAAGGAACAGGAGAAGTGGAAGGTTCTAAAGAATCCTGAGGAAATCGAAGGATCGGAAACCTGAAGAAATGGATAAATGTGAAAAGTTAAAGAGTAGTACTGTCGAATAAAAAACACTACAATAGTAGGTACATTGTCTGTAGTCTATGTCTGACTGTCTACTTGCCCCTCGCCGCCGTTTATAAGCCTTCTTTGGTCTACTAACAAACGTGCCACTTCGTGAACTGTAATTTTAAGGCGAGTCCTCCAAGGTTTATCAATAAATAATCATTGTGATTTTCCAGAACGCCATTTGGGAGGAGGCTCTGTCAATGTGCAAACATGCACCATATCAAAACTAAAACCAGTAAAAGAAAGACGTAGTAGACAATCCTCGAGACAATCTTTGTAATTACATAGAAGCATTTAAGTGAGATTAAGTTAAATTAGTACAACATAAAACATTTTATCTAGTATGTGCAATCTGTCAATTACACCTAAATGGCAGATCCATTTATCAATTACTTGTTTACCAGTTCTCTAATGTAACAGATCAATGTTAATTCGTACGGTTTAGTGCAGCTATTACTTTCAGTTTCTCAAGCCGTTTGACTTATGGGTCTAATGGTGAGTTCGTGTACCTACAAACGACAGAAGTAATGGCATTTGGAAAAGGCTATACTTTACTTGAACGTGAGGAGGGGTGCTAATGACATATGCGACAGCATCGGCAATATCTTCGGGGTTCAAAACAAGGACGTCGTCCTCGACATATCTCACATCTACACCAGAAACCAATTCAGATTTAACTAAACCGGGACTGATGCTCTAGGAATGGCGATTAGCAACCCGTGGAAATTATCGTTTTAAATTACCGAAACTTTAATTTTGTTATTGATGGCGTTCAGCTCTTGTCGCAGAGTCTCGGTCAGCGCGGTTACACTAAATTTTGACGCTGGATAGACATTCATGTCGGGCAAATGAGGCACGTAATGGCCTGCGACGCTGTTTATGTGTACAATATGACCATCGATCTCATTGGCCCTCATTATTTTGATCGCTTCCCTTGTAGCCACGCATAACCCAAGCACGTTGGTGTCAAATATCTCTCTCCAGTGACTCGTCTCTCCATCTATTAGACCCTTTGGTCGAATGATACCGGCACAATTCACCAAGATATGTACGACCCCAACGTTCTGCGTTATCCAATCGAACGCACGGAAAATATCGCCCTCTTTACTAACGTCGGCTTCCACAGGAAAAAACTGACCCGCCTTTCCCTCCAGATTTTTTTGAAATTCATCTAACCGCCCTTTGCGCCTCGCCATACCCACCACCTACAACCAATTTTTGCAACATCATCTAAACTTTGCGCTCACCTTCAATCCGGAATTGACCAAATTCGCTGCGATCGCAGCCCCGATGCCAGAACTAGCACCGGTAACTACCGCCACTTTGCCATACCAACGATCCATTTCTGGCCGAAGTGCACTTTCGAATGCGCATAAAATACCCATCGACCTCCAGACGTAAATTACGTCATTGTCCCACTAGAATTTGTTTTGCGTGACGACCGCTATGAATTATGTAAGTTGATTAAATGTTTTAATTACTTAAGGAGTGGAACCTATCCTCAAACAACTTCGACCTTCTGCCTTTCAGAAATCATCCTCTCTTGTACTAAACAGCCTGTACAAAAGCAAGGTGTGGAATTTGAAAGAGCGCGAAAAAGGTAGAAACATAAAAGAAACTAGAGGAAGCTCAGGTAGAAATAAGAAAATTCTTGCTTTTCACCGCGAAAATCGACTACCCCAAAAATGTTCGGGAAAAAAACTTTTTCCTATTAATAGAAACTAAAATGGAGCTGGGATTGAAGAAAAGGATTAGTGAAGTGCCTTTTTACATATGGCTGCGAAACGTGGACAGTAGCTGAGAGAGAGAGAGAGAGAAGAAAACAATACAAAGTCTGAAAATGTGGTTCGTTATGGAGAAGGGTTCTGAAAATCAAATGGTCAGATACAGTTAGGAATGAAGAAAGAAAAAGTAATAGGTTTGGACATGTTTTTTGGGGGAGGAACTCTGGAGGTGGATCTCAGGAGAGGAAGAAGAATGACAATGATCAGACAGTTGAAGAGAAGAGAAGGATATGCGATGACGGAGGGAAGAGTTGCTGACAAAGAGAAGTGGAGACGCCAGGCGGAGCACCATTGATGATGACGATGAAAATGAGATAAAATACGATGAAAAAGCTGAAAATAAAACAATAAACCGTCAGGTACCTATCTTCCCGTTTCTGAATGTACACGTGATACACGCCTATTCCATTTCACTTTAATTTTTACGTAAACACAAACAGATTATGTAATCGGTTAAAAATAGTACGTACATACCAAAAATTATCATAGATTTGAAGTTGGATTTGATTCGTGACCATACGAGTAAGTGGCGTGTGACGAAATGGAACGGTGGAGCGATAAAGTTGCAGTTGTGACAGGTGCCAGTGCTGGTATTGGCCGAGGACTTGCTGAGCATCTCGTTGATTGCGGATTAAAGGTCAAGTAATATTTGTATTAGTGCGGAAAGCATTATGACTCGTTGACCTCGTTCATTGAGAGTTTCCTGTCAGGGCAGTAAGGTGAATTGATCCGAAAGCGTTTTAGATGAAATGAATTGTTGTCAGGGTTGAACAAATGAAGGGTCGTAAAATTGATTCGAACTGAGTATTTCTGTTCCAGGTGGTGGGATTGGCAAGACGCAAAGATAAACTGAACGAACTCGCAGATAAGCTGAAAGGAAGAAAGGGAACGTTCATCCCCGTAGTCGCCGACGTAACAAAAGAGAGCGATGTTCTGAACGCATTCGATTGGACTACGAAGAACGTGGGAGTCGTGCACATCTTGATAAATAACGCCGGTTTGGCACGTGCCAAGGGTCTTCTAGATGGCGAGACGGAAGCTTGGTGGGAGATCTTCGACACAAACCTCTTGGCATTGTGCGTCGCGACGCGGGAAGCTATCAAAATCATGCGCGCGAATGGTGTCGACGGTCACATAGTTCACATGAACAGCACCGGAGGACACTACGTCCCTAACGTCCCCAATGTGAACGTGTACTGCGCGTCAAAATTCGGCGTGACCGCCTTAACCGAAACACTTCGCCAAGAATTGAACGCCGTCGGTAGCAAGATAAAGGTTACGGTAAGTTTTTCATTTAATCGCATTTGTGTGCGTTATTGTAACAATGCAGAGTGTCAGTCCGGGATTCGTTGAGGCTGGGGTTCTCGAGAATTCAGAGTTGTCAGCTACCGTGAAAGAGGTGCAAATGTGTCCGGGCCTGAAGATTAAAGACGTTTGTGACGCCGTTGAATACGTTTTAGCAACTCCTCCTCACGTTCAGGTATATAGAACGGTTAATTACACTTTAATACTCGACTGTTTGATAATAGGTACACGAGATAATTCTCCGGGCAGTGGGACAACAAATTTGATCATCATCCTCATAGTTCGAGTGGTAGCGAAATGACAATTAAATATTTCTTTATGTTTAATATCTATAAACATTGTTTAAAAGACAAATAATAATTAAGGCACGTGTTCTGGTTTGGTTCTTTTTTACCCTTCGCTCGTTGCAATATGGCAATTCATACTTGATGTGCCAAAAAGCAACCATCTACAAAAAAGCTCTCTTTCTTTCTGGGATGCTGCGGATGGATCCCTTGTTACCTCCTCGGAGAAACTAGTCTCGAATTCTCGTTGCTGATATTGAAGAAAAGTTCTCATAAGCATGGATATAGGGAGTTACTGTTTTGAACTCGATCTGCGACATGGAATACTGGAAACTGGAAGGTAGTTGGGCTCGAAAAGATGCCCTGATCGGTTTTTTTTGTGGAAGCGCCGCTGGATGGGACGTAAGATAAAGGCGCAGATAAAATACCCAATTTATCTGTGATAATGCGGTAAGGGTAGTTGAATAAGGTGGTAAAAAGGCATAAAAGAGTTATCAAGAATGTGCGAAGGAGGCGTGAATAAAGTGTGAGATGGATATCTGAAGCAGGGAGGGGGGAAAATATAGGGGATGCAAATAAGATATATAATATCCTTGTAACAAATATAGCAAACTAGCTCCTGGGTCACTGAAAATTTAATCAGTTCTTCTCTGGGTAGTGATAAACATAAGACTGAAAACAGATTTGAAAAATTGTACTTATACACAAACAGACGGAGTGATCATGTAGCATTTAGACAGATGGACGGGCAGGTAGTCCAAATGAGCAAAATTTAATCATACCGTTTTTTACCTTTGACGTATCGAAGCGATCTTCACCTATATGGACGTGAACAAGACGGAAGTGAGGCAGATGAAAAGAAGCCAAAAAAACTTGAAAGAGATGTGACAGAGGCACAAAGAGGCGTGTAAAAGACGTGAAATGAAAAATAATGCGTGCAAAACACGCGAAAAGATGTAACAAGTTAAAAAGTAATCGTAAACGATTTACATAAAGCGCATTTCCACTTGCATTCATTTCCCATTTGTAAGATGCAACTTCTGTTAAAATCGTAAAAATCCGCCCACAAATATGAAAGATAGCGTTGCACATGGGCAATCCATTGTTGACGTGCTACTTCAATTTCAGTTTATGAGAAGAATTTCATTTCAATGCTTTTCTAAATAAGAAAGTTGGAACTGCGCATGCGCAAACCTAAATTTTAAACTAATGTTAGATTTTCCTTTGTTCCAAGCGCCTAAGTATCAAATTTCACTTAAATAGTTCCATAGATAAAAAAGTTGGCACTGCGCATGCGCAAAATAAAATTTTGAAACTAGCGCTAGATTTTCCTTTATTCCAAGTGCCTATGTATCACATTTCATTTAAATTCTTCCATAAATAAAAAAGTTGGCACTGCGCATGCGCAAAGCCAAATTTTGAAATTGGCGTTTGATTTTCTTTATCCCAAGTGCCTATGTATCAAATTTCGTTTAAATTCTTCCATAAATAAAAAAGTTGGCACTGCGCATGCGCAAAACCAAATTATTGAAATTGGCGTTTGATTTTCCTTTATTCGAAGTGCTTATGTATCAAATTTCGTTTAAATTCTTCCATAAATAAAAAAGTTGGCACTGCGCATGCGCAAAACCAAATTTTGAAATTGGCGTTTGATTTTCCTTTATCCCAAGTGCCTATGTATCAAATTTCGTTTAAATTCTTCCATAAATAAAAAAGTTGGCACTGCGCATGCGCAAAACCAAATTTTGAAATTGGCGTTTGATTTTCCTTTATTCCAAGTGCCTATGTATCAAATTTCATTCAAATACTTTTATAAGTAAAAAAGTTTGCAATTCGGTTTATAAATGGTCGAGATGCGAAAAGGGCACTGTGAATTTTGAATCGATTCGATTCAACTTTTGGCATTGCGTATTATATGGCTAAAGCTATGCCCATATTGAATTTCATGCAATTCAGTTCATAACTAACGGAGATGTAAAAGCGATCGAACATTTCTAAACAAAGTTATCGTTCACACGGACAGATAGATGGACAGGCAGACAAAGGAACAGACGGAGAGACCAACCGACAGGCGACAGATAGCAATGCAAAATTATAAACGATCTCTAGGATCGTTAATAAACGGCAAAAGTGTAAAATTATGGAACATGTAAAAAACGGTTTTTTGTTTTTTTTACAATAACTTTTTTTGTAAGCGGTACAGAAAAAATTCCTTCCTTGGTACAAGACTCGACACCATAACGAACCAAATAGCGAAAAAAGTAGAACAATAGCTCTTAAGATAAAAAACTAGTAGCGTCGCAAAGTTAGCGGACGGACGGACGGACGGACAAAGTGGCCACAATAGCACATTTTTTTTTTATTTTTGTGGAAATGCGCTAAAAATTGAAAAAAAATTGAAAAAAAATTGATTTAAAACAGAAAATTCAGAGTGTAAAAGGGAAGAACACTCTTAAATTCCTACATACACAACCCCAATTAGATCGGCTTTGACGGCGTCTAAACGACGGCTGCACCGTTGCCATATGCCTTTAAACCGCCCCACCAGGTGTTCCACGTTTAGGTAGTTCACATTGTTTGCCCATTTTTCCTTTTACTGCAAACAGAAAGGTTACCATCGGTCTCGGAAGCGGACGTTGAACAAACAATACACGAATGCAAATTTTTGTTTTCATGAAAGTGCCATTTTAATTAGTTGAAAGGTAATTATTTTCTGTTTTTCGGTAAATTGTCAAGAAAGTTACCTAACGCAGACCTTGACGTTTACTGCGCACTTAACGACTCATTTGAATTTCAAAGTTGCCGCCTAACGCTCATCGAATCCGATTGGTCGACGGCCACGGTGAAGATAAACGCGTAAGAGAGATAGCGAATACAAATACTTCTGGGATTGAAGAGGGAGCAGTGGGCAAATAAGAACGAGGCTTAAGTCAGTGACTTCTCCCTGCTACTGGAGCTAGAGCACCCGCGCCACAGAAAACGGAAAGTGGGTACCAGAGTTTTGTGTTGTAAACGCCATAAGTGAATGCGAGAATGGCATTATCAGTGCTACGTGGTGCGATACGTTCACTGAAGATTTTGGAGCGAAACTGCCCCAAATACGCAGCGAGTGCCGTTAATTCGACTAGAAATGTTGTAAGTAAGACTTCATTTCCAATTAGCAACAACGGCGTGATAAGTTTGGGCATGTGGTAGATAAATTTTTGACCTTTCTCAAACCGTATCATTAATATTTATAACTTTTGTTTTGCATTAACATGACTCTACAATTACCTTTCTACCTAGCCCCCTTCCCTTACATCCCGATTTTTTTCAAAACTGACCAGCTTACGTGACACGCCACACGGGCCAGTAGAAGTTCAGGGTCAATTATTGGCCCACTTTTGTTGTATGTAAACAGCGTGTTGCTCAATTCCTTTTTTGTCCTCAAACAGTCACAGAAAAACAGGATATTTACGATTGTGTAATGACAAAGAGTGAATTAAAACCGCACGTCTACCAACTTTTGATAACCGCCTATTATTACCAAAAAATGAGATAACTGATAACAAGGCACGTGGTTTTGAGCTAAAAAAACTTCTTTAAATGCGCGGATTACGTGGCGGGGCGCTTTTCCTAATCATATTTGAGCTCCAAAAGGGCATGTGATCCCAATCACGCGTTTTTTGAGCCGTTAGATCATGCTAGTATTGTGATCGTCACAGTTTCCCACATTTCAGCTGAATGGAGCAACAATTATGAGAAACTTAGATCTTGTGATGCATCAAACACGTATTCAAAACTCCAGATCTGATCTCTTTTACTATCCAATTTGCAGAAAGTTGAAATAACTGAGTTGGTAATTGTTTGGAGCATTATCAACATCGACAGGATCAATATCACGTACCAGTTTGATAGTGAACGTAAATAAAGACTTTTGTGCCCAATTGTTTGTCGCACAAGAATTACAATTCATTTTAATTGTATCAATAAGTTGCTTTACCTACACCTGATGTAAAATCGTACAAAAATATGGCAGCACCTACGTCTCTCTAAAATTCCAGCAAGACGGAGCACCCAGTCACATATAGGTGACTAGATTAATCATTTGCCTCAAATTATATATATCAACTTCATTGTTCTTTAAAGTAGAAATTTCGAGTATAAACGAAGTTTTGAGATAAGTACCTACCTCGGTACCTACCCACATTTGAAGTCTATCGTGTTTACAGTTGGAAAAAAACTTTGTTGATCCAAAATAAGTTAATGGGAAATATGAGGGGCAAAAATGTCGCCAAGGATTTCGCCACTTGAAACTCTCCTTTGAAATGGTCGATCAAAAAAATCGGAAATAGGTAGGTACACCCCAATGGGAAGAGAAAACTCGTCCTCGAAAATTCTCATACGGGAGCTGTCCCGGAAAACTCTCCCCAAAATGTTTGCTCGCCAAACGTGAACTCCGTAAAATTTGTTCTGTTCAATTCATAATTCATAAGAGGAGAAGGAGATTTAATCTCCCGGAAAATCCCCTGGGCAAAAATTCGTCTTCGGCAAATTCGCTTACGCATAATGTGGAAGATTACCTCTATATTTCCTCTTCCTTTTAAAGAAAAATCATCTCGTAATATTCTTATGGTAATATTAACAACCAAAGTGTATTCGCCACTAGAAATTTCCACCAAATGTTCTCCAAAAAAAGACCGTCGTAATGGTCTGCGTTAGAAGAGACTCATTCTGGAAAATTTGCTCACGTTTTCGCGTTTTGTCGAAAAACCCGCCTTTAAAAGAATTCGGTCTCCGAGAATTAATAAAATAATAACTAATAAAATAAAGGCAAAAAATAAATAAATAATTTTCCGATGGCCCTTAAAATTCGTTGCGTACTAGAAAATCATTCCCCCGCGAAATATTTGGTCTCAAGAGAAAGTGGAAACTTGCCCTAGAAAATTCGCTACGAAAACTCTCAGAAAATCGCCTTACGGAAAAAGTCGTATTCCGAAAATTTGTCCGAAGAGGAGACTTACTCTGAAGCTCGCGTTTAAAAAACCTCCACCATATCCTGTCGTTTCCTTCCAGAGAAGCCACTTCGTAATTTTCATAGGTAATATGCTCCCTCCCCCTCCCCTTCACCCTCGTAATATTCACCTAAAAATCCGTCAGAAATTGATATTGAAGTAATTTGCTCACGCGATCTCTCCTAGAAAACTGAAAAAGACACCAACAAAATACACCCCTTAATTTGTTCCATACGGAAAATTCATTCGTATCTAGAATATTAACCTCCAAGAAAAAGAGAAAACCTGGAAAGTTCTCTCCCGGAAGATTCGGCCAGGGAATATACAATATTCATCGCCACAGTGCATTCGCAATTGACCCCACAAAATTCGTCCCCTACTTGAAATTCGTTCACTTCCAAATATTCGTATTTTCGGCCAATACAAAGAGAAAACTCTTCCAAGAACATTCATGTCAGTCTTCCCGAAAAATTCTCCCACGGAAGAAATGCCTAAGGTTTCCGAAATCTCCAAGTACCCTAAAGTCTCTTAAAATCCAAAGCTTTTGAGACTTCCCAAAGTTTCCAAAAAATCCCTACGTTTCTCTCATCTCTAAACGTTCCAAAGTCTCCAAGGCTTCCAAAAGTCCTAAAATCACCATAGTCACTATCCAGATTTAGTCTTCAAAACTGCTAAAGTCTCCAAGGTCTGAATTTTAACCTGCTCCATTTTAATGATGAATACCCTGACCATTTCAATTTTCAAGGTACCGCCCCCCTAGGTATAATATAATTAGAAATGAAGCTATAATTAAAAGACTATTAGAAATTAGATTATGACACAAACAAGAAAACCCTGCTGATAATTAGTTTAATTATTAATTGCACTTTATTCTTGTTTTTTTTATCGACTTCGTAACATTTTATTTTTGTAAATGTGATTTTCGAATTGGGAGCGTCCAAAAAGATCGAAATCTTTGGAAAACTGGAAAGTGGAATCACAATAAGTTTCTATTATTCAACCCGCCCGATTTCTCAATTTTGTAGACTCGAATTAGACCATTTATCTCTTTCCAGTAAACATAGATAAGAGAAACTAAGCGAGATAAACCAACCAAACGTTGATAATTGTTTATAAACTTTCGCTTAAATGTCATTAACATTCGACGTGCATAAAAACTCCTAATTATGCAATTGAATATGCGGGTCAGAAGGGTCGTTTTCAGTATGTACAGTTAAACACACTGGAAGGAAGTTTGCATTAAACGCAATCAGTCCGTTGAAGTTAATATTTAAATTCCACTTCGTCTTTCATATTTTTCAAAAGATTTTTATTGTTATTACAGTTATTAAGCTATTTCAACAAATTTGATTGTAATAAATATTAAAAGATTATAAAACCAGCCAAAAGAGAACAGTAGCAACCACAAAAATTACATATACTTTTACAGTGAATTTTCATGTTCGTTTTATAACCCAGATAACATTGGATAGGCATTCTTAGAAGGTATGCGAATATTCCAAATATTCATAAAATGTTCAGTGAATCTTATATACCTAAGTTCGTTAACATATTCCAAGAATATTCAGTAAAATGAACTGAGAACACACTATAAATATATTCCTTGACTGATCAGAATATCTGAGATATTCCTATTCTCATATCCCTATTATATCTCACAAGGGACGTACCTATATATTCTAGGTAGATTTAAAACATGTTCAACCTTTCTGAATCGTCCTGGTATATTACAGAAATATTTGATGTTATCTGGGAACATTAACATGAATTTGCAAAACATTTTTTCTTTAAATAAATAAAATATTTATTTTAATTTAATATTCATGTACTTTGCCTATATGGCAAGATGTAGAAAGCGCGGACAGCCACTAAAACATATAGCGACATACCGTTGAACTTATGAAATGAATTCTTTTTATTTTTACAGGCGTCCGTTCCAAAACGCCACCTGCTCGATCCACGGGCCAGTTTCATAAGCGTCAGAGATTACGGCAAACATGTCAAAAAGACAGAGGCGAAGAAGAAAGAATATTCGTCCTCCGAGAGCGAGTATCAGTCGAGCTCCGAGAGCGACAACGAAAATTTGGGCCATAGAGGCGAATCGGACTTTTGGCGCCGGAAGATGCGCACATTCCATGGAATTTTAGATGTAAATAACGACGGGGTGATATCCTATGACGATTTCAAACTTTTAGCCGATAGGTTTGTGCAATTGGGACATCTTAGTGATAAAATTAAGAACGAGTTTCACGAACACATTAAGGTAAGATGCTGTGTTATGGCACGGTGCCGGTTCTAACTCTTTTTCTTGCAGGATTTGTGGGAGAACCTCTGGGGGGAGATTACGCCATATAATTTAGTTACAGTTGAAAGGTATTTAGAAGATATGCACCACGTTCTGAATGACAAGGCGCTGAAGAAGAAGGTGCACGGATTTCTGCCATTTTTATTTCGAGTAAGTAACGCGGGCAGATTGTGCAAGGTTTTACTCATTTTTCAGGCCATCGACAAAGACAACAATGGGAAAATTACGGTGGAAGATTTCAAACTGTTCTTCGAGTGCTTGGGACTGAAGGAGGTGGACGCTGTATTCTCATTCAGAACAATTGATTCGAATGGAGATGGAAAGCTGACTCGCAAAGAGTTCATCTCGCACGGGAGACAATTCTTTTTGACTGAAGATACAGAGTGCATTAGTAAATACTTTTGGGGACCATTGGTTGATCACTAGTTATTGTGTAGGTGTACACTCACAGTTAGTCAAGTGTCTGTACTTTTGAATCAAAGTAATTAAGGCTATTATTTTACCTAATTTTTAATTGGCTGTTGCCCTAGTTTTTAATTGGCGTTTTCTGCCATGTTTTTATATAGTTGTAAGTTTTATACCGCAAACTAGTAAACCTTTATACAATCCCAGTCTGTGATTTTCCATCAAGATCTGTTTTGCGTGTCAAAGTGTTTACAAAAATGTGTAAACAAATATAGCAAACGAGCTTCTGGGTACGGCTATAGCTTGCCATTGCGCAGTATATGGCTAAAGCTATGCACATCTTGAATTTCATGCAATTTGGTTTATAACTAAGGGATCCTTATTCTTTGGCCTACATTACCAGTTTAGCTCAGATCTACAAATTTGATAAAGAATCCACCTGCAAGATTTCATCGTAGGTAATTGGTCGATTCGTTTTCGAGATATCTTTCTAACGAACAGACGGAAAATAATGAACTCTTTAATAATCAGATAATTGGGAAGGAAGAGAGAGGGGTAAGAGGCGTGAGAATGCTGGAATGATTAAAGGTGACGTAAATAAGGGATGCACGATGAAGGCGGCGAGAACATTGAAACGAAAGAATCGAATATCAATCAAATTTTATTGACGTCATTTTCCAAAAACTTTTTACACTTGAATCAATACAAAAATAAAACCTAAAATGGATGTGTCTTTTCTTCTATTTTTTCTAGGATCATCCACTTCTCTCCTCTCCCCTTCTCTTTCAACAGTAGATCAGTGGTCCAAACTACCGAATCTCGGACTCACTGGGGAAAAAAGCCACCGCCTTTTTCAAGCATGCCATAAACCATTGTGCCCTCATAAACCTAGAAATGGGTAGCAAGGGGGTAAAAATAGATATCCTCACAGTCAAGCTGCACTGAAGGCGTTAGTAGCCCGTATACTTGCTACTCCAAAGTAGTATGGGAACTCGCAACCGTATCACATACATACCCACTACCAATGCCGCCTATCCGTTACCATTACCACTTGTACACAAATCAACCACTGTATTGGATGCATAGGGCTATAATAGCAGTACATGTACTGTATGGTCTAAGCATAGGCCTGAATGGGACATGGATTCAATATCAAAAGGACGTGAAGGCGACATGAAAAAGATGGGAGGGCGATTTATAGACTTTTACTTCGAAAAATCACACACTAATTAATATATAGTAATGATATGGGAAGAGCATTACAGAAAATGGATGACAAATTCAAAAATCAATCAAATGAAAAATAATGCACACAAAAATAAAGAAAAATATAAATAAATAGGCAAGAGAAAAAAACAAAAATACAATAAAACATGATTTCACAAAAAAAAATTGCTAAAAGAATTTTAGTAGTGACAGTGAGCGATAGTAGCTCTTCCGTCATGACAGTAGGTAGTTCACAAAACCAAAACTATTCAGTTAACCTCCACGCGTTGCGAAATGAATGTTTTTTTCCTCTCGATATCTTCAGAGTTCAATTTAAATGTTCTAATTTTAGGACAATTCGAAAATGCCCAGTGAACTTCGCATTTACCTCGAGAATCCCAACAATTACTACTATCCCGGTCAGTCGGTCAGCGGAAAGGTAGAATGTACATTCACGTCGGAGAAAAAGGTTCAGGGTGTTTTCGTAAAATTCAAGGGGGTGTGTACGACGTCTTGGACCGAAACCGAGACGTATTACGACGACTTTTTCAAAGAGGACCGAACGAGGGAGGTACCTTACAGTGGAGAGCAGACTTACTTCAGTCGAGAATTTAATTTGACAGGACCAGGTGAGCATAGTGTGCTTTGTGAAATGCCGTTTTACTTTTAATTATAAGAAAACCTATTAACATTAGTAAACAATTATCTGAGATATTATTAAATTTAAAGGTACGTATTTTTTTTAATATTTTTTAAGCAAAACATTTTCTTTCTGGTTTTTATGAAGCACCAAAAACATGAGTTGATTGTGCTAAAACGTAAGTTTTATACTCTACTTTTTTAAGGAGGGGATAGTGTAACGCTCCCCCCTGGAAAACACGTGTATCCCTTTTCCTATGAATTACCGCATCATTTACCAACGTCTTACGAGGATCCAAATGGTTGGGCGAATATAAGATACACTGTTAAAGCACGGATTGGACGTTCGTGGAAGTTTGATATCGAATCTGTTGCCGTTTTTAATGTCATGTCTCCTCTAGATTTGAACACAGAGCCTCGAATTAGGGTGAAGAGTTTGGGTCAATTCAATATAGTCCTTACTTTGGTATTGCAGGAACCTGTAGAGATATCCGTGGATAAAGTGTTGTGTTCGTGTTGGTGTAATAATAACGACGCTCTGACGTTCACCTACACCCTGCCCACGACAGGTTACATACCAGGTCAGACTGTTAATGTGGGAGTCTATGTACAGAATCTCACAAATGTCAGCGTTGAAAGAGTAAAGTTTAAAATAACCCAGGTGCAAATGCAGGTGGTTCTATACTGATAACGCATGCGAACTTTACAGTTCATCGAGTACGTAGTGAATACGCCAAGTACCAAAACAAGAACTTATGATGAATTGATAGCAGAGTCCTTCGATGGCGGAATAGGAGCACATGGTGAGAAATCCTGGACAGCTACTCTACTTATACCTGCAGATAAGTCGTTTCCCAACATGGCCGGGTGTGAACTGATAAGAATGTCGTATCGCCTAAAGGTAAACTTGAATTTCGCGTTAGCTTGGACTAACCCATTTTTAGGGGGTTGTATACATCCCCTACCCGCATACTAATTTATCGGCGTATGTTCCATTGGTAATAGGCCACGTTCCGCTGGCAGGAGTAAACTTTAATACAAGTTTAGAGCCACCTACCGAAGAAAGATTGCCCTACATTGACGCTACAGCGCCCCCTTCAGAAAATACATCGCTCGTTACACCATTTGGAAGAAACAATTACGGCGCCATTTACATTAATCCTGCAGCACCGGACGACGAAGAAGACTCGACAGGTTGTATACTGCCATTCTCGACCAACGAAATTGTTTGTGTATTTTTAGCACCACCAAAATACGCAGAAGTTGCACTCTTGAATGGTGCTTGAGGCGTCAGTTTTCTCATGTTTTTAGTTATAGTCATTTTTGTTACATAATTTGTGCCTACTGAACTAAACAGAATAAAAATATATTAATATTTCGTCGCTTTATTTGGAAATCCGGTGCTTTCAGAAAACCCCTTAGGCGCCTTCTATAGAGTTAATAGCGAAAAACAGTGTTGAAGGCTCTGGAAAAAATCCGAGTAGCAACTACGTAGCTCTTGTAAACACCTACCTAACTGTGGCTACCGTAGTGTTCTATAAAGAACCTATACCTACCACTTTCAAAATTGCAAAGCGCCTAAAATTCATCTAAGAGATTCTGGACGACACTTTGTACCTTCTAGCAAAGAGTACTCTTTGCTTCTAGTGCTTGTACCGCATTTCAGAAATCTTAAATGCTTTCATAAGACTCCCTATAAACTTTGCAGGGCTAGGCAAGCGCACAATACTTTGAAAAAGACTTAAGAGAAGTCCTACAACCCTTTGGAAAGGACACGGAAAGCATCTGTGCGACTGTATAACTAAGACACAGTCCTACTGCAGAAGGTAGAGCAGTATTTAGATTTGGTTAACATTAGTTTTGGGACGCGAACAATTAAAACTACTAAACTTTTAATTATGTTTATTTCGAGTGGATTATTTTATGAAATCAACTGTTCTACATTATCCTTCGTTTTATATCGCCAGTAGCAGCTGTACACCGGACTTCTTCAAGTCATGTTTCAATAGGTCTCTTCCAAAGTGTTAAAAGCTTTAGGCCGGCTCGTGCTTTCCCGACGCGTCCTCATTCCTTACACTTTCAAGAGCTAAGAGAACCTACCCATTTCTAGAAGCCGTACAATCTCTGAGACAACATTCTTTAAATATGTTCAAGACTTCAGAGTCTATTAAGCACGAGAAAGCTCTGGAACAGTTCGAAAAAAGCGTCTCCAGCACTTTCCAGAAACTTAATGTGCGCTTTCCAAAGATTCCTTTGACCCCTCTATAAAGACCTTTTCGGGCTAATGAGAGCAAAGTCAGTTTTATAAAAGACCTAAAACACTCTCAAAAACGTTTGGGAACTCTGGGCAATTAAAATGTCCGTAGATGCATAGTTAGGAAAGTTGGATTTGGTTGATAAATGGTAACGCGAGGATCAAAATTATCCCTGAAATTATCTGAACATTCGCACAATTTATGAAATCGTCAGAATTATGCTACACGTTTTTAGTTTTTTATCCGATTTGCAAACTGTACAGTCGGTCCTTTTCTTCACACTATTTTCGTGGTCACTATTCAGTAGAAGTGTTCTGTAGGTACTTAAGCATGTTCTAAAATTAGAAGAAATTAAATCCGTTAACGTCTAATAGATTACTTGATCTACACTGTTAGGCTTCTAGTTTGAGGACTGTTAAAATATTTTCTGGATTCACTTTGCCTTTGAGAGCGTTCCATTCTCTTTCCAAATCTTAGCGAGCTTAAACAGTCACCAACAATGCTCTGAAAAGAGTATGACAAACAGTTGGCGCACATTGTACCTATTCATTGTAATAAATAAAACTGTAATTTTTAGGTTTGGAATTAGGAAGAATTAAAACTACATACGCCTTCGATAATCTTTATTTAAAACTAGCCGACCCGACGGACGCTTTCCTTTTTTTTTTAGCTATGAATACCTATTCAATTCGGACTGGAATAAATAATTACAAAAAATCATTTTAAAAAATTTGCTGTGGCTAGCACAGGTACCACCTGCGCATGCGCGATTCTACCCTTTTATGTCTAAGAATATGTGTACCAAATTTGGTTTAAATCGGTTCAACCGTTTAGCCGGAAAAGAGATTTTGACACACTTGCCCCAAAATCTCCCAAAAATAATAAATAATAAACGCACTCACTTCTAGTTGCTTTTGGCGATTCAGAGCTAGCAACGTACCTTTTTTTTGCGCCAAATGCCGTAATTTGAAAGCAATTATTGTATTTCTGGATATGAGTCAAAAAATGTATAGAATCTGTCCCATTTCCGGAAACCAAAAAATATAGTGGCTCTGGTGGCGGTACCAATGGCGTCAATTTCGCTTGGCCACTGGCGCAACATAATCCCGGGGCTTCTGTAGCCTTCCAATGTGGACACACAAAGTTCTTTGGTCTAATAGCAACTATTTACTGTAAATGTTGGTACGTCTAATTAGTAGCATCTTGAAAAAACTAAAATTCAACTGAAAATAGAAATTAACTCCCTTAGTGTTTCTGTATAATTATGTATACCACGTGTTTAGTCTATCAACATTCAACACTTACCAAAAATGGATATTAGGTTAATCAAATTTTTAATTTAAAAGGCGTGATTGCGGTGAAATAACCTCGAAACTTCTCAAAAAACTCGTACTGAAATCTGGATAAACTATCCGATCGAATTGACAGCACACTATATGAATAAATTAATTTTTTCTCCAACCACCTGAATAAGACACTATTTTGTGACAGTGTTCGGTACGTAAAATTGACGTTTTGCGGATTAATCGCTTTCACCATGGCAACTGTACAAAAAGTGGATACTTTTGGTCCTAGTACCAAAAAGAAATTGACCTTGAAAGTTGGCCAATTAAAAAATTACAATGGCGGAGATATGTCACATTGCGACATCGTTTTACATTGCAGGTTGTAAGATATTTCTATACATACAAATCAAATATTTTTGCATATTCAATGCAAATAATGCTGTTACCTATACGTATGTACATGTATTGAAAATGATTTACGCTCGCTATTTTTATTTAAACCATGTGTAACGTAATTTACATATTCGGTGAACGTAATTTTAATACGTACACACCCCGCCGTCGCGCGTAACGCCATCTACAGTGTGAGCAACAATGATTGAAGCGTGCGTCATCACCGCTTGTTCCTATTAATATCAAAACTACCTTCTTTGTATGTAGTTGTATACGAAAATGACGTTCTGCGCTGTCACAGTGACGTGCGCCTATTCGTATTTCGTATCTTGTATCAAATCAGCATATGCTATGAGCGGCACATTGCCAATTTAGCTGAAGCGGCACGCTTCAATCTTTGTTGCTCACTCTGTACTTCAGACCCATTGCACTATTATCTGTCATTTTGAATTCAAAATATGAAAAAGTTAATTGCAATTAATTTTAATTAAAAAACTATGGTAAGCTTTTTATTTCAATACAAAATATAACAATATTAATTGTGTATAGAATAAAATGACTGAAACTGATAGCGACATGGATTGCACTCCGCCAGAGATTATAGAAACGGCAGAACATGCTACCTCAAGATTTGCTCCCTACAAAGTCGCGAGAGGTGAGAAGTAAGAACGAATAGGTTATAAGTTAACCTAAAAACTAGAGTGGCATGACACGTGAGGACAAGAAAGCAGAAGTTCTTATACTATAGTAGTGAAACTGTGACTGAATATAAATTCGAATATAATTTGAAGTAAAGGGGGTTGGAGAAAAAATGTTATGTTTTATTCGTACAAAAAATGCGTTTTCGGGACTCGGTAGGTAACTGACATTTTTTGTACTAATGAAACAAATAACTATTTTGACGGATATATGCCGATCCATTGCCGATCGATAGCTGGTAAAACAATTTCCGTCGCACCGTCTAACGCGCGATAGTCGATAAGTTTTCTCCAATTTTCTGCTCGATTTTCTTAGTTTTTCTTGCCGTAAGAACCTTCTACACAGTATTAAAAAACTTAAAAAAAAGATGAATGAAATCGGTAGTCGTTCTAAAGTCATTGCGTGACCAGAAGAAACAGGGGTTCATTTTTATATATAGAGATTATATCAGAATTGTGTTTGTACGCACGTTCCTTTGTTTTATCATTCCATTGTCAAACTGTACACTTGCCTTTTTCAGCCGGGTGGTCTACTCCACAAAAGGTTCCTAAAATTTGAAATCAAAAAACGAGATAGAGATCTGCATGGTTTTAACGTTTCTATAAAAGAGTACATTGAATCATACACCAAGCACAATAAAACCACAAAGTGTTTGCGAGGTCTGCTCCCAATTGACAAACTTCTTCTTTCCACCCAAAATTCGAGTCGAGTGGTCTCCTAAAATGTGAGGTGATTAAACGAGCAGATAGGATTACATACAATAATCTTATTAGGGTATATTTATTTGTTATTATTTAAATACATTGATGTTTTACATAATTATTGTGGCTTGACACCTAAGACATGGGATATTTGATTTTCTCCTTTTTAACACACAACAAAGCCTCGTAATCGGTGATTACAAATATATTATGCATAATATGGAATGTAACTATTCGTCTATTTTGTTATTTGTCAAAAAATAGTGTTTTTTTTATTACTTTAACCCTCTTTATAGCTCAGTGTTGTATCAAAATTGCACACGTTTTCGAGAAACGGGACAGCTAACATCTAAATACATCGAGAATTTACTTTAATACACGACAATTTTAATACAAAACTGTGCGTAAACTGTTTTGAGTGCGATTTGCTTCTTCTAAACTAAACAGCACATTTTTGACATCACAGCGACTACTCTAAAAATGGCATATTTAACACGTAATAAACAAAATGGTTGCGAACAGTTAAGATATTGCAACATGATATTGATGTAGTCGCTACCATCTATTGCGGTTGTATTAAAATAGATACAATAAAAACCATTTTATTTATACGAATTCTAAAAATAAGTACCCAACCTTCATTATTATTTATTATTATCGTCATAATAAAATACAAATAAAACTTAAAAAGTACTTGCTTTTAGCTGCATCGTAATTATATACAAACTATTATTTATTGAAGCTACCTTATTAAAAAAGAACGAGGTGCCGATACTTTGCTTTTTTCCCGTCGAATCGGCACGAGCTCCTTTAGAAGTAGGTGAAAAAAGTGTATTTTCGTCAACTACCCCACTGAGTAATAAAAGGATAGGCAATTGTGCGAATAGTATAAAACACTGACAGAGTTATCGACCGTAGGTACGTGAGAAATCACACAATCAAACCTATATAGTGCCCCATACGCACAAAAAAATACTGATTGCACTTAATAAGTGTGTGATATGAATAAAATTTTACAACCTAAATCCTAAGTTAAGTACAAAAGTCACTGGGTTAGTTAAAAAATATAGACCGGGTTAACAAGTAAAAAAATTAAACATACGTTCAAATTATTCGAAATAGTACTTCATACCCAACAATCTTAATATGTACAGTTTCTATACTTATAAAAACAAGTGGCGCGAAAGCTATGGTGAGCTGGCATGTATAGTCGATAACTAGCTATAGTGAAAAGTACAAAAGCGTAGAAGGGTAACCCCCAATTTTTTTTAATTGACATGTATCTGTCAATTAGCCTAACCGACAGATAAATGTATCAGTTACAAAAAATGTTCCTCCGGCCCTTCTACGCTTTCGTAAAGGGATATACAACGTATATCTTATTATTACTATCTAACATTATGGACGATTATTGTTGATATTAGTGAGTTTCGGTTGACATACACGCGACAGTCCTCATGAAAATCTTAGAAATAGCTGCTTACATTCTTTGAAAGCTGCAATAAAAATTTACTAAAAAATAAAGCACGAGAGCGTTACCTGTTTGTAACCAAACCTTTGTGCCTGACACAGCACAATTTTTTACTGAGAAGTAGCCCTGTGACTACTTCACAACAAAAATATCACCGAAGCCACCCACTTATCTTGCTATATCGTGCGTTTTTAAAAACGAAATATATATCTTTGAAATCAATGGGAAAACGGCACAATATAACATTTATCAGATCTACTTTACATCGTGGAATGGTCCCATTCTAGCTGACTGACGTTTTGGTACTCCCTCTTGCGGCGCGCGGGCTGTTCCTCTTCGTCCTCTGAACTGTCGTGGAGTCTACACGGACCGTCCATGTTATCGTCGTCCGATGAACTGTCAGAGTCACTTTCGCTGTCGGAATATTCGGCGGTTTCGCCTTGCAGTCTCCTTTCGGCGTTCTATAAAGTTCGAAATCAATACTGGCTCGGTGCGCTAGACTTTCGGAAAGCATTATCTACAGCAATGGGAGTGTGCAGGCAAGAATTTTAGAAGGAAGCAACCTACTAGGCGAACGTGGCGTGGCGTCCGCCGAAATATCCATGTCTGACCTAGGGGGGGAGGTTTCCAGGTACCCATCTTCTATGCGGAGGGTGGCTCCGTACCGTGTGCGTCCCCAGGTGCCCGATGAATGATCGTATGAGACACAGGGTTAACGCGGAAATGGGATGCTCACAGACAAAGATGTTAGAGACATCCAAAACCGCTTGGCGGACTAGCCACCTCGCCTGACCAAACCGAACCAATATCATCAAGATTTTGTTCGATTCGGATTAGTGGTGCTTCAAAAAATGCCGTCATAAAAGTGGGGAGTCATTTTTTCCTCCAAAGCAATAACCTTCATTACTAACATGCAGGTGGTAAAAACAGGAGATTCCGCAGAACTGGGAAGCATCTCCAAAGACAAGTTTCATCAACTTTAACGTCTAGAGAAGTGACCTTCCATAACTCAAAGGATTACAAAGGTGGCAGAAAGTAAGCATTCGACAAAAAAAGGTGCAGACTTACCTCCATCGGATTCACCGTAATCGTAAGGGCGGAATCGTCCCACGTCATTTCGGACTCTTGCGCCTCCTCGGTCGTATTGCGATGGTGAGCCGCCCTTATTCTGATGACGCCCAGAACGATCATGAAGAGGAGGAAACCGACGCACACCACGACGATGATGGTGACGGCGTGCGAGCCGCCGCTGGCGATGTTGAGGTGATCGGTTGGAATGTAGTCCTGAGAGATGATCGAGGCCGGATGCAACTCGACGGTGTGCTTGTTTATGGTCGCGTGAGCTACCTGCTCTTTTAATTGGGGATGGATCACAGTTAGCTGAAATTGTCAACGTTTAGAGTATCCCGTGTAACAAACCTTCGTCGCTTACTGTTTGTACATATTCGTTTGAGGTAAATCGACCGTTGAGCTCCGAGCAGGTGAGTTTGAACACTCTGTTCAGGTAGTAGGCGGGTTTGCGATTGGTGTAGACGATTTGGCGGAGCACCTGCTTGTAATTGTAGACCATATCAGAGCCCGTGATTGTTATTCCGTCCTTTGAAACACGCGCCGCCATTCCTAAAAGCCATTTTGAAATCAATGAACGTCAAATCTTAACTGGAAAACGTGCATGTCGCTCTTTGAATCTTACCAAGCCGCTTAACCATCTCTTCCGGCACGGCCAAGCTTTCGTGGTCAGGGTTCAAGTTGGGATAGATCGTCAACGAGCACTTGTCCAACTTTTGCTCGCCCATTATGTGAATGTCGGGTAGAACGCGAACACCCAGTCGGAAATCGGCGTATTTTCTCGCCATGTTTCCCGTACCGTTGAGATTAATGGTGGGCGTTTGAGGTCTTAGTACCATGACGTACGTCTGAGAGTCGGGGACCTTGACCATCTTGCCGCTGTCGCAAATGACGGTCGTGATTAGCTTCAGATTTCGGCGACCGGGCGTGGGGAACTCGCGCGAATTCGCGTAGCCAATTTTACGGACCAGCGTTTCCAAATTGGTACGGTTGTCCCCTTCCACGGTCACCTCGGTTAGATCGGAGTTTGTTAGTAGTTCCATGCCAGGTTGTAAAAGTTCCATTGCTGGTACCTGAATTTTACCTGATGTGTAAAAGTGTGAAGTTGCTAAGAGCATCGATTACCTGTAGACTTTCCTTGCATTGATGTAGACAACTTAGTACTTCTGGCTTCTCCGTTTCGCCAATCAGAACGCTTAGACCGGCTAAGTATCCCTTCAAATGGTGTTTCATTTTGTTTTCCGAACCCTGCCAGCAGGCCCCAACTGTTAGTGTAGTATTTATTCCCTTGGTCGGATGTAAAGGCCAGTCGTCGATTACTTCCGGATTTTTCTTTTCCGTATGGAATATTTGCCCGTCAACAAACAGCTCAACGTCCGGGAAACGGACGTTGACGGCGTAGTGATGCCACTGATCATCGCACACCTACAACAAAACCACACAATCACCCTTAAAATAAATTCGTATTTAGTGGATGCTTGTACTAATTTGGGGTGTAAGGTTTCCAGCCTCAATTTTGGTAAAAGTGACGGTTTACCACCTTACATTCTACCCCTCATACCGAGATTGAACACTAATTTCAATTTTTTACAAATCATTAAGTGCTAATAGAATTGTCAATTGTTAATAGGGACGTAATTAGCAGAATGAGCTACAACAAATTAGAAAAGGAGGGAAGGGGGTGTAACTAAATGAACATAAATTTACCTGAGGTAGCTTCCATCTCCATTCAGCAGGCCTGAATATATTCAGATCGCCTTCAGAGAAATCTCTTCGGAGTAATAAAATCAGCCTGCAATTGCGTACGAAAAGAGCGTAGTGATGTCGATTCATCTCTGAAATAGACACGTGAAAAGGCTTAAAAAGTGAGCGGGACTGGGGATCTTACTGTGGTCGTCCGCCGAACACAAAATGTGCTCTTTGACGTGCTTGTCTTGCGCGGGATGTTGACCGTGTCGCATCCACGTGGCAATTGTGAAAGAGGAGGCGAGATTATGGTCAAGCACGCTTTTCGGCACTGTTACGGCAGTACTCGAGCCGTCAAACTCGAACATTTGGTCGGATTCGTGACCTTCGTCGGAAATTAAGGGCTTAGTCCACTCGGCGCCCAATTCCGGATTAGGCAGTAGATCCGTAGCCGACGGCGAAGCCCCGCATAACTTCCGTTGGGATTGAACACTGTAGGTATCGCGATCGCAACCCTTTCCGATATGCCTAGTTGCCAAATCGACTCTCGTCCGCAACTCTCGGACGGTGCAAGGTACGTCGCACAGTTCCAGACTCGCCGACGGGAATAATTCCTGCTTACCCGTCATTGGGGCGTAGTCCACCCTCTCCGGTAGGCCTCTCCAACCCAACCGACACACGCGGTTTACCTTAATAGTAACCATAACCGGCAAGCTTTGGCGCATGCCGCAATCGTAGGCCACAACACTCAGAATGTGATTATGCGATCTTTCGTAATCTAAGGCTTCTGTATTGCGGATAACACCATCCATGTCAATCACAAATGGCTGATCCGAGGTTAAGATCTCATATTTACAAACATCGCCAAATTTCGGCTGATCCGAGGTTAAGATCTCATATTTACAAACATCGCCAAATTTCGGCGTGCAATCACGATCGGTCGCCTCAACTCGTACAATCTCGCGATAAATACGACCCTCATCCACTTGCCTTACGTAGCTGGGCTCCGAAAACGTGGGCGCGTATTCGTTTACATCCGATACGGTTATGTGAACGGTAGCGCTATAACAAAATGACGAAATATTACTTGATTCAAACTAAGTCGCGTATGACTCATCACAGCTTTCTTTGAACTGAACTATACTTACTTTGTACTTTGTTTTCCATTGCAGCCCACCGCTGCAATGTCAAATTTGTAGTTCCTCCGCTTTTCGCAGTTGAGCACCCGCCTGGCTCTGAGCTCCGCGTAACCGTTGTCCTTCGAGACGATATCGAAGGGCGCCTCGCCATGGTGCTTGTTGACAATTCGAAAACCGCAAACGGGCTCGCCCACCGCCCTTATCGCCGGTGTTACTTCTACGATTGTTTCGTTTTCTTTTACGAGCCCGTGATAGCCGTTTTCTAAATTGTCGATATCTAATTTGGGAGCTGCAACAAAAAGACCACGGTGACGGCGCTAGTAAAACCAAATAGTCCTCCTAAATTTTCTCCAGAAATCTCGATAGACATCGAGGCGCCAGGAAAGACTAGTCATCGGCAATAAAGAACGAAGGCGGGTGTGAAACGAATTATGATTCAGTTCAGGTCCAATTACGATGCCCAAGTCATAAATACCTCGCGATGTTATAAATAAGCACGCCATGAGTACAGTTTTCTCGCTATTTGAAATGCGGGTTGCTATACCAAGACATCATTTGACCACTGGAAAAGAGTCGATCATTTGTTTCTTCGTTTGTCTTAAGAGTTGGCAACAATGTTTAATTAAACGTCGATTCAGCAGGAATACAATTCGAATACACAACACAAATGATTGTCGAAGCAGTGGTGCAAATTTCCACCTGAATAGAACAGAAAAGACCTAGGAAAACACTATTCCTTAGTATCGACTCGAAACTATAAATAAAAATAATACTTAATAGACAATTGATTAGAGAAAATCCATATTCTGTTTACAAAGAGTGGAAGTAAAGCCATAAAAATGAAGGAGAATGTTTATAAAAAAAAAGTTAACAAACATGGAATACTAAATCGATACCCCGTTTATTCTTTTGAGAACTTTTTGTAGCCGTCAACAATTTTTCTTTTTTATTTCGACATACTCGATCAAAGTTATTTTATTCCTGATATCTGAAAGTAATAAAAAAGAAAACGTTTTGGTTATTACATTTTCATTCGCCTCGTTGATCTTTGGTAATGGTTTTTTCAAATTGAATACTGAAAAGTTCGAGATAAAGGAACTATTTTTGCATTATCGACGCGCCCCCTCATTTTTAATATCGCGTGGAAATTAGCGAGTACAAACGACGCGAAAGTTTACTTTTTTTTTTATTAACGTCTTATACGTGAAGTGTATCGAGCCAATGACCCAGAATTAGACGCTCCTTATATCTCCAGGGGAGGACTATTAAAAAATCGATAGTTATAATTTCCTTGCGGAGGATAAATCGGGTTTCGCGCATTATATGTTTTCGAAAGGCTAATTTGCAGTTTTATACTGTTTATTACGCAATTAACGTCGGCTACAATTTTTTTTGCATACTTTTCTTTTCGCTGTAAATTTGTAAATTTAGCATTTTATGAAAGGTCGCCGTACTTCGTTTATTCAGAAAGAAACGAAATTCGGTTTTCTCCGTTTAATTTCATCAATTTTTTCGCGACGCATTGCCAATCGGAACTCATAAATGCGAATGACAATTTGAAATGCTGCTATTTGCACTTTAAGGCGGATGAGTTCAGTTCCCCCTCGCTATTACCGCGGCAAATGAATTTTTATTGTAATCAATTGTGCTTTATGCAAGCAATTTGTGCCCTTTTCGTTTTCGAAAATTCTATAATCATTTTTAGGGGACTAAAAACGATAATTTCATTAAAAATGTTGACATTCAAATTAAAATATTGTATTTGTATGATGGGGCCTAACAAAACACTCCCCCCCCCTGGACCCCACAACATATTTCTTGCAAATCATCGAGTTTTCAATTGTGCGTAATGGTGCTACTTAAGTAGGCTCGAACCTTGTCCCATAACCAGTTGATCCTTCCAAAGGTGCGCTAATATCTCCAATTTTGTTTACCTGAACGAAGTAGTTCGTTGAGACGGAGGAGCCTCAATTCCTCGTTATCGACCTCCAAAGGGATCGAGATTACTACCGGCGCCCTCAGAGGTCGCTTGTGGTGGTTCTTGGCTCCGACCAGGGGTCAGAACTTGGTGGTCTGCTAAGTCTATGTTCCGTAGGATTCGAAAGAGGCTCCTCCAACCACGGTGGCTGGCTGAATTGATAAGAGTACCGTCGAAAATGGCCTTCCTCTTGTGAGTGGTTATGATGCAAACGCACACTATTTTACGAGGGGCTTAGATTGCCCGTTCCTCAAACTTGAAGGATTCGTGTTCTTTAAATATTTATATGGTGATCGGTCAGATGGTCTTGCACCATCTAGGTATTTACTTTGTAATCCACTAGTTTGAATATATAAGTTGTGCAGGCAATAAATTTGTTCTAAGTGTTATAGCATTCTTATTACAATAATCTTTTGTTTTACCGTTAGAGGCCATCCGAGTGTTATAAAGTTCTTTTACTCACTTCTTTGCCTTGTTACTAGAGTTCGCGCTTTATACTTTTCTGCACTCAATTCTATCTCTTCTTTAAGTATATCTTGCCGGCAGTTGCATTTCTTTTCCTCTTAGTGAACGAGCTGGCCCGCGAAGACTGCGGTGGGGTCTTCCTCGGGCCCGAGTCTAGCCTAGGAATTGCTCCCTCCGATGTCAGGGTCAGAATTAAAGACTGGATGATTTCCGGGCTCAGTGACAATAGCAACCGGACTCGGACAGTTCAGGGCCCCTTGGAAAATCTGGGTCTTCTAAAGCTTCTAAAACTGAATAAAATCCAGATTAGGAAGATCACCGGTGTCCTTACGAGGCACTGGATGGTGAACTATCACCTTTATAACTTGTAGGAGATGCAGTGCAGATGAAACTACCCAGAATGTGGTCTGTCACTGTGAGAGACACATCAGCTCCTTGGCGACAGTTAGCTGGAACCGGGGAGGGTGAAGCAACGTAGGCTAAACAGGATTCTATCCTTTATTGATAGGATCTTTGGTGTGCTTAAGTGCTGCCTGATCGGGTTCCCCTTATGAATAGTAGAGAATAGAATCTAGGCGAAGTGTCTCTTTTCTAAAAGTGAGGAACGAACGCCGAACTAAATCTTCGTGTTGTTTAAGCGAAATGTACTACAGAAAAGCTGGCTCCTGATGTAAGGGGAACGGTCTTGATTATACGCGACTCGAGAAGCAGATACATAAATTACCCATCAAAATAAAAAATAAAAAAATTCATTTACTTGCAGGATGTGAACAATATTTAAAGAAAATTGTTTAAGAAATATTTTAGAAAAACAAGGTCAAACAAATTTTTAAAATTAAAAAAAAAAATTTTTTTTAAATAAATAAACGTTTAATGAAAATAATAGGACAAGAACAAATTACATATAAGAACGGGGTTTTAAAACAATAAATTTCATCAAAAGAATTACAAAAAAAGGTAAAGTTCCTAAAATACATTCGGCATTGCCTTTTTGAATTTTTTGTATTTTTTAAACCATTTGAACCTTTTTTTTAATGTTGTTAAAACCACGTGTATTTTGAAAACGGCTGTTTATTTAAGAATCATTTTTCTGTCTCTCTTTTAACTAAAACAATATAATAATAATAATAATATAGGGTCATTGTGAAGGATTTTGCCGTCTGCAAAGAGGGACTGGTCGGTCACTTTCCTTCAGCTAAGCCGAGGAAATGGCGCATTGCGAAAATAAAAAAAAATTTAAAATGCGACCGTTGTGGAAAAAAGGATAAACGCACATGGTCTGACAGAATTATCAACGATTTCGCTGGAGAATAATTAACTGTGTCAAATTTAAATAGATCGAAGATATTTTAGGTTACGGACACACAAAATTAAGAAAGTAGGCGACGGGCGCTTTTCAAATCCGATTTCCTCTCCAAAAATACACAACCTATTTTCAAATATTTTCCTAAATTTTCGCGTATGCGATCTATCGAAAATAACGAATGCGACGCGCGTAACGTAGAATATTTGACAAGACGTTTCTCTCATAAAACGTACAAAATAAATGTAGCCACCACGCCCACCACCTATCAAACTCGGGTCGTGTGCTGGATATGCCAATGTGTTCTGTCAGAAGTGATTTGTTTTTACTGTGTCATTTTGGGTGGGTACTACGATCAATGATCGGTATCCACTTCTCGCGCGTAATTTTTCAATTAATCCTCGTAGAATAAGATCCCCTCAATTTCATCGTTGTCCGAAAGGCATTTCCGAAAGCGTAAATTGTGAAAGGACGACCTCAATTTATCCACGTCCACTCTACGTACACATTTGAATGAACTTTGAGCCGTAACAGATTGATTTCCGATTAGATAACGACATTTTGGAGCATTACTCTCCATGGGATTGGCGCAATGATTGTGTGCAGATATCCACTTCAATTTACTCACGCACGATGTGCAGCAATCGGAACGGAACATTTTACTCGATGTGTCTATTTTATACATTGTGATGGAAAAGGAACGAATTTCAATTCCATTTTCATAAACCTCAAAACGAATCGAAAAATCGAAATCTAAATTCAGTTTCAAAAGAATAGCTGGGAATGGGACACCCTGTACTTGGAAAGACAAGAGCCTTCACAGGTTTTTCAAAGCCCCCAAAAAGATGATTAAGCCTCGAGTTTACTAGACCCTTTCCAAAGCGTTCTAACTCTTACCAAATAATTTTAACTTAAAATGTAGATCTAACGCCTAATTGTAGATTGAATCTCGATATTCTCTGGAATTGTACTCTTTTCAGTCCGACAATTTTTCATTTCTAATTCGCCCCTCCGAAGTCTTTAAAATGTAATCGATTGGCCACGACTCGAAACTAACTTTGAAATTGTTCAAACCACGCAACAACTTCGAACGAGTTTCCCTAAGTGTCCTCCTTAATAACAAACCTCGTGGAAGAAATAGGTTACTCTCTCAAACGGAATGGATTTCTCCCACTAATACGCGAGGTCTAGTCTAATTGAATCTGCAGATCTCAAACAAGGCAGTTCCGTTAAATAAGTCGCAGCACACGCGCCAACGTATGTTATTGTGAAACCTCGGAATCCCATAATTGACACAGCCCCACGTTGGGCGCCAATTTAAAAAGAAAGAATTGATTTCCGGTTTTTAATTGAATTACAAGAAAGAATTAGTTCATTAAACACTCTCAAGCATTCGAAATGAAATTCCGACGCCCCCTCCGCCCCTGTGGCTTCATCATCCGAGAGCCACTTCGTTACTTATTTATTTTAATTAGAGACGTGGTACGAAGAGCAAAAAGCTCTAGAGCTACAAACATATTTGCGGTATGCCTCGAATAGTAATCGCCGTTTTGTTTGAAGTGTAAATAAAGGCTGTAATCGTCTTTTAACGCAAATGTTGCTGGCGTTCGACCCCGCTGCAATCAATACCGGCGCGCTCCACGCTCTCCCGTCCCGAAATTTTGTGGAAAAATGTCCAAGACAAGGATAAAGGACGACTTGGTAACGAGTAAAAAAAAATTTATTATGTATGCGGAAACATGACGCAAGGAATCGACTTTTTAAATTACACAACGTTATCTTTTATTTATAAACATTAACCTTGTGATGTCCTAAAAGGCGGCTTACAGCCGAAAAAATCGCTTACCCTAACCGGTTCCTTCAATTTGAATAACGGTAACATGCTGAATGTGCATTTGTTTGGGCTCGCATGTGACGGTAAAATTTACGCATACATTAATTTTTAGCAGGGAAATTTAAATCGGGCATCAGAAAGCGAGAGCAGATGGTCGTCGCATGTGGAGCTCCGCAAGGTACCATACTTGGGCCGCTGCGCTTATTGAATAATAAAAATGCAATAAACAAAAAATGGTCATCGCTCGAAGCGACGGTTAGACAAAGGAAAAAAAGGCACGCGTCATTGGCGACGTAATTAAACGACGAAGTAGGTTCATAAAATGCTTCAAAAGAAAAAGTGCCGAGCATGTAATATCGTCGTGAAATGGGATCAAGACAATTAAGAAGGGCCTCTTTTCATCATCGCTTCTTATTCTCCCTTCTTTACGTGTAATAAATACGAGGGATGTTCATTTAATCTGAATCGTCCATTTTCAGGCACTTTGAGAGCAACAAAACAAATAAGGGGCAATCTGGATATTGCAAACTTTCAGATATGTTGCAGAAACGTATGAAACGTGAAGGGTGCGTATGTTAAACCATTTTTAAAATGACAGTAAGTATTTAAGTCTTGGTGGAGAGTAGGAAAACAGTTTTGTAAATTTTAGAAATTGGCAGGAACCTTTTTGTAATCTAGAGATTTAGAATCATTTCACAGTTATCCTATTTACGTTTTACATGCTTACTGGTACATAATCTTTATGGATATGACTTCTACGGTGCTTTTACATGCTACATTAGCCAAGACATAAACCACGATCGAGTTACTACCTTGAAACGATCACAGCTTAGAACCACTTTAGTTTAGATAAGAACACCGACCATTTGGGGATTTTAGTATGATTTTGAATCGGTCATACATTACTTGGAACCTAGAAGGCAACGATCACAACTACTTTAGCTTATACAAGAATTCTGCTTGACCATTTGGCCATGACGTTAACTCACAACCACTTTAGTTCAGGAAAGAACCTCTACGTTTGACCTTTCAGTGACAATTGATTTTGAATCGATCCTACGTTACTACTGTCAAACTTAACGTGTAGGTTATCTGTCAAAAAACGTTATTTTTATAGTGGGTACTACACGCTGGGGTAAGCGGACTATATATCCATACTAATAACCGGCAAATTTGAGGCTACTCTATGCAGACTGATGCAATCAGCTCTTAGAGTAGGTAACCGAACAATGGTGTGGGAAACACTCCTTATCCATCAACCCGACCAAAAAAAGGAGCTGTAGTTCTCTTAGGGGGCCATTCTCGAATTCTGGGCGAGGCGATTAAGCGATTGCTTAATGTTCTACATTGTTCCCCAAAACGCATGGTGCCCATTGCAATTACACCATAATTTTACGGAAGGGATCATCCAAGGTATGGCCAGGAGCCCGCAGGACATGGAATACTCGTTAGGAAAAGAAGATTCGAACTACCCCCAAACGTCCTTAAGGGTTAAACGTTCTGTGGGGCCGGTGTCTATGGGGTATGGAATACCCCTCAGTCCATACCTCCCAGTATACGAGGATCAATGATGGTTGTGGAGAAGATTAAGTACAGAGTGGACCGAAAAGAACGTTAAACCAGAGAAATGCCAGGAATGGCATAATGTCCTTCGTTGGAGCCAGAAACGTTAGCTGTGGCTTGAAGACAAATTCTGATGAGTAAGAACGAAAAGTTGATTTTTTTCCATTCAACGTATACCGTAAATTTTCCGAAAATTTCATGGAAACCGATCTCGCATTACCAAAACAAGCAATCTCAAGGTTTGCGTTCGCTAATGATGAAAGATAGCACGGGGAGGTGAAAAACATTGTTAACATCTCAACTAATTAGTGAATGGCATGTTCGATTTCTTGATCCGCAATTATTTTGAAATATTTATTTCAACTTGTAGGTACACTTTACAATCGCTCAAAGTTAAGACGCAGCGTCCTTCATGTTCAAGCCATTACGAAAAGACATAGGTAAGATTTTACTTATTTGTACCCACCCTCCGGGCCTTACGAGCCGCCACTACCGCGAGGTATAGAATACTCCTCAAAAAGAGAAGGCTCGTTAGTTAGTCCTCTATGGGAAACTATCATCTTTTCATTGTTCTAGATATGACGAGCCCGAGGACGAGCCCTTAAATGAATCACCATGTCTATTGAATTGTCCTGGGTGTAAAATCGTTTTGAATGCAAATGGTTCTTGGAATGGGCTATAAAGAGCCACGGGAATGAACTATCGTTGCATCCAGAATCTTGCGAAGAAGATTTCCAAAATATTTTTCTAGAGATTTTTCAGGATATCTCCAAGAAAAATAACCTAGATAGGTTTAGAATTAGAACCGTCTTCAGAGCAACTATAGGAATAGTGTTGGTCGACAGTCTGATCCTTGAGGAACTCATCGAACAATGAAATAGCTGGTTAACGATGGTAAAAATCTTACGGCTTAAGAAACAGATACCGCAACTCTCAGTTTTGGGATACGAAAGCATAGATTCCGATGGAAAGGTCAGAAAAAGTGAGCAAAATGTCGCACACCTGCGATACCGCGCCTCAAAATACCTGACGACTTAAGATCTTCGGTTAGAGATCTTTGGTTTTTCATTCTAGCAAGGTCGATGAACAGCAGTCATTCGACTCGAAAACATCGATTATTACCAAAGGTCGTTTTTCTTTCACGAACCAGTAGGCCTTGCAAACGCCCTTATTTCGCTGACTCAAATTTCGCTTTAACGACATTACGTAAAGTCCAAATTAGATAATCTCGCGTCTGTCATTGCTTAATGACATTAGAAAATTATCTTTCGAGGAACTACTAACTAACGTTTGTTTTATCATTAATTTATGGAAACCGAACCGTGTTTATCTGTAAAGGAATTCGAGTTTGTGGAGAAATCGTGCCCAATAAACAAAAGTGCGGATCGCACAGGAATTTATATCAAAATGCAGACTGGATCGATAATTTTCATATTTTCGACTTGGCAATGACACTCGTCCGAAATCTATATTTAAACACATGAAGGGTTTCGATTTTATTTTTTCGGCACCCACGAGAGGGGGGATGGGGATATGACTCATTTACAAAAATCCAAACTGACCCAAATATATAGGTCATTAATTGCCACCTCCGCCGGCGTGGGCGGAGGGATGCCCGAAAAATTCTAATTGCAACAAGGGACGAGGTGCGACAGTCATCCAATGCACTTCTCGACGACAGACTTGCAATAAACAAAAGATAAAAATGCATTGGGTTACAATGACGCCATCTTGTAGGTTGTACACCTGTCCACATATTTAAGGGAAAATATCGAAAATTATGTATTGAGCGTTTGCGTTACGCACAAAAAACGTGGAAAAAAGCACGGGGTGACGGTCGAGCTCACCCACTCCGTCATTTAAAGAGGTTAATTACAAGTAAAATCGGCGTAAAGGTAAATCAAGGTAAACCTTACCTCCGTACTCGTATTTTTCTGTCGTCGACGTGCTCGCAAAGCTTAAACTAAAGATAAAAACACTAATCACTCTTAATATTAACATATTGTTCTTTTGTTTATAAATTCACCGTACAGCACACTCTTTTACTTATTATAACACGGGATTTTTCATAGCGATGATAAAATAATGTCCTTTATGGACGGCAGTAGTAGTCGAATTCGTTTAATCTCGTATTTACTTTCGAACGGACGCGATGATACGCGAACTTTTTCCCCCGCCAGAATTGCGCGCGGAGAAGCGCTAAATTTAAATTATTCCGCCGGAAATGTGGGATCCGTTTGATGTGGTCTAATTAAAATGCGGCGAATTAGACTATTTTCTGGGTTAAAGCCAAACACTTCGTTGATTTATTGCTGCGATTCACAAAAAAACTTCGGCCTTTGCTATCAGTCACTTAAATTTCTAATTGATACATGGGGATCTGAAAGTTTTCCTCCAGAAAAGCGACTCTAAAATTAAGAAACCGGCTTTAACGCGCGTTTTATCCCCAAAGCTTCCAGTTTTTAAGTTTAAAGCAATGCTTAGATTAAGTTTTGAATAAAATCCATTGGGCATTTCAAGGAAAGGTTCTATGGATTAGGAAGTTGTTAAATGAGTTGCCTAACCACATGAAATACTAACAAGCTCGTGGGTTGTTGGGTAAGATTATTATAAAACCCCTAAAGCAGATCTAAAAAAACGGAAAAGCATCTCGGTCCCACATAGCATTCGATATCTTATGTATATACATTTTAAATCCATAATGTACGGGGAATATCCTGTCCATCTTATGTATATACTATGTATATTCATTATAGACATATGTATTTTATGTCCAGTATGGATATTCTATAAATATACATTTTGGATTTTTAGGCACACACAATGTATGTATCTTTTATGTATAAATCTTACACCTCCTCACGAGGAACTATGGGATTATAGTGGTTGCTCTTTCCCTTTTTGATGTGTCTGTCTGTGCTCCAGTGAGGCGTTTTAGGGATCTGTAGTTATCCAATTTGCCTCAGTGTCAGACATTAGAATGGCTTACGCAATATTTTATGTGCCGCGCTATTCATTACCCCTTTTATTTGTTTGTTTGTGTTGTTGTGTGTTACAGATTGGCAGAAAGCGTCCTTCTTGAGCTCAACAAGCCCATTGCGACCTGTAGTTCAAACAATAATTTTTTTATTTCGATGACTCCTTGATATAACGTTTGATTACATACTGGTTTTCGATACAATCGAATTGTAATTACTACCCTTGCTTGGTATTCGTTTAAAGATTCTAGCTCCATTGTTTACTGCGGAAACCTGTTTTGATATTAATACTTTTTCCGACTACGTGTTGATGTTAAAGATGCAGTAGCGGTATCCGGTATGTTATGGGTGAGTTTATCGAGTCGGATGAGGACTTTTCGTGTTCGTTTTGTGAGTTGCGTATGTGGGGGAGATTGGGTGACCTGTTTGATGTGGTGGTGGTGTGGGGAATTTGCGTAGGGTAGTGGAATATGATGGGGTGGCGGTAGGTAGTTATTGGGTCGATATAGAAGACGGGGTATGTGTGCAGACGAGGAGTGGACACATTACAGGGGAGTCAATAATGTGGGATTACACGCTGTATATGCAACCAAAGACTAGGCATACATTTTTCAGAGCATTACGAGCTTGTTTTTTTTAAGTTTAATTATCTTAGAAACCAAATAGCTAATAACATAACAACGAATTACAAATTTGTGTGCTCGATCTAACATTGCAGTACGGAAATTTAAAAACCCTAAATTAAGCAAGACCTTCTACAAATTTAGGGGCGTGATATTCGCACATTAGAAATGATTCGAGCATTTATTTCGCATACAAACAACGCTCATTAGCTACCGTAGTAGCCCTTAATTTAAACGCTCATGCTAGAGGTCGGCGTTTTTTGTTGTTTTGTAATCGCTAGCGTATGCGTCCAGAAGAAAGGTTCAATCTCGGACAGTCTCTTGTTTAACGTTTCCGGTACGAATAGAAACGTGAACGCAACGCCGGCCGATGCCATGACCGAGTAAAAATACTGAAGATTGTGCAAGCCGCCGAGCGCGGTTAGCATACCTTGGTAGCTGGACACGGAGGCGAAAGAAAATACGAAGAGAAGTCCCAACGCAGTGTTCGAGGCAATTCCACGCACGCGAAGAGGGAAGATTTCTCCACAGAGCGAGAAAGGTATGCTCATTACACACGTGGTGCTTATGGTATATATGACCAGCATATATAACGGCACCTGCAGGTATTCGGTGACGCCTGTAATGTTCAAGTAAGTGAGCCGTTTGTTTCTTCACCAACTCACCGTCGGCAATCCACTTGGTATACAGCCCAGAAATTCCCATCGACACAGCCATTCCGAAGAAACTGATCATCAGTAGTGGGCGTCGGCCGTACTTTTTCATAAGCCATACCGAGAGTACCGTCATGCCCAGACGTACTATTGCCAAGTAGTTTGAGGCTAAGTAAGGATCCAGTTTGGTGCCGATCTTCTGCGAGGTGATTTAGATACAGGTCTACGATTCACATTTACTTACGTCAAAGAAGATGACAGTATTCATCAGAAGAACGTTTACACCAGAGAATTGTTGGAAGAGTAGAACCATGGTTAAAATTATAAGAGGTTTGTATACAATTGGAAGACAAACCATTTGGAGTGTATTGGTCGCTTTATTGTGCTCCTGTTCGTTTCCCATCTTCGACACTTCATGCTCTACCAACTGTTCCAGTTGGATTGGATCGTTGGTCAGATACTTGTTAAGCCATGTCAAGGACTTTTTGGCTTCATCGATGTGGTTTCGCGATACTAACCACGAGGGACTGTTTGGAAGAGTGTACAACAGGCTGTTCGCTACCACACCGTAAGAGCATGAGAACCAGGCTACCATTCTCCAAGACGCAAGGTATCCGTTGAGGTTTGTCAGAAGTGATCCTAAACACTAAGGATTAATCAACTCTAATTCCGGTATACTGCACAAACCTATCCCGAAGAATACAACCGGCATTGCTAGTAGTGCTCCTCGAATTTTGGGAGTGCTAATCTCGGAGATGTAAACAAAGCAAGGTCCCATTTGAAAGGCTATGCTCAGTCCAGTTATTACTCGTCCAACCATAACGATTGCGCTGGTTTTTGCTAAAGCAATAGTGACCCAGCCGACAACGTGAGGCACCACCGTGAGTTTCAGCACGCAAAGCCGCCCACATTTATCCGTGACCAAACCGGTAAGGACCGACAGTAGCGGAATGACCAGACTTATGCAATTCACTAAAACTAATCGCTGATCGCGCTTACTGGAAGAGTGGTTTACCTATCCACAACTGCTCGGTGTCCGTAACGTGGAGCGCGTGTACACCATCTTTCAGCTGCGGAACAAGAACCGCCGAGTAAACCACCCCAACTCCAACTGACATGTACACGAAACAGATCACCAGAGTGGCGTAGATCTAAAATGAAGATCGGTAGACGAAATTAAACAACGCACCTACCTGTGGAAGGTAAGCCTTGAAGTTATGTGATGGAGCGTTCCTCATTTCGTCTTCCATCACGCAACTCCGCTTTCAAAGTGCAGAAAGATATTATTTCACACGGCGATAACATTATCGCGTTCAGAGGTTACGCATTACAAGGCAATAGTTTTGTTAACAACCAGATTTGTTTTGATCATGACGTGGGTAACCAAACTGCGAGCTGATGACGATTTCTTCTGCAAAATTACTCAGAGTTAGCAGAGGTGCATGGTTTGCAACAAACAAAAAAGGACAGTAAATCTGGGAGTTCCTCAAGGATCTAAACTTGCAACTATTACAAAACTGTTCAAAACGAAATCATTGCGGATAAAATTTAATAATAAATTAGTTTACAAAAATTTTTCTATAGATAAAGCTATTTATACCCATTACAAGTTTACGAGCTTATCTTCAAAACAAAGTTGCACACCTTTAACGATATCTGAAAGTTTGGGTATTTTTGTTGTTAATATCGACAGGGCTGCTTTTACCAAACTTCCATTCCCTATAGGATAAGCTGGCGGGCATTTTAAAAAACATCAAACATACCCTATAATGCCAATGAAATACCTATGACAAAACCTTAAACTACCAAGACGTTGAAAATTCTCGAAGCCTTTTCGAATTGTTTTGACCACATCTATAGCTGAAAAAATGGGTTTTACTATGTTATTTTTTCTCACGTGCCAATTTATTCCATTATCAGAGGAAAGTCGATTTTGCGCATGCTCGAGCTTTGTTTTGAAAAATGGGCTCTATTTTCTGTCCTTTCTAAAATTTGGCATCAAACAAAAGGTGCTTAATTTTGCCCCTATACAAGGTCTTTCCGACGACACCAATTTGAAAACAATCAAACCAAAACTGTAGAACAAGATAGAAACAGAAATATATTAAAAAAAAAAAATTATTCACAAATTTAATAGATTCACAAAATAGTAAAATATAATTTTTAATCTATCACATTTTTTATCTTTCTATATATATATATGTATATATATATATATATATATATATTCGAAATTTGTATTTGGTCCATAACTTTTGATTGAGACGTCTGATCGAAAAAGTACGAATCGTTTTGGATTCTACGCACCAAAATTAATGAAAAAAAGTGTTTTCCCGAGAAATTTTGGAGCAGTCGATTTTTGGAAAAAAAGGAAGGTATATAACACTGCCTTTTTTTGGGGATGGAAAAAAAATTGTCTCAGATCGACCGGGAAAAAACATTTTCTTATAGAGTTTGGCCCGTAGAATCGATAATTTCAAACAGTTCCAAGATTGGACTACTAGATCAAAAGTTACAGCCCTTTGAACTTTTTGGTCCATAACTTTTGATTGAGACGTCTGATCGAAAAAGTACGAATCGTTTTGGATTCTACGCACCAAAATTAGTGAGAAAAAGTGTTTTCCCGAGAAATTTTGGAGCAGTCGATTTTTGGAAAAAAAGGAAGGTATAACACTGCCTTTTTTTGAGGCCGGAAAAGAAATTGTCTGAAATCGACCGGGAAAAAACATTTTCTTATAGAGTTTGGCCCGTAGAACCCATAATTTCAAACAGTTCTAAGATTGGACTACTAGATCAAAAGTTACAGCCCTTTGAACTTTATGTATATATATATTTTCGAAATTTGTATTTGGTCCATAACTTTTGATTGAGA